TCAGTGGCTGTGAAAGAAAAAGATAATGAATCACTGCTGGATGAAGCGTCTCGAGGCTTGACTGAAGTAGAGAACTCCATAGCTTCACTTGAAGGTTGTTTTCAGGAATTGCAAACACATCTTCAGGAAGAGTGTGAAGCCCTACACCGGCATTCCTTATCCATGGGTCAAGATATAATTTTTTCCATTAGACGCCTTAGATCTTCAATGAAAAGTACTTGCTCTGAGATAACAGGAAAAGAGTTTTCATTGTGCAACTTTGACCAGCGCATACTACAGGATGCTGTGGATAGAATTCAACTTTTAGAGCAAAACTTAGCCGGTACTTCACCAGGTTCTTGTGCAAGCAGTGAAGATCACACACTAATTACTGGTAAAAATGGCACTGAGGAAGTAGATAGTTGCACACCAGTCACAAATTTGTCGCTCAGAAAGGAACTAGAGAGAAAAGAGATTCTATTGAGGGGATTGCTTTTCGACTTCAGATTACTGCAGGAAACTGCTGCCAAGCGAAAGGACATAAAAGATGAAACTGAAAAGATAATTTTGACTCTGAATGAGGTCCATCAGCAGCTAGAGATGAAGACAAGCGAGGTGGAAAGCTTGCTGGCCCAGAACCAGACGGTTGAAGGCCATCTGGTAGATGCTGAGGAAGCACTGGAGATAGCAAATTCTGACCTCGACCAGGCCAAGGAAGCAATAGACAGTCTATCCGAACAAAATGCTGAGTTGAGGATGCTTGTCAAAGATCTATATCTCAGCAAATCTGAAATTGAACAAAGACTGAATGAGGAGAAAGAGGTTGTTAAAGGTTTGGAAGAGGAAATAATGAACCTGACTAATTCAAGTGTGAGCAGATCTATTGAAGACCTAGAAGAAGACTTGAGCAAAGCGACATTAGAAAGAGATAATCTCCGTGAAGAAATTAGCTCATTGAGAGAAAAGCTTGCTATGGCATACTCATTAGCTGATGAAAATGAAGCTATAGCTGTTGAAGCCCGACAGGTATGACTAATGGCACTTTCTTTCCAACGGATCACATATTTTGTTATGGACGCTCTGGTGATCATACATGTGTGACATGTACTATGATTCTAGGACCTCGAAGAGTGCAAAATTTATTCTCAAGAAAAGGAAGAGGAAGTCAAGATTTTAGAGCACTCTATAGGGGAGCTTGAATGTACCATAAATGTCCTGGAGAAAAAGGTTCGTTTTAATTTCTGTCTCAGGGCAAACTTTGAAGTAAGTTTCAAAGTGCTACTTAAAAATCATATTTTGAACTGGTTTCAAAGTGTTTAATCAATGTGCTTAAGGCTGGACGAGCTAAATTCCTGGTTTCCTCTTTGTAGGTGCATGAAATGGATAAGGAGGTAGAAAGACATCGATTGATCAGAGAATCATCAGAGTTAGAACTTCAAACTTTGAGACAGAGATTATCAGCAGTAGAAAACTTCGCTGATATTGTTGATTCCGAGAATAAGGGGTCTGCTCTAAATGGAGAGGCTACAACTAGGTTCTCGCTTCATCCCCTCAAGAACATTCTTTCACTTTTTTCTGTTTGTTCTCAGGTACCTTCTAGTTGGTCTTACTTTATATTGACTCCCAACATTCGTCTGACGCAGGCAACTGAAATCTAGATTAGTAGAATTGCACGAGGCACATAACCGTATTTCTCTTCTTGAGAGGCAGAATGCTGAAATGACTAGAGAGGTGGAGCTATATTCTTTTTGCTTGTTCTGGTTTGCATGAACATTTTTTCCACTTGGTTTAATATAACTGGACACATTGTTTGTTCTTCTGCCTATGATCATTGCAGATTACGCAGCTGAAAGAGTACATCTCTGAGGTTGTGTTACATTCTGAAGCCCAAGCTTCACACTACCAAGAAAAGGTAATATATTATGACATGAAGCTCAATGTTTAACCGTGAATTCTGTAACAAGGTGTAGCTTTCTTCACTGAAATTAGTTTGTGCACTAAAAGAAACATCGATTAATTTCTATTGCAACAGTACAAGAATCTGGAAGCGATGGTTCGAGAATTCGAACCAAATTTACCAAGCACCGAATCAGGTTTAGCTTCTTCATCGGACAAAGTTGAGAAATGTGGGACGAGAGCAAGAGGGTCGAGCTCTCCTTTCAGATGCATTTCAGGTTTGGTTCAGCAGATGAATGTAGAGAAAGACCAGGAATTATGTGCAGCAAGGATACGGATAGAAGAGCTAGAGGCACTGTTGGCCAGTCAGCAAAAAGAGGTAGGACTCAACATTCTAATCTATTCACTGAAAAATTAAGGACTCGATTCCATTAAACTAATAATACGCACGATGTGAATCTGTAATGTCAGGTATGCATGTTGAAGACTAGACTGGCTGCTGCAGAAAGCATGACGCATGACGTAATACGAGATCTGCTGGGAGTAAAATTGGATATGACCAATTACGCAGTAGGCTCTTCAATCGACTCCCACCCTGAACCCTATTGATCTACACTGATTACATATATATAGTTATGTGGCTTTGCCTTTCTCTTGCCTGTAGAATATGATCGACCAGAACCAGGTTCAGATATTAGTAGAGGAAGCCCATCAGCAGAAAGAAGAATTCCTCTCCATGGTTAGCACAATACATGAATGTGTTTGGCTTGTTTTGGCTGTGAATGAAGTTCAACTAATCTAATACTTTCACATTGTGTCTCCTCTCCTACCTTGGCCTTACCAGGAGCAAGAAATCCTGCAGTTACGAGACCAGATCAACAATCTCATGGAGGAAAGAGACAGGTGCGATTTACCTATCCCTATCCATCTCAATTTCTGTACCTAATGATATCTCTCTTTTGTGCAATGAATTTATCGTAATGGATATGATTTACTACTCCATCAGTTGCATGTCCGAGACGAATAAGAAGGCAGCTGAATTGTTCGCTGCTCAGATGACGGCAGAACAACTTGAACAGAGGGATCAGCTACTGTCTGCACAATACGAAATGCTAAAGGTGAGCAACGCTCTATTGCATCATGCTGCTATAAAATACCAGCTCTCTGGCCGACGGCATTTTACACATTATTACTATCAATGGCAGACGGACAAGAGCAATCTACTAAGGAGGGTTTCAGAACTGGACGACTTGGTGAAGACCCTTCTCAGCACTCAACCTTCTCAGCAACGGACAACGACGACATCAAGATCGACAACCAGGGTATGTAGTAGCATATCTTCTCTTTAATGATTACTACACTCACCTAGCATCCATGAATTCCTCCTCCATTTCTCTTTCTCTCTAGCTATCTCTCTACTCATCACATTTCTGCCTGTCTCGGACTTTTTCTAGCTTGGTGCCGACAAGAGGTTGATACCCAGCTCGGACGACAACCTCATGTCTCGATTGAACGAGCAGCGCGCTCAGTATCGGAGGATGAGTATGGGTAATACAACTAACAACCCACACGTCAAAAGCTACGGCCGTACCTTGGAGCTCAAGCATAAGAACCAGCAGCAGCAGCAGGTAATAAATAATAATCCCATCTTGTACTTTGCTTGTATAGATGCTTAGCAGTTTTGTTTTGTCGGCAAATGTCGTCAACGTCAATCATCTTACAAGCATATTAATTTCTCAATATTTCCGGCAGTGAGTTTACAGGAAGCCGGAAGGCAAAGCAAAGTTCCACGGCCGCCAGAGGTCACCACGTGGCTCACCCTACTTAGAAGAAAGGGCGATTTCCCGCCAGTGAGAGGGCAAACCCCTGTGTTGTTGTATTTTTTTTTTTTATATTATTATTTGTTTCCGGTGAAGTAAAGAAAAGGGTATAAAAGGAGACAGGAACTGGTTGTCCCTTGCTTGCCATGGAAGGAACGTAAAAGAAGAGGGTTCTTCATCCTTGCTCGCGAAATATGCCTAAAGAAAATGACATCCATGGGCTGGGCTCCCTTTGGGCTCCGCTGGGTTGGGCCGAGTGGAGCGGGAATGGAATACTGCATTGTGTTGATTGTATAAAGTGGCTTGATTGTTTCCTAGCATTTGCTTTCATCAGCGTCTTTGGGCTGTTTTTTTCAACAAGATCGCATTATATCAGATCAGGTTACAAGGAGCAGATTACTGTCAGAAATAATATTAGAAATTATTTGTCGTTAATTATTGTTCGGAACTATTGGGGTTTATTCGGTTAGGTTAATTATTTATTTGGGTAGTTGGAGAGAATTAATTGGATTATATATATATATATTGTGTTAGGAGGAGGTTAGAGGCAAATAAGAACATAATTATTATTCCCTAAGCCTAATTTTCCCTCAACCCTAGCCGAGCTCTCTCTCTCACCTAGCCGTCGGCCACCTCCATCACGGAGATCGATTTCTGCTTCTTCCTCACCTAAATTCCTATTCTTCCTCACCCAAATCCCCAATTTGCATACCAATCCTAAACCCTAAATCGCATACCTAGATCCGTGTTCTTTCAGTGTTATCAGAGCCTGGCTGGTGTGCTGATTTCATGAAGAGTTTCTGAACAAGGAAGATGACGAATACGGTAGACAAGCCGCAACAGGCCGAAACTGATCAAGGAGATCGTCACCCCGACAGAGGGCCCAGGAGGCGCGGCGGGTGCGGGCGCGGTAGGCGCGGCGCCGGGTGCGGTGAGCGTGACGATCGGCGGGGGAGGCGGTGGAGAACAGGGCGGGAAGGATCAGGCCGAACCGGTGTTTAGTGGGCCGGGCCTGCTGCCCGCCCCAATGGCCCATGAGACTTATGCGGCCTGCGGGAAGCAGAAGATGGTCGGGTTCGATGGGATGGGCCCCAATGGCGAAGAGGATGAGCTGAACTTCGCGGATCAAGAAGGCTGATTTGTCCTGCCTCGAGCTAGAAGCATGACAAATCAGGACATTTAATAAATGTTTTAAGTCAAGCAAAATTTGTGAAATTCAATTTTTGTGAAATTCAATTTCAGACATAAAATAGATGTATTGTTATAGAATGTAGATTATTGACAATATATCAAGTGAATTTTCGGACCTTATCCAAATTCATTCCCCACCCACTCAAATTTTAGGAACTTTCAAAAGATAGACTCATATCCACTCACCATATCTACCCAAACTTGTATTGTATGGATTTGTTAGGTGGTTAGCAGTTGTCTCAAAACTTAACAACGTACAACTAACCTTAAGCAATGATAGGAAGCCTAACCTTCAAAAGACAACTCTAAGCAAAAGCTATTCACCAGCTACTACTGTTAGGTGGCTAGCAGTTGTCTCCAATCTTACTCACGGTATCACTGTATCAGGCACCCTTCTCTGTTACTTCTAGCTGTAGCTGACATCCCTCACCCGTTTCAATCATCAAATGAATCAGCTCTCGGTAGATCGAGCATTCACTGTCTACAACAATAACGCTTCAAATGGCGGCAGTAGAGGGGATGGCAACAGTAGTACGGTCTACTACCTGGAGAGTCTCCAGTTTTGTAACTAGCCTCAGGTACTGGTCACGAGCCTCAGGGCGACGAACCATCGACGTCACTCTAGCCACTGCCTTTCCAAGTACTGCAGATTTCTGTTGACGACCTGTGATCAAGAACTCGTACTCATTCGTCTCACTTTCCAGGACTTGATCCATCTCTTTGACATGAAATCCTCGCAGTCCAACTTCATTCAGCCTCCGAATCTGATGCCCTCTCATATGAGCCTATCATATACACATGACACCATAATTACCAAGTCGGAACAACCAGTCATCAAATAAACGACAGAGAATGCTTAGAGAGCACGATCCAGACGAGCAATAATAATTCAGGCAAGCAGGTAGGCAGCAGAAGAGCCCAGGAATAGCAACTCACCTTCCTTGTGCATCCCTGAAATTAGGATTGCCACTAGCCTCAACAACAATGTCTACTGCCCAGAACTAGCCAAGTGGAGAACCCCTTGGCCTTCATCATCTAAAAATATATGCACCTTTACTTCCTTTCACGAGCATTGCACAGCAGCCACTCACAGAGTTTGTCTGTCATCAAACTTTGAATCAACATATATCTAGTATCTAGGCATTCGACTTCGGTGATCTTCCATTTCTCAATACCCCGAGTCCTGCTATTTTCGGCTATTACTTCTATCAGAAGCTATGTCGCTCCTCAGCTTTCAAGCATTGCATCTTTGCACAGAGCAATTTAGCCACTTCCTTTCTAGATTGAGAGATAACAACATAGAAACTAGACCGCTAAATGTCGCACACTTCTTTCAGAGAGAAGTTTTTATTGGATTTTCACTACACACAGATGCAAATGACATAAAATGGCACATTCCCTAGTACAAGGGGCATGACATCTAATGGCATTACAATTCAAAACTGCAGCAGAGATTTCAAATCAAAACTTCTATCAAAATTGCATTACAATTCACCAAACATACAGCCCCAAATGCTCCCATTATTGGGATTGGGCTTCTCTAAAAAGATACCAGCAACTAGAACCTTCAAAAGTAAGTCACAAAGTATGAGCTACTCAACATAACGAGGCAAAATAGCTCAATAGCTGCACCTGGGAAAGAGAAGCCTCATGAAAAGATCCAATTGCACACGATTTCAATAGTCCGACGGAATAAGAGAATCATCGAAGTCCTGCTTAAATTTTTTATTCATCAACCTTCCGCAGATATAAGTTTTGTAAGGTTCCAGCTTGGTCTGTTCCACCGACTACCATCTGAAACTCCGAATGATGATGAATTTCGTTCTGCAAACTAGATATATAGGGTCAACTATCCGATTGTACCTCTCTGGCCATGAGAATGGCATGGTCAGCCATATCAGATTTCAGAAGACCTGTTCTCTAGTCTTGCAAATAGCTTCAACCTTGTTTCTGCAAGTTTTCAGTCAAAGAGAAGATCCAGTGCCTTGTTGAAATTTAACTCCAATAGATCGTGTCCAGGAGGATTGCCTGGTTGGATATAAAAGCCTGAAAAGCAGCAAAAACTTGGATAGTTCAAATTAACAAGTAACAGAGTGACAATCACACGCAGACATTAGTGTCAAATACATATGCAAGTTAAATGTATTTTAACTATGATCAAAGAGACAACCAACCTGTCGTATCAGATGCTTACAAAGAAGCATCATCTGGAAGCTTGTCTTTTCCAATCAGCTTTGTTTTGAGGCACTGCATAGGTCTTCTCAATGGCAGAAGCTGGTTAGGCTGGCCTTGCGAATGAGGCGACAGAACTGGGATCAAGATTTTCAACCTGATCTACTGGAGTAGATGATGGCGCTGAACTTGATTTCTGCCCAAGTACCATCGCTACTTACCTAGTAATGAGACACACCAACGATATTTGGTGAATTAACAAAACCCAGCCGTAGAGGTCAGACACCATACCTAGATAACAGATTCCAAACAACAGAGTATTTTTTTTGTAATGAATCGTGTTGTTGTATTTCATAAACAAGCAGTACAGAGATTCAAATGGCGATAAGCTTTACATTAATGTCAATTCTGTGACTATACCCTTATACTCCAGCACCTATAGACCAGTAAAATCTATCAAACACCACTAATAGAGCCTCTAGTTGATAAACAACAAAGAAAACCAGAAGCTAAGAAGCCCAGAATCTTTGTAACACATGATCTGCTAGGACTGCCACAGGACCAGCATCAATAAGATTCACCATTTGCAACTCGGAACACTTGGAACCTGCAAACACTCTGCTACATCTTTCCCAATAAATATGGCTTATCAATCTTTCAGCATTGTCGACAGCAGACAATCTGCTCATGAAGCTCCTCATCCCAGCCTGTCTATGAAGCATGATCCGTAAAGCAACCAAAGAGTTGCAGAAACACAACTAAGGATGCATTTTCCCCTGAAGCTTCTGCCAGTTCCAGCCATTCCTCTCGTTCAGTTTGTACGCTAGAATCCAAGCAACCCAATGGAGAGTTTCTAATAAGCTAAAGATTCAACCAACCTCGCTGAAGCCATACCAATACCAGCACCAGGTCCCTGTCAACGGCCATCCTTGCCACCCCTTCCTTCAGAGGCATACTCAGCGGGTGTGATTCATCGCCCGCCCGAAGTCCGCCAGCTTCCGAGACCGATTCGCGCAATATGACGCAGCCATGGAGAGATTCGGCTTCACCGCCACCCGCACCTCACCAAGGTCCGGCGCAAGGCTCCCCGCCTTCTGGTTCCAGTGCCGATTGGGGCTGGCCCTCACCAAAGGGCTCAAGCAGAAAGCAAACCCTGCTGCAGCCCCGGTCGCATTACTATTGCCACCATTGTTACCGCCCTTCGCCTTCCCGCGTCTCACCGACGTCGGCGTTCTCTTCAATTCCCACACATCGCCGCCTGGAGGAGTCGGATCGCATTCCTGGGGCAACTCGCGATCTGCGGGAGACATCCCCCGGTGTCTCCTCCGAGGAGGCGGGAGAGGAAGGGATTCAACAGCAGATTGCTTCTTCCGTCGACCGGATAGGATCGAAGAAAACCAGGAAGACGAAGACGAGCCAGAAGGTTGAGCTGAATCCGCTGCAGCAGCGGTGTCGAGATCTGGATTCCGCAGTTTGTCGGATCTGGAACGGAAGAGATTCGCGAAGAGAGACAGCTTGGCGTACTTCCTCTGGCAGGAAGACGTGGACGATGAGGAGTATGTGGGGCCGAGCTGTGGAGTGGTGTGGAAGCGGAGGTGGTGGTGGTGGTGTGACCAGGAGTCTAGGTCGTCGTCGCCGCCGCCGCCGCCGCCACGGTGGTCGTGGGATTTGCGACGGGCGACGTAGGGAGAGACGGAGCGGGGGAAAACGAGCGGGTGTTGGGAGGAATCGGATTTGCGAGGGAGTTGATCAGAAGAAGAGGCTGCAACTGGAGGCCGGGAATGGGAGCGGGGGAGGTGGCAAGGGGATGAAGTAGATTGGTGGTGGTGGTGGAGCTTTGACTGAGCTGCAATCAGAGCCAGAAGCCGTTGCCGGAGACAGGAAGCGCAGACACCGACGCTGCCGCTGAGGTCGCAGGGGTGCTGCTTACAGTTCATCCCGCTCCGCCGTTGACGATGCCCGATTGCTGTAACAGTAGATTTCAGATCAGAAGAGCGGGCCTGACGTTTTCTTCCCCCAGATGATGGGGGATACCGACGGTGGCCGATTCTCCGGCGAAGGAAACTGTATACAGAGAGATCCGATTCCGATTCCGGGGGAGGAGAATTCGGGGACCGAAAATTGGGGAAGAAAGGTAGATTTTGTCTGGGCTAATAGGAAATTAGAAAATTGGGGATTTTCGAGAGAAATCAGCTTAGCTAGGGATTTTATTGGAGACCGCCAAAATATAATCAGCGAATTCCCGTATCTACAAGCGCGAATTCAAATTCCAAGAACTCGTTGACTCTGCTCGTCCTTCCTCCTCATCGAAGTCACCGCCGGAGATCGAGTAGATTCGACAATTTCCAGTCCTCGAGCTTGAGTTCGACGGAGCAGCTTAGATTGGCGACGACGGCCGACGAAGAAACTGACGGAGCTGGAAGAACTCCTGTTCACAGCGGATGCTGCATGTCGGAAGAAATTGATTCTTCTGTGGCCGGAATAGGCCGGAGAATTGAATCTAGCTGCCGTTGACGCGACGTTGGAAGCAACGGAGGAAGCTTTGCTTTTGGTAGCAGAGAGGGAGTAGGTAGGACTTTCAATGGCGAATTGTTTGGGAGAGAGAAAAGGGAGAAGGAGGAGGAGCTATGGCGGAAGAAGATGAATGAGAGGGAGACGACCAAAGCGATTGATAATCAACAACAACCACCACCGCCATCATTTACTCCCCACCTTGAAACTTATTATTATTAGGGGCTGGAGAGGAAGGCCGAGGCTCAGCTCAGCTGGAGTTTTCTTTTTTTTTTAATTTTTTTTTGTTTCTTTGAATAATGGGAGCTGTTGTGGTGCGCATTGAAATCACAGATTGATACCAAAGTGGAATTCAACGGTCATTCTTCAATGCTTTTGGAAAAAAAGAAAAAACTGCTAATATTCGCTTTAATTTCAACTGAAAATGAGGATGCAACGGGTCGGATTAGGAATGAATAGTGATTATGCATTGTGTTATGACTTGTGCTAATTAGTTATGAGTTTTGTTTATACATGCTGTATTCATGTAAGATTTGGATAATAAATGAAAATTGTGTTCATATACAGATTTGATTTTACTGTTTTAGATATTAATGAATATTCATAGATAATGTTTTGCCTTTATCTTCTCAAGTATTATGTTACTATTCAGAAGTATATTATTGCCATAACAAAAGTGAGTGATAATAATCACCAATACTAAAAAAGGAATACTAATTCATTGGATGCTACAAATATACTATGAATATCAACCATGTTAAAATAAAAATTAATGATGTATACTAAATATTAATATTGTATATGAATTTATAATTGGATGAGTTCGAGTTGGATAGTGGGAAAATAATACCGCTCATTACTCTTGCTATTTAGGTAAGATTTTACCCATACTATCAGGTATTGTATTTTAATCCTGATTTTGCCTACCCATCAGATCGATTTTAGAAGGGTATCCATAATTATAGAATTTTTTTATCATTCGTAACATGAAATAATAAAAAATACCGATGGAGACTACATCAACGGAGGTACATGTAATTTAAAGTGGTTGTTATAATGAAATGGACAATCACTAATGCATTAAAATAAAGATTACATTTAAGAGATTACTAGATTTCAAATCATAACATGTAATAAGTTTCACCATAATTATACATGTAATCAAACGATAAACAAATCATCGTAAAATCGTAAGATTGTAAACTACTAATCCCTCGCTCAATACTCAAAGTTTTAATTTCAAAAAAATTGTTGTATTTTCCCCCCTAATCTCCCCACACTTCAAGAACAGTGTATTGGCCATTGAGAAGCAGACAACCCCACGATAAGCAACTAAAAATAATTGGGGGGAAAGAAAGGCATTTGTCAGTGTGCTTCGTTTTTTTCATTTAGGTACACACCAAAAATCAATGCTTGCTGTTGCTAATGGCCTTTAATTGATTACAACTGTTCTCTCCTTTCTTATGCTTCTTTTTTTTTTGTGCTGTTTTGACTTTGCATTTCTGTTTGGTTTCGGTGGAGGGTGTAATAAGTAAAGGTTGGGATTTTGTCTGTATACGTGTGATGATGATGGCTAATTGATTAGCTTACAGGAAAATTTGGGGTTTATTTTGAGAGAGAGAGATTAAGATAAGGAGTTGTCATTAACTGATTAATTAATAGTGTTTTGAATCAAAGCGTGTAAAAAGGAGAAGAAAGGAAGAAGAATCCAACCTTCCAAAGGCTGCAAGAGGAGGAGAAAGAAAAAAAAAAGAGGACGGTAGGAGCAACGACTAGTGACAGACAGACTTGTTTCTTGACATTTTTTTTTTTGTGTGTGTGTGGGGACTGGGGAAAACAATATAAGAAAGGCTATTGTGAATACCAACTACGGTTTGTCCTCTTGGGTGGGTAAGTTAAGTTACCATCAATTCATCGATTGTCTTCCACTGCCGCCATAGCTACACACAACTACCCGGGATATAAGAAATCAAATCTAAGTGTTTTTGAGTATTGATTGTGTAGAAGATGAGGAGGATTGTAGGATAAGATTTGGACTCTCTTGTTCGTTTTCTTTCAAAGGAGAGGAACCTGTGACGGTGTTCCCCGTGATCAAGACTTCGACGTTCAAGTTAGTGCGATATGTTGGTATAAGAATAGTGAATATACAATATACATAGAGTGATAGTAGAGTTTAGAGAGACACATTGTGTAGTTATATGGAGGAGGTCCGAAGTGTTGAGCTCCTTATAAAAGAGTTTAGGCCTTCCGATGGGTTTGGGTAAGAGGTGAGATATTATGAGTTTGACCTGATCAATAACTTAGTCGTTTGTTGTATTAGACAGATTAATATCATATCTCATACACCTACTAATATAAGAAATGAAATCTGGTGTTTTGAACAATTGGTTCCGTCGAAGACTATAAAAAGAATTGATTACAGGGGAAGACTTGGATATCAACGCCGATTACTCGTTGTTTGTTGGTACCAAGGTTGTCAAACCGGTTTAAGTCATGGAGCCGGTTAAGCAAGGGGGTTGAGGTTTAATGGTCTGATTGGGGTCCGGCCGGTTTGACGACTGAAATAAAATTTATCTTACATATATCTATTAAAAACTTATTTGCCACAAAATAAATCTAACAAACCTCCATAACCCACCCACCATCTCCCTTACTTCGTTCCTCTTCCTCTCTTCCCATTCTCTTCTTCTACCTCTTTAGGGGTCAGACCAGAGGGGTTTCTGAAGACCGTTTTGAAGGTTGATTCGAGTCGGACCGGATCCAACCGGGGATTCGATAGGGGTTTAACAACCTTGGTTGGTACTTATCGCCGACAGAAAGATTGTAGGAAAGGGTTTTGTACTGCTAGGCGGGCGAAGTTGTCAATGTGAGAGAGCGAATTGTCAGAAATGGTTTCCGGGTTAAGCATAATCTTTCTTTTTGTTCAATCCCTCCTTAATTCCATCGCCTCCGTGATCCGTCCTCATGAAGTCCCATTGGGAAGGAGATGATTAGCTTTCTGGTTGGATAGCTTAGATAACCTTCCTTCTGTTCGACATGGCCGTGATTTTCTTCATTACGTTTTCCCCGATTTTCTTCTTGAGACTTGAATCCTCGGAAACTCATACGAAGCAAGGATTTGAACGTAAGTTCTCAAAATAATTGAGGCCAAAAGGTAAATGGACATATTAAAGGTAATTCAAGCCGGGCAAATTAATACCAGTGAGCTGTTTCTCTGTCTCCGCCTCTCCGGCGATCCACTGACGTATCAGGAACACAAGCCGGATTGCCGACAATGAGCAAAACGGGCTCAACCCAACGATCTGAGTCGCGAAATAGAGAGATCGGAATCAAGTTTTAACTCTGCAGAGAACGGCGAGTTTTATGGCCATGGCCGGAAACCCCATGAACAAGCATCCAAACATATACCAACACAATCGATTTGAACTGAAACCAGCCTTCATCGCGCAAACATGAAGAACCAAGATGAACAGCAAAGGGATACAGAAAACGAATTAAGAACTTCAATTATTGATCTCGGATGAAGGGCTCATGCTCAATAAGCAAAACCTTACTCAATTGAATTGCAGACTTCCTCAGTCGTTCCCGGAGCAGCTTTCAGCTGCTGGGTTTTGATCTGATCTGACGAGTAAGAAGACGAAGAGAGAAGTTCGGGAGGAGAACAGTCCCAGTTCTTCCACTGCCAAATCTTCCATGGAGTCGGGATCGAAGAAGGCCGCGGCAGAGAGAGATTCTTTAGATCTGGGATGTCAAAGTTCAATTGACCTTTTTCCCTTCATTTTTAATTGCGGCTGAGTGATACGCTTCTGCTACTCTGCAACAGCAGCAAGCTTAGCCGCGACGGGAGGAGAAGAGCCAGATCCGAACTTATTGGGAGCTCCGCCGCCTCCAGCAGTCGCCAATTGTTGGCTATTCGACTGAGCCAAGACAAGCGACTTGTAGATCTGGAGGATCATCTTCTCATCGTACTCCTTAACCGCCCTCCTCCCGAACGACGAGACGCCGTCCCCGATCCCGCCGCCGTAACCCGCGGCGCCGACCATCCCGCCGCCGGCGGAGTTGGCGAAGCCGAGCATCATCCTGACGTAGGCGTCGCGGAGCCAGATGAAGAACTTCTTCGGCGAAGAGAGCTTGTTGAGGAACTTGAGCTTGGGCTTGATCTTGATCCGCCACGATATCCTCCTCCTCCGCCTCCCACCGCCGAGCTCGACCTGCTCGATCTTAGTCGGAGTGGCGGAAGAGCCGCCGCCGATGCGGCGGTAGCCCTGCCGCCTCCAGTAGCGTTTCATTTTGGTGTATACGGTGGGAGTGATGCCTTCCATTTCGGGGAAGTATTGTGTTAAGGATTTTTCTATGGTTGAGGAGTTGAGGTTGTTATTAACGGGTAGTTTGCTTCATGGATTTGAAAAATGAGGGTTTTGGTAAAACTTGGGTTTTGGAAAACCATGGATATATGATGGATTGTGTGGTATTATGGATTTGAACAAGTCTATTGTTTGCTTGATGGATTTGATTATGGACTTTGTTTGATTAGATTTGTGGATATTAAATACAAATTACCTTGTTATCCTTATTTAATTATATTTCTATATTATAATCCAAATCTTTCATTTAAAACTAATCCAAAACATAGAAAGAAATTTTAAACTCTTTACCACTATGTGGATTAATAATTCAACTACAAATATAGAAATGTATTACAATTTGGCACTAATTAACAATTCATCTAATAATGTACGCATTATTATGTATCAACTGCAACCAATTGCTCGCTTTATTGCTACAACTCATCATCTTCTTGCTAACACACCGATGTGGAATCCGACAGTCAATCAAATAATAATGCACAAGATGAGCATAAAGTGTTTTTAGGTGAATCTACAAATCACATATACATTCATATTTAAATAAAATACGATATTACAAAACGAAATGATAAATTCTCATATTTATAAAATACGAAATTATAAAAGTTTATAGTTGCATGACCATTGAATTAAAGTAGGAAAATTTTATTAAAGAAATAATTAAGAGTAGAATGGTAATTTACCATCATGGATTTTAATCCATCACCCAAATCCCACCTCAAGAGGTGGAACTTCAAAGTCCGTGGGGTCCACGGATTTGGAACTCCAAAAGAGGTGGGCCCCACAAATTCCATCTTCCTAATTCCCTAAGGCAAACGATGGATTTCGGTTCAAGTCCATGATGGATATATTTCCATGACCAAATCCATCACCAAAACCCTCAAGCAAACGACCCGTAAGAGAAGAAATGGGGATCTGGAGGATTTCGCGGCGAGGATCGGGAAAGGAAGAGAGAAGGAAGCACCGCCTGTTCAGTGTCCACTCCAGCAATGTTGGTATGGTAACATGAAACGTGTCCGTCGGCGCCGCTACTGGGATCAATAAACATTTAGAGCCCATAAAATTTCGGTTTGGGCCGTAAAACTCCAATCCAGCCTTCCTTTTTGTTCAGCCCGGCCCAAAAGTTAGAATCATTCCAATGCCAAATTGCCAATACGCTATTTCGAGCAGGGCTGCCCATCGCATGGCACAAATGGTCCTTGCAACGGTAGTAATTCATCTGGTTAACTATCGCTTTCTGATTTTCACCATATTGTAATGCCTTATCTATTACAAATCATCTATGACAAAAAAAAATACAATTTTTATTTTTATTTTGCACGATTTGGTAACACAAGTTTGGATGTGTAACAAATGAGCATTTTTGTCCATCTTCATTTAAATTTGTGCCAAACTCGTCGAGTAAGCATCACATGTCACCAAAAAACAATAGAAAATTTAGAGGAACTCAAAAGACTAGACATAGAAATGATTTTTCTGTCACTTTCTAAGTAGTCAAATTGGCCGTTTTAGAAACAGCACAAAATTTTAAATCTAAATCACTTGGGTGTTCATATTTACTTGCATTTTATTTTTTTATAAGGGTGATATAAGTTTATTTTTCTTGTGATTAGATACTACTTAAGAGATTCGAACATGAGACTTTCAGATTCAAGGCTTGTGGTATTACCACTAAACCAAAATTATAAATATACAATGGATGGTCACATTAATGCAATTGATTTTACAATTACAAAAATCATATAATACCATTTCGCAATTGAAAATGCAATACCAATGTTTAGACAACTTTGTATCTCCAGGTTCTTGATGCCCACTTCCATTACGGTTACCCTTTCTCCTTCTTCATTCTCTTTCTACCTAAGATAATTACTAGCAAAGAAGACATTTCTTCTTACTAGTACTTGTTTTTTTCTGTAAAAAAGTTTGTTTATTTGAATTCTCTACCAACTCCAGAGACGGAGACAACGAGAAGGTAGGATGCCATGCTCTCTCTTACAGGGAAAGGTGCTTGCATCAAGTAATGATCACTTCCGTCAAGCAAATCATGCATTCCTCTTCAGCCGAAAGGCAAGGAAGTGACAAACCATTGCTATGTTTATGCACTTTCATGCTCCTGTACTCCATTTGTTTGTTGGTCTCATTATGTTACTGAAAGAAACCAACCCTTTTGAGTTCTGATAGCCGTGACAGTAATGGTTCTTCATTACTAGTAGTTTCCATTCTTTTGCAGAATGAGACTTCGAATCTGAATTCTGAGGAGAACAGTCAGTTTTCTCCTTTTCAATGAATGAAAATCACAGTTGCTAAGTCATTATTTTGAAGTAGATACTTAAGGAAGGGAATCTATCAGGGAGAGATTACTAAAAAGTACTGAACAATGGAAACTTGTTGGTGGGTTCTGTGGTGGCGCCTCTTAGTTGTGCTGGCGGTGGCAGATGTTGGTTTGGCCATTGATGAGTATAGCAGAGCTGATTTCCCAGATGGGTTCATATTTGGAGCAGGAACATCTGCTTATCAGGTGGAAGGAGCAGCAAACCAGGATGGGAGGAGCCCCAGCGTGTGGGACACTTTTGCTCATGGTGGTTTTGCCGGCGGACCTACAGGTGACATTGCAGTTGATCAGTACCATAAATACAAGGTCATTCCTCTCCCTCAGGTTTTCACATTGTAACCTGCAATTCTGCAGTCCAATCATAGTTTTCTCAGGAAGCCCACCTACCTTGTTTCAGGAAGATGTACAGCTAATGGCTGAAATGGGTTTGGATGCATACAGGTTCTCCATCTCCTGGTCCAGGCTCATTCCTGGTATTCTGTTCACCTTTTGCTAATCTGTTTCATGGTTCTACTTGATTGTTTCTCTGAACTGAGTGACTTGATTCATTCTGTTACCACGTTTTCCCCATGGCAGATGGAAGAGGAGATGTGAATCCTAAAGGACTTGAATACTACAACAACCTCATCAATGAGCTCATTAGCCATGGTAGGAGACTCTCCTTCCAGCCTCACATACGCTTGTTGAACTTCCATGCTCTTTGATTTTCCAGTTGCCTCTATGGTGTTTACAGGAATCAAACCACTGGTTTCTTTGTACAACTTCGATCACCCTCAGGTTCTTGAAGATGAGTATGGTGGATGGGTTAGTCGAAAGATGGTGTATGTATGCTCCCCTTGACTGAATCTCTTCCCTGCTTTGTCTTGGCTTGAAATGAAGTTATTTGTATGGAAACTTTTGCAGGGAAGATTTCAGAGCTTATGCAGAAGTGTGCTTCAAGGTGTTTGGGGACAGGGTTTCTCATTGGACAACCGTAAATGAACCGAACATACTAGCACATGGCAGCTACGATCAAGGAATAAGCCCACCGGGCCACTGCTCCCCTCCATTTGGTGCTGCAGCATGTGTTCATGGCAATTCCACTACAGAACCTTACCTGGTTCTCCACAATATCCTCCTGGCACACGCCTCGACTGTTGAGTTGTATCGAAGAAACTATCAGGTTGGTTGGTTAACCTTCGATCCATCTCCTCGTGCATTACTTAGTGACGATCATGAAGAACAACTGTATATTGTCCAGTCTGCAGATACCAGATATCTGATGGTAGTTGAAGTCTAACAACAAGATCACAAATGGACCGAAATTTTTTAGTACCTGAGAACATCATCCATTACTCAGTTTGAATTTGCAGGGGAAGCAGCATGGGCTGATTGGGATTACACTCTATGCTTTTGGTTTTGCTCCGTACAGTAACCTGACAGAAGATGTTGAGGCAACCCAGAGAGCCAAAGCATTCTACTTGGGTTGGTGAGTCGTAACGAATTGAAGTCGGTCTGTTCTGCGCAACCTTAGCACGAATTCAGGAAAACTGAATTCCAAACTGTGTAAATTGTTCTTGTGCAGGGCTGCAGATCCTTTGGTGTATGGAGACTACCCGGAGATCATGAAGAGGAATGTTGGTTCCAGACTTCCAAGATTCACGACCGAAGAATCGGAGCTCGTGAAGGGAGCTTTCGACTTCCTTGGACTCATACATTACATGCAGGTGAGTGTCAAAGACAACCTCAGCAGCCTCAGTTTGGAGCTCAGAGACTTCAATGCTGATATGGGCGCAGAAATAATGATGGGTAATAGTATATATATATTCTTTACAACCTCACTTCACCAATCAAAATCCTGGAGTATTTCTTCCTTCTGTTACAAGACTGAAAGGGTTTTGCTTGCTTCTGTTGGCTTCGTTCCACCTCGAAAGACCATGACAGTTACTTCACTGGGGTAAGAACTTGCAACTCTTTTGTTAATACGATCCCCCGCCCACCTGTAGCTTCTTTGATTCGTCGAATAGTAAGCAATGATGCACTGCTTGGATTCGATTTGATTGTTCAGTTCCCTGTTAGACCTCGGGCTCTGCAGGAGATCTTGGAGGATTTTAAGCAGCTTTATGGAAACCCACCGATCTACGTACTTGAAAATGGTTAAGTTAGTAGAATTGGTTACTGTCCTTCCTTGCCTGCTTTCTCTGGTAGGCTGGATGTACTGAGATAAAGTTTTGCAGGTCAAGTGAACGTTCGCAACACGAGCTTGATCGACGTTACCAGGGTGGAGTATCTGCAAGCCTACATTGGTGCTGTACTAACAGCACTCAGGTAAATATTATACACCACCTGTCCATTCCTTTCTTGTTTAAGCCCTTTCACCATTTCCTGCGCCTTTTCTAATTCGGTCATCATACTACAGGAACGGATGTAACGTGAAAGGTTTCTCCGTATGGTCACTGCTAGACGTGTTCGAGTTATTGGGTGGTTTCCAGACAGGGTTCGGATTGTATTACGTGGATTTGGACGACCCTGACTTGCCTCGATACCCGAAGCTCTCTGCTCACTGGTACTCCCATTTCCTGAAAGGCGGCATCATTGATTCTTCTGCAAATGTTGAGCTTGCCTCGAATCTGAGCAGCGTCACAGATCTTCGCAGTCAGCGTTCATCTTACTAGGCGACGATTAATTCTGCTACTTCACTGTTTGCTACATTTACTTGTATCATCCAAAATTTCCAAAAAAGCTAGTCAAATAATAAAAAGGCCAGCGGTAAAAGAACTAAGAAGCAGTTTTATTCATCTGTTCTGTCAAACACGTACAACTAAAACTTAACTAATAAACTAACTTTTCCAGAAAATCAACACTAGTCTACAGTCTACTGACCAAGCTTCTGATGTTAGATGATGGGTGCTTGGCGGTTGTTTCCGTTTGATTCTAATTTTAACCGTCAGTCATATCACCTGATCCTAAACTTACTCCCAGTATCAAACTATTCAATCACCCTTCTGCATTACGCTAGCTGTTGCTGCCATCTCTCACCTGTTTCAAGCGTAAAGCGAATCAGCAACTCTCGGCAGATTGAGCATTCACTGTCAACTACTATAACACTTTGAATGATACATTGTCTACAACAGTTGCTACTGGTGTGTACCTTGAGCGTCTCGAATTTCGTAACTAGCCTCAGGTACTGGTCGCGAGCCTCAGGGTGACGAACCATGGACGTAACTCTAGCTAGCGCTTTTTCAACTCCTGCAGATTTCTGTTGACGACTGGTGATCAAGAATTCGTACTCATCAGTCTCGCCTTCTGGCACCCCCTCCGTCTCTTTGGCATTAAATCCTCGCAGCCCAACTCCTTTCCTCCTCCAACGTAGTATGGCCTTCTCAACGATGCTTACAGACCAGACAACCTTGTTGTAGTTCCTCCGTACCTGATGCCCTCTCATATGAGCCTGTAACATATACATATGGCACAGAAATTCGCAAGTCAGAACGACCAGTCAACCCAATGAACAACAAAGAAGGGGTAAAGAACAAGGAAATGGAGTTGTACCTGAATTTTGACAACCCGATCACGAATCATTAGAAAATCTTTCCTCCCTTTCCACCCGCGGTATTTCTTTTGGATCTTTACAGCGGCAGAGTGCAAGGAATCTTCAAAGTGAATGTGATTCCTTTTCTGATGATTTTTCAATACACCAAGAACAGCCAATTCACGTGAAACCTCATGAAGCTCATCATCATCATTATTATCACAACTTCTATTCTGTGATGATCTAAATCCAAGCAACGCCTTCTTCTCCCTGTACATTGCTTGAATAAGAGCTGCTGCGTGGGCTGATTTCCTCACAGCAGCCAGAGATTGTTTCAGGGAGAGCTGCTCACCTGCTGCCAAGTTCATTGGAACAGAAACTTGGGCTGCCATCCCTGCATTTTCAGCAGCTGCTGTGGCGTCCTCACTATCCATCAGGTCTCGCTTCATACTTAGTGAACAGAGTTGCCTAGATAAAGATGCTTCTGCCAAGTATCCTGCAATTCCTTTGTGGCCTTGTCCTGATGCAATGTCTGCAGCACTTCTTCCTCCCGGAAAAGATGGAGTTGGATCATCAACAGCTGTTGGATCAACCCCCAGCCTAACCAGAGCCACGACTGTTTCTTCCCTGCACGAAGGAACGAGCCAGAAAAAAAAAAACAAATATGTTTGAGCAAACGAAACCATAACGATCGGATATCTCTGTTATAAACAACAATTTTGCAACAATCTTATGAACACATAAATGCCGCTGTTTCATTAATTCTTAAGGAATAGAACTAAGTTATATCCATCACAAAAACAAGAGGTGGAATGCTGTAACATGATCACATATATACAATCTTTTAGTGACTTGGATGCGACAATAGTGGCTCCGAAAAAAGAGAACAAATTGGCGACCCAAAGTGCACAATCCAGACTAGTGATATAATAAGTCAGGCAAGCAGGCAGGCAGCAGAAGAGCCCAGGAATAGCAACTCACCTGCCAAAGTATGAAGCCCAATGTAGAGCGGTCATTCCTTGTGCATCCCTGAAATTAGGATTGCCACTAGCCTCAACAACAAGGCCTACTGCCCAGTAATAACCAAGGCCAGAAACCAAGTGGAGGACCCCTTGGCCTTCATCATCTAAAATATCTGGACCTTTACCTCCTTCATGAGCCTTACACAGCAGCCACTCCCAAAGTTTGTCTGTCATCAAACTTTGAATCAATCTATCTCTAGTATCTACCGGTTCACCTTCAGTTATCATCCATTTCTCACTACCCCAATGCTGCTCTTTTTGGCTATTACTTCTATCAGAAGTTATGGTTCTCCTCAGCTTGCAAGCATTACATCTCTCGACTGAGCAATTCAGCCACTTCCTCTCTATGCCGAGTGATAACAACTTAGCAAGACGGACTTGAAAACATACTTCTAACTGTTGCACACTTCTTTCAGAGAGCGAAGAAATTTTTATTGGATTTTCACGATACTGAAATTCCCTTACCTCACTGCACGCTAACCTGTCACGACAAGTGACATAAAATGGCACATTTCCTTTAGCATGTACAGGGGCATGACATCTAATGACAGTTCCATTCAAAACTTCAGCAGAGACTTCAATTTCACCAAACATACAGCCCCATCTAGTCTCGGTATCAGGTTTGGGCTTCTCCAAAAAGGTACCAACAATTAGAATCTGGAAAAACAAGCCACAAAGCATGAGCTATAAAGCAAAACGAGGCAACTCATTGAAACACTTTTGTAACAAGGATCATAGAGTAAGTTGATGTTTAAAATGACAACAAACCTTTGTTTCCACACCAGTGTAACCCCATTCTGGTGTGAAGTCCTGAATGGTAAATAGCTGAACCTGGGAAAGAGAAGGCCCCAAGGAATCAACATCCAATTGCATATGGTGAGACAAGCTAGACACTTCTCTCTCCTCATTCTCTGCAGCAAGCGTATCCCAGTAATTTCCAGAGTCAGACAGAATAAGAGAATCATCACAGTCCTGCCCCATTTCTTTATTCATCCACCTCCCAAAGCTATCAAGCTTTTTAAGGTTCCCGAAGTCGTTATTATCCGTGTCATCTTTCCATATCTCAGCTTGGCTTGTACTAGTGATAACCTTTTGAAGCTCAGAATGATGATGGATTTCATTCTGCAACATCAATGTATATGGTGAACAAGTTATATCCAATATTCTTCACCCTACAATAGAAATTGACAACCAACATAACAGGGCAATTCAATTTCAAACATTTTCCGTCTCCAACATTACATAGAAACAATGAACGTCAACAGGAAAGAATAATCTATCATTCTGTACTAATTATCTAATTAGATTTGGCCTGAGGGAAGAAAGCCGGTAAGATTAATTTTATGAAGGAGAATTAAGAGAAGTTGAAGCACATAAGCTACAATGTCAGTAGAACATACAGCAGATTGTGGAGCTTCTTTAGTAGCAACTGCAGGTCTACTATCTGATAGTGCAGCTGATGCCATAAGAATGGCATAGTCAGCCATATCATAATTCAGAAAACCTGTTCTCTGGCCTTGCAAACTAGCTTCACCTTTGTTAGAGCTGCAAGTTTCCAGCCAAGGAGATGGTCCAGTGCCTTGTTCAAATTTAACTCCAATAGATTGTGATGCATGAGGATTACCTGATGGGAAACAAAAACCTGAAAAACAGAACAATCTTAAATAGTGCAAAATGGATGATATGCTTAAATAACTAGGGACAGAATCACAATCCCATGCGAAATTTAGCGTCCAGTACTGATGTAAACATGCATAAAATTATCTCTACTGGCCGAGGAACCATATAAATGTATTTCGATCGAAGAGACATCCAACCTTTGGTATCAGATGCAAACAAAGAGGCATCATGTGATAATGCTTGTGTTTTCCAATCAGCTTTGTTTTGATGCACTGTATAGTCCTTCTCAATGGCAGAAGTGGGTGAGGCTGGCTGTGCGAATGAGGCAACAGAACTGGGTTCAAGATTTTCAACGTGATCTACCAGAACAGGTGATGCGCGGAACTTGTATCTCTACAGAGATCATGTGAGCAATAGAAAGATAAGAAAAAAGTACCCAAATTAAGATGATATAAAGGAAGTGGCCATTTGATGAAATTTAAAACCGTCAAAAAACATAATACAGATTAACTCATTCAATTGCTACGGCGGCATGACATTATAGCAGACAACCAGAAAAATGAATAACCAATTAACCATTTCTTTCTCCCCCATGGAAGTTCCCACAGCTTATTAACCAGACTTTTTACATATTCTGAAATCCTTGGTGAAAATGCAGAAACAAAAAAATGGATACCGTGCCTCGTTGAACCCACCTCTCTCACTTCTCTGTAATGAACAAGAACAATGTGGTCTAATTTCCTGAAAACCAAGGGAAGAGAAAATAGCTCAGAGACATAACAAAGTAACTAGAACAGAAAGCCCTGAAATAATAGTATGGCTTCTAAAAATCATCCATCATATGAGCCTAGTTACAACTGAAGAAGCATGCGAGAACACAATTACACATACTCATCAAGCATCCAATAGCATCGTCGCTGAAAATTCTCGTTGTCCTCCCCATGGGCATAGTAACAATGGAGAACATCTACACTTCCAACCTGAACAAATCAGTTAAAGTCAAAGAGATCAGGAAACCAAAATGAACAGCCATTAGGATTGGCAAAGTATCATAAGAAAACTCATCAGCACACAATTGTTGCTTGGCAACGGTAAAAGAAGATCCTCAAAACCTGTGGAAGTTCCAGTGGCTTTTCGTGGAATAGAAGTAATCTAATGGAGAAAATTTGAAGCAGCAATACAGAAACAACCAAAGCACTCAAGCAACAAGACCCGCAGAAGAAGTGTTTTGGTGGTCGAAAACCCGAACTTACGAATAATAAATTGAACAGCACACCTTCAACTTTTCGTGCGCTTCTCGAACTGTCTTCCCATCTTTCTTCTTCTTCCAGTTGTGGTTATCTCTGCGGAAATACCGAAGCGCTTTCCGATCAAAAAGGAAGAGAGAACCAGCTGCGAAAGAAGAACACAAATTGTGAGCATTAAAACAAGTACCGCGCGAAAGAATTTCTTCAAAGTCGTGAATCAAAGAGAATTGAGTAGAAGACAGTAATGGCGGACCTGGAGGCAAGTGAGGCGGCTCTGCACTCAACTTGAATATGTTGTAGTTGCTCAATATCTGCATGATCTCGGAAGGTCGTAGCCACCGGTGTTTGGATTCTCGCAGAATATTTTCTAGCTCTGCCAAACAAATTTTCAAAACAGCATCGACAAGCCGCGAGAAAATTTTAGCTAAGCAGTTTCAATTCAACGAACTAACACATTACGCGCCACCATAGCCGAACCAATTAAGCACCAACGAGAACAGTTCCCACTTCTAGCATAGGGAAAAGGCAGAATGAAAACGAACCTGCAGGACTCAGCATCATATGCTGCTGTTGCCGATGACGATTCATGAGCTGGTCCGGAAAAGTGTTCGCCATGGACGAGGAACCCTAGATTTTCATCAGCTACCTTGAGATCACAATTCAAATTCCAGGAGGCGGTTCAGGTACTATAAACAACAGCAACGGAGGAGAAACATCGCACATATAAACATAGCAAGAAAGCTAAAAATAGAAATGGCTGGAATCAGTCGATCAATCTCAGGCGCGGAAAGTGGAGTCGGGAAGAAGGAGAGAAGCAGAAGAGAAGAGAAGAGAAGGAAGGTGTGACGAACGGCGGCGGGGAGAAGGGAAGGAGGCGTTATGGAAATGGAGAAATGGGAAGGCGGGGGCAGGGAGGTTCATCGAAACAGAGCTCTCGATACATTACCGCGTGATATGAAGGAATCTGCGGGTTGTTTTTCATTTTTTGAAAAAAACAACAAAATTGCATCAGTTTCCGGGACCGCCCTTATTATGAATTTAATTCACTTCTGATTTGAATTTGTTGATTAGTAGATGAATAGATGAATGAGAGGAGCATAAAATTAAAAAGGTAAGGCCCTGTTCACTTCCATTTTCGTTTCCTGTTTTCTGTTTTCATGTTACAAATTTGGGAAACGAAACGAGAAAACATGTTTACTTTTCATTCTGTTTTCTATTCGTTTCCAACTCTGAAAACAGAAAGTGGCAAATTCCTACTGTTTTCGAAAACGAAAAAATGTCGTTTTCACCTGTTTTCAACATCTGTTTTCTCAAAAACAGGAAACAGAAATGAAAGTAAACAGGGCCTAAGGGTTCCTGCCTGGCACTAATCCAACTCGCAATAAAAGTCAAAAGAGAGAAAGAAACAGAAGAAGTGTTCACATTTGTGACTGAAATCAAAATAAGATTGTTTCCAGGCAATTACCTAATTCTTTATTAATATCTAATTTTTATATAGTTTAATAATTTTTGAAACTTATTGATTCGATGAATATGACCCTAAACACGTTTCATTTATCGAGTCTTACGTGATAAACTATTCCAACTTCATTAACGGTCATCAAAATCTCAAGAGAAACTCACAATGACTTACGTAACAAATCACTCGGGCCTCTTTGCGATCATCGGGGCCTTACATGATCTCACATGACAAGTTAACTCGATCTCTCTCGATTGTCATTAGGACCTCACATAACGTCATGTGACCACATGTGACAAGAAACCCTTAATGGAAAGGAAAATTCATTTTTCATTTTAAGGTGATATAGCAGTTATTAAGTTGATTTTGACTCGCACGTCAATGCTGACCGTACTTTTTGTTATATATAACAGAAATGAAAATTCCGTTCACGATTGTCATATAAAAACTATAATATGTAAATGACAATATCACTAAAAGTTCATATTTGTAGTGATATATTATTATAGGCAAAATAACCTTTCATAGTCACAACTTTCACATTTGTGTAGGGATGGCAATGGGTCGGGTCGGGGGCGGATAGTGCATATCCGTTACCCTACCCAAAGTACTTCGGGTTTTACCCATACCCATACCCACATGTGAAACGGGTAGAAAATCATAATCATGCCCATACCCGTTCGGATTTCGGGTATCCACGGTTATCCATGGGTATTAATTTCTCTTCATTACTCCAACCAATATGTTAACATTCACACATATTCTTATATTAAGTAAGAGAAAAAGTACGACAAGAATTCACTAGAATGAAGAAAATTAGCTAAAACAACACAATTTCATGAAAATGTTATATTTATATGCTAAATATAAATACGTTAGAGAAAAATAATGATTATTTCTAGACAAAATACATATGCATGTGTATAATCGGGCGGGTTCGGGTCGGATAGTGAGAAACCCATGGCCACCCATTGCCCGCAATATTCGGGTTCGGGTTTTACCCGTACCCACTAAATGTCCTTCGGATTCGGGTTTTACCCTACCCGACTAGGCCGGATTCTGACAGATATCCACGGCTACGGATATTTTTGCCATCCCTACATTTGTGACATATATAGTCACAACTTTCAAAATACACGACTAGTCAGAATTTTGATAGTTGTTTGACAAATCTAGCTATTTCCTCTACAAACTTTAGAGTGTTAGAGATTTTGTTAGTTATGTTAACGACGCGCTGACTAAGATGCCAAATTGACGCACACGTCAACGAAAACTCAGCCTCACTTGCCACGTAGATACCACGTCATAATTTACTTTAAAAATATTGCAAAATACACTTTTATAGCCACAACTTTCACGTCTGTGACGGTTATAGCCCCAACTTTTGATATACAAGAAATAGTCATAATTTTGATGTTTTTTTTTACAAATCTAGCCATTTCTGTTACAAACTTTCGAAATACACAAAACAGTCGCGACCATGTGCTCGATTTCTTCTTAGGACATCATTCTCTATCGTCATCGGAGACACCGTCTCCTCTTTCACCAGCGTCGCCGGTGCCTTCTTATTCGAGGCAGTAATCAACTTCTTCCCAACAACCTTCTTGCTATCTTTCTCGTCGTTTTTCTGTGAACTCGCCAAGCGTTTGAGGCCTTATTCTTCAATTTAGCGATTGGGGATCTAAATCGACAATTCGGGAAATAATGCCTCATTCTCAACTCAAACACTCATACTGTTAATCCACGCGGATCGTCAACGCAAAACTTCTCTTAGTCCAATCATACTGTTAGGTGATATGTTAAATGGATGGACGGAAGTCGCTATTTTGTGTATTTCGAAAGTTGTGGCTACAACTGTCACAAACGTGAAAGTTGTGGCTATGAAAGTGTGTTTTTTGTTTGTTAATCCACATGGATCGCCAACTCAACATTTCTGTTAGTCCAGTCATACTGTTAAGTGACACCGTTAAAGGGATGAACAGAAGTGGCTATTTTGTGTATTTCGAAAGTTGTAGGTATAACTGTCACAAACGTGAACGTTTTTTGCCATGAAAGTGTATTTTGCCATTATTATATAATAATAATAATAATAATAATAATAAACCCCGAAACGTTTGGATTTTAGCAATCCGTTTCGCGTCTACCGTCTCTCAATCCCGTTTCCCGTCCCTTGTGTCGTGGTTTCGAGTTTCTGCGCGAACGTTTCCCGTTGGCCCAGCCGCTTCGTGGTTTGGGTTTTCACCCCTTTCCCCTTCTTCTGTTGCATTTTTTTCCCCGCAGGATCAATCGGCTTTTCGATGTCTGGTTACCATCGTCACGCAAAGAATGCAAGTGCGAATAATCCTTCCACCCGCTTTATTTCGTCTTCCTTTACGGAGCAGAGTGGGGCGTATTTGTTTCCCCTAATAAGTTAATGGTCCATCCAGCATGGGATTGGCATGGTGGTGGTTCATCCACTCTTAACAGGAAAATGGCGGAAGCAGACAGATGGGTATAAGAGGGTGAAGCTTCTGGGTTAGACGGAGAAACTGGAAATCAAGACGGCGGAAGGGAAATACTTGCTTTTGCGATAGTTGCCTCTTTGTCTCTGTGAGTTCTTTCCCATTTGATTGATCGGCAAAAGTTGGCATTTTAAGTGTTTGTTACTTTGTCTCAGTGACTGAGTGAGTATTTAATTAATTGTAGTTGGTCGGAAGAGGTGCCGGCCGCCGTCGGGAAGAAGGGCAACGGACGCCGGGCGGGAGACATATTATTATTGTTGCCTGTTAATTAACTTAATATCAATTTTTTTTGTTTTTTGTTTCTTGTTTGGGGTTGAGGGGTAAATAGTAAAGACCGAAAGAGCAGCCTCCCTCACCACTCCCTCGCTGCAACAAACACGCAAACACAGATCTCACTCTCTCTCCTCTTCTCCGCGTCCGAACTTTCTTTCTCCATCCCAATCGGCAATTCTTTCTCTCCTGTCGATGGGAACGGTAATGGAGGTATTGGGATGTCCATCATCATCGATGGCTGATTGATTTTGGAGTATGGTTGCGATGCCCTTTGATTTTTTCGCGCTCTTCCACTCCTCCTGCATTTACTCTTGCCCTCACTGCTCTGCTCACTCTTTCACCCGTCTCCCGTTTTGGGTTTTCATGACGCGCGCTCTCTCTCTCTCTCTGTCTAATCTCTCTCTCTGCAAGCTCGCTTAGCTTTTGGATCCACCGTCTGATCTCCGACTGCAACATTTCCCCCAACCTCCGGATGCCGTCCTTATTCCCTCTCTTCTGCTAATTAAGCAAGCAGCTATCACTGTCTCCGGCACTGGGTTTCTCCGCCTGTTTGTATTCAATCCCTGCTCCTCGCTCGCTCACTCTCGTTACTGCAGGGCCGCATTTGAAGCTTGCAAACTGGGTCGACCATGGCGATGATAAGCAAGCCCCTCGTCTTCACTTACATCTACCTTCTGATCTACATCATCCTCTCCTCCGGCGTCATCCTCTACAACAAGGTACCATCAGTCACACTCCCTTAGTACTTCCTGCTTCTTCTGCTTGCTAGCTGCCTGCCTGCCTCACGCTGCTCCCTCTCATTTTGATTTTGCAGTGGGTTCTCTCACCCAAGTATTTCAACTTCCCCTTCCCCATCACGCTGACTATGATTCACATGGCGTTCTCCGGCATCGTCTCCTTCTTCCTCGTCCGCGTTTTCAAGGTTTGCCCAATGTCTTTCTTCTGTTGAGCATCCTGCTCGCATATATGTGCTAATTACTACTGCTGCTACTGTCAACTTAAATTTCTGCAATCTCAATTTGGGAGCACCCCATTTGATGGGAAAACCCTCTATGCCTTGTTCTTGCCTGATCATTGTGTTTACCACTACCTGATTACTGCTTTGGGAGAGATAATATTAAGGAGAAAACACCTGCCCTTCTGAATGCTACAGAATTCCCAATCAAACCCCTCAACCTCGTCCTTGCCATGTTCACTGAAATGGCAAAACAGCTTTATACTGCTCTTGAATCGCCCTTGTTGCTGATTTTGTTTTCTTGCTTGCATGCCTGATATCCTATCGTTCCATTTTCCTGTGTGCTTTAGCACTTACCTTCTGTCTCTCATTCTCTTGATTTTGTGCAGGTTGTGTCTCCTGTCAAAATGACCTTCGAAATGTATGTGTTTCTACTTCCATTTGTCCTTATTTTCAAAATCTCCCCCTCCCTTCATTTCCAGTATTAACTTCTCTTTCCCCTGATATTGCAGCTATGCCACTTGTGTCATACCCATAAGCGCCTTCTTCGCAGCAAGTCTTTGGTAAGATTCATTGCACGCATTCTCTAACTTGCTTCATCTTGCTGTGGCAAAGTAGTGATGCAACTTAGGCAAAACACAGTCATGGCATGCCTCACATTACATGAATAACTCGATTTTATCAGTACAAGACAGGCCTGGTTCTTATATTCAATTTAAGATTTTGTTCGTATACTTGCCTTCAATGTCCAGCAAGACTACACATCCAAATTTCTTATTTATTTAACCGGCCTGGATGCTATGTTTTGTTAAGTCCCGCTAATTCTTATGATTACCTTGAAACTTTTCCTAGTTGAGGTTCCTATTGATGAATTCATATATGCAGGTTTGGCAACACTGCATATTTGTATATTTCAGTGGCCTTCATCCAGATGCTTAAGGCTTTAAGTAAGTGGACTCAAACTATGTAACATTATTCTCTGTCAAATATTCTGTTTTGTTTGATTTAATCTTCTGTGTGCTCATCTTTTTGTGAATTTTTCTTTGCAGTGCCAGTGGCAACTTTTATCATGGCTGTATTATGTGGCACTGACAAAGCAAGGTGTGACGTGTTCTTAAACATGTTGCTGGTCAGTGTTGGAGTTGTCGTCTCCTCGTATGGGGAAATCCATTTTAATGTAGTTGGCACAGTTTACCAGGTTACGGGCATCTTTGCAGAAGCACTTAGGCTGGTCTTAACTCAAGTTCTTCTACAAAAGAAGGGCTTGACACTGAATCCTATCACCAGTTTATATTACATAGCTCCATGCAGGTACTTACTCTGATGCCTTGGATCTGGCTTTCCCATGTGGCATGTCTACCTGATTTTGAACTCTTCTCATTCGAGTGTCTGATCTTAAACTTAAATTTACTTGCGAGTGACCTTTTTGTATACCATTCTTCCTTGTATGTCCATGTGATGAGTGCTTTGAGAATTTATGGTCATTCTTATAACGAGTTTTTGTCTCGTTGATTGGATGTAATAACTAGAACTATCTAGTTTTCACTACCGTCTACCAATAGAATCAATAGTTCTGCTTGTTCGAGTTGGATTAATGGACTAGAAGCTTTATTACTTTGTAGTGTTACTCAAAGTTCAAGGTGTTTGGCTGACCTTGTGGTTAAGGGACAAGGAGTAACAACCTGTTGATGCAGCCAATATCTACTGTCTCATTCATAATTAGCTGAAATTGTGTCCAGATGCTTTCTTGAATTATTAAGTTGCTATATCGCGTACTTGTACGCAACGTTCTAGCTGCTCACTCATGTAACTCTATTCTGTTACATGCAGTTTTGTGTTTCTCTTTGCGCCTTGGTATCTACTGGAGAAACCAGGGATGGAAGTTTCACAGATTCAGTTCAATTTCTGGATTTTCTTTTCTAATGCACTCTGTGCATTAGCCTTGAACTTCTCCATATTCTTAGTGATCGGAAGAACTGGAGCTGTCACCATCAGGGTTGCTGGTGTACTTAAAGACTGGATACTGATAGCCCTTTCAACCGTAATATTTCCCGAGTCTACTATAACTGGCCTGAACATAATTGGTTATGCAATTGGTATGCATTCCTAATAGCTATCTCTGAGGAATTCTAATGTGTCCCTATTCTTAGCACATGCATGCGTTTTGCAAACTTTATATGTGATTTGATTTATTTTTGTGCAGCTCTTTGTGGTGTCGTAATGTACAACTACTTAAAGGTTAGGGATGTCCGTGCATCATCGCAGCTTCCTGAATCTTCTCCCGAAAGAATGACCAAGGTTTGTAGTTTTGTGCTTTATTGACTCCTATGTTCTCTATTGTACCTCAACGATCTCACTAGGGTGGTTAACCAGCCAAACCAAAACCTGTTAATCTACAACCGAAACTATGACCAATGGACTAAAACCGATCAGTCATCCTAACAGTTTTCTGAAAACAGGAAAACCTATACCATCTTTTCACTATTTAGTGAATCATTCTTGGTTGATTTTCCGGTTTTTGGTTATGTTATGATTTCCGCTTATGAAACTGCTACTGCAAAACTGTCTAAAGACTATTTAAACCGGTTAGCCACCTGTAATTTCAACCATACCTTTTCCCGCGTCGCTTATCTAACTTACTGCTCGTTGATGGGGGTATGCATGGTCAACAGGAGTGGAAACTGGAAAAGAAGTCATCCGATATATATGTGCCTAACAATGGTGATGGCAGTGGAGCAAACATCTTGTCGTCCTCCGATAGTGCGGATGAGGAAGCACAACCGCTGATTGCATCCTCCAGATTGTCCCATATTGGACGTACACAGGCTAGTAACCACGGTGGATGAATACATGCTGCTGTGGCATGTGAATCCAGAATTGCAGAAACAGGAGGGCGGGAGCCTGCTTAAGTTTGCAAGTCCGAGGTGCATTACACTACGTCAGTGGCTGCTTCTCGTATCTCTTAAATTCTGCTTGGTTCGATTTTGTTCTTCTTTGAGGCTATAGTGAGTGCTCTTGTTTTGTCTGGCTTTCTCTAGGCGCATTTCGAGCAGCGATAGGGGGTTGTAGTAGCATCAGTGTTTCGTAGTTTTTCCTATTCTTGCGTACGCTGCCATCGGTTGCAAATCTATTGAAAGTTTGTAACTACTGACTGCACTTCTACTAGTGCCACACGTTTGCATAGATACGTAATCAATCTGAGGAAGGAACCTGAACTTTTTTCGATTCGAGCTATTGCTGGTTTAAGTGGACTCTATTCATGTTATGCAATTAAGGTATTGTGGATTGATGGATACATTAACGGAACAGAAGAAAACAATGAACATAAAGCCCTATAGCAATTCACCTGAAGCAATATGCTCCAAATCACACGAGCACAAAGCATATACAGCTAAGGCCTGAGAGTGAGCCTCACAGCCCTGAATCCTGATTGACCAATAAGTCTTACGCCAGAAGCTGTGTTTGATCTGAATTTCTGCCTAAAATAGTAAACACATACGTTCGTGGGCTTGGAGTGACGGAAAGCCCACTTCTAAAAGCTCAGCCCAATAAATATAAACTTTAGACTTGCTTCTTCCTCCATCCACAATTTGTGGAATCAAAATGCACTCGTGTTGATTTCGAGAGACTATCATCCGTAAAATTGAATCGAAAGTTGTATTAGGATTCAGACACGTTATCTATTTTCGCAATCGAGTCTAGTTCACGATTACAACAAATATGTTTGTTTTTAATTCTTCATCCTTTAACAAATTATGGAATCATAGTGCACGTAGTGATTTCGAGATATTTTTACCTGAATCGGAAGTCATATCAAATGTATGTTAGTGACTTTAGTGATACAAATATCGTTCAATAAATCATGTATCAGAAAATTATCTTAAATAAAATAGTATATTCTACTAATATCATTTTCAGTCTAGATATGTCGGATAAAATTAATTAGACATGCCACTTTACTTTTTCATAGTAATATATCGGATAAAAGTATTTTGTAAATAGTAATTACTGATTAGGCATGACAAGTTGCTAACTAATTGAATTACTTGTTCCTCCATCCTTAGAAATAGTGACTGGCCGAATATAGTAAGTTACCACACCAAAAAAGGTAGCAGTAAATTAAATAAGACTACAGCAACTAATAATAGGCGACAAGTTATCCAAAATAAGCACCAAATATCATAACCCAAATCAAGACCCAGTCCCACGGCCTCAGCTTCATCCTCGCACTCTCATGCTTCTCTGGTTTTCCCTCTTTTCGAGCGGAGCCTTTCCACGTCACCATCATCGTTCCTCACTAGTTTACGTATAACGTATAAATACCCCTCTCCTCCTCCCTTAATCCTCCATCAACAACCAATAAGTAAACACACTTCATTCACATTTCCAATAAACACCTCAATAATAACAATAATAATAATAATAATCCCCACCCTTCACAATACCATAAACAAAATCCGCCACTAAGAATAAAAATAATACAATAATAATGGCGGTGAACAAGAAAGCAATCGGAATAGGAGTCTCCATCATCCTCGTGGTCGGAGTCTGCATCGGCGTCATCGCCAGCGTCTCCAAGACCCACGGCAAGGGCGCCCCCGATGGCGGCGGCGGCGACGACAACGCCGCCGCCCTCTCCTCCGCCTCCAAGCAAGTGGCCGCCATCTGCGTCTACACCGACCACGCCGAAAAATGCGTGGACAGCATGAGCTCCGTCGCGGGCAACGAGAGCGCCACGCCGATCGACTACCTCAAAGCTGCCATCAACTACACAATCACCCACGTGAAACACGCGGCCTACAGCACGGCCGTGCTGCAGAACCAGACGACAGGGGGAAAAAACAACAACAACAAGAACAACATGACGCAGGAGCTGGCGTTCAAGTACTGCGGGGAGCTGCTGGACCTGTCCGTGGACGAGTTAACAAACTCGCTGGCGTTCCTCGGGACGGCGGAGCAGACCGCGGACGTGGTGGAGATGGAGCAGGAGATCAGGAACTGGCTGAGCGCCGTGAGGGCGTACCACGGGACGTGCGTGGACGGGTTCGAGGGCACCGGAGACCTCCACAAGGGGGTCTCCGACGGTCTGTTGAACTCGACCCAGCTCACCAGCAACGCGCTGGCGATATTCGCCAGCGTGTCCAGCATCCTGGCGAACTTCAACCTGACCGCCGCCTACGACGGTCTCATCGACGGGGCGAAGAGCCGCCGTCGGCTCAGTCTCAGGAGGAGGATACTGCAGGAGGAGGAGGGAACACCCCGCGGGGGCCGCGGGGGGTTCCCTCACTGGTTGTCCACACAGGACAGGAAGCTGCTGCAGGCAGGCCCGCCCAAGCCCGACGCGGTCGTGGCTCAGGACGGGAGCGGGCAGTTCAGGACCATCACTGCCGCACTCGCTGCTTACCCTAAGGGCCCGCTCAACGGAGGCAGGTACGTGATCTACGTGAAAGCAGGGATCTACGATGAGTACATCACGATTACGAAGAACCAGCCGAACATCTTTATGTACGGGGACGGTACGCGCAAGACCGTCGTCACGGGCAACAAGAGCAACAAGGGTGGCTTCCCCACTTGGGGCACTGCTTCCTTCGGTACGTACGTATGACCGTACTGTTAGAGAGTGCGTGGTATAAGATTCAACATAACCTTCTTCCAACAACTCGAGTTATTGGAAGCAACTGGTTCATAACAACGTATCGTATTGTACTATATTAGTTGTACTGTACGTGTAACATAATACTAATCGTACTACTCATGCTATGCTGTGATATACAATGCAGCGGTGATCGGGAACGGGTTCATCTGCAGGGACATGGGATTCCAGAACACGGCCGGCGCGATAGGGCACCAGGCGGTGGCACTGAGGGTGCAGTCCGACAGGTCGGTGTTCTACAACTGCAGGATGGACGGGTACCAGGACACGCTGTACCAGCAGGCACACTATCAGTTCTACCGTAACTGCGAGATCTCGGGGACGGTGGACTTCATCTTCGGGGACGCGTCGGCCATAATCCAGAACAGTAAGATCATAGTCAGGAAGCCGATGCCGGGCCAGGCGAGCACCGTGACGGCCCAGGGGAAAACGGACAAGAACGAGGTGACGGGAACCGTCCTCCAGAACTGCGCGATCCTGCCTGACACGCTGCTCGCGCCCGTGACGGCCCAGTTCCCTTCGTACCTCGGGAGGCCGTGGAAGCAGTACTCGACCACGGTCATCATGCAGACCGCGATCGGCGGGTTCATCAACCCGGCCGGGTGGATGCCCTGGGCCGGGAGCCTGTACCTGGACACGCTTTTCTATGCGGAGTTTGGGAACACGGGCCCGGGCGCCAATACGGCCCAAAGGGTGAAGTGGAAGGGGTTCCGTGTCCTTACCGCGGATCAAGCGAACCAGTACACGGTCGGACCGTTCCTTTTGGCTAACCAGTGGCTACCCAACACCGGCTTGCCTTTCTCCACCGGCATGGGACCTTGATTTATATAATTTTTTTTTTGAAATATTATTCTTTGGTTCTTTCTAGATATTATTTTTGTAGTTGATGATTCATTTTACACCCGCTCCATGTCAAACCCTTCTCCCCCCGCTTTTTTTCCCCCTTCCACATGCATGGAATTTTGAATAAATATTGATTCATTCAATATACATAATGATGAATTCAAGTTAATTAATGATCAATTCGTTGGTTCATTTTTTTTTAAATTCTTGCCTTCATAATTATGATGATCATATTCATATCACTCAATGTTTTTGATAAGGATTAATTAGTGTATGTCTATCACAAATTGAGTAATTTCTCGAGTGAGTTTAGCGGACAAATACGATCTACCCATTTAATTATAGAATAAGTGATATTTATTGTGTGGCTTATAATAGTATGTATACCTTGTCATCATACCATATTTGATTTGAATTGAAGATGTCTATACTAATAGCAAATTGTAATTTTAATTCTATACCATTGATAAAAGTTGCATATACTTCAAATATCTGTGACTTTATACGTATTCTTCACTTTCCATACATTACATATACACCGTCGATCGGTGAATCGAGATTAATTACAGAAAAAGAACAATGAAACATTTAGACTGTGTGTCTTTGTGGCATCAATGAAGATCAAGCTTCATGCATATTGCCATCAATTGAATCTTCCATCACACTGGAACGGTATGATCTGGCCGAATTAGGCTTCCGCCAGAGCCATAGTACTACAACTTGACTTTGGGGTAACTGACGATGAACTCCCCAAGTCATTTGAGAGCTTTTCACATAACTGCCATGTCAGAATGGAAATTAAAGGTCGATATTACAGCCATGAAATTGCAATGTAGTAGTAGTTTCTGCTATTGCAAGCTGATTAATTGGGTAGGTAAGCTGAAATGAATTACTTGTCTATAGACAGAGGAATCTCCATATGATTTCTGCAGTTCAACTACGTAGAGTGAAGGGCTTATCTCCAATATCTGCCAGGCCAGTACGCATCAGAAAAAAGAATACATATATATTGTGGTTTCTCCACTACGGCGCACTTTAAAAAAAAAAAAAGAGTAGATGTTTGACGTTTAATTTTAAAAGTAGTCTTAAAACATTGGATTTAGAATTTTAATGGGTAGCATTAATATAATATGAAATAATATGAAGATATAACATATAATCACAGGTTCGCAATTAATCAAAGCATTACCCTAAACTACGTACAAATAGAGAACCTTAAACCCAAACTCTAACCCTAAATCCCTAAACTTTAAATCCTCCAAATCAAAGTAAAACTTGACTGATTCCGTGCAACTTCATGTGTTTTATTGTCCTATCATATCACTGTCATAAACAAGTTGGTCCCAATAACTCGAGTTGTTGAGAGAAGGTTATGTTGAATCTTTATACTGAATCTTTATACCACTCTCTAACACGCCCCCTCAAACGAAAGTCAGCCACCTCATAAGGGCTTTCGTTTGCACAGGTCTGAATACACGATACCGTGTGCTTCACAAACGGGCCGGGGGTCACCGGGATTCGAACACAAGACCTTTCGGTCACGCATAAGGCTCCGATACCATGTCAAAACCAGTTGGTCCCAATAACTCGAGTTGTTTGGGAGAAAGTTATGTTGGATCATGGATCTTTATACCACTCTCTAACAATCACAAGTGACGAATGATACCGATTTGACAAAAATCACCTACTCAGAATTCTGACGATTATAAGTACCGAAAAAAAATAAGTACACCGCATACTGTGATGCACGTACCTCCGCAGCAACCGAGAGATTGGATTTGGCAGAACCCGTCATCATGTGCTGGTTCTGCACCACTTTCATGATCATCAACTGCATCGATTGATCGCCAATTAGATCAAATAACTCTGATCATGCGTAACGTAACGTAACGCACTGAATATGTAACGTACATAACGTAACTCACCCTAGGCCTGACGTGTTGGTTCCTCGTGACCTTGCGGACGTGGAACCCCATCGCCGTCGCAATCTCCTCCATCTTCTTCATCAGATGCTTGAACGAGCAGTCGGACGCCGCAAACCTGACCTTCCGCTCGGAAACCTCCTCTTCCTCGAAAAACCCGGAGAGGTCGAGACACGACGACATCCCTATCAGCTGGAACGCGTTGATGACCGGACGAGTACTACTGCTGGCGGCTTCAGATAATCCGGCCGGTAGAGATTGAGTCTTCTGCAGCAGCACTCCCGCAGCTGGCGGGACGATCATCATCATCAACCTGCAGTAGCTTCCATCATCCTCGTCAACGTCGTCGTCGACTAATTCTCCTTGGTATTCTTCGTCGTCTGATAAGAGTAGCGTTGCTGCTGCTGTTGCGACGTAATCTTGCTTGAACCAGGGATCGGACTTGATGCCCGCCATTGTGATTCTGGTGGCGGGGTTTGGATCCAGGATCCTGCTGATTAGGTTTCCGGCCCCGGGGCTCATCCATTTCGGTATCTCCACCTCCCCCTTCATTATCTGTTTTTGATAATCAATCAATCATTAGAACCAGAGTATATGTGGTGATTTGTACCGTCCACTCGCAAAACCGAGTCCATACTATACACCCAACTCCAAAATTAGAGATCGATATTTGAATTTCGATTGGTACCATTAATCTTACAAAATGCGATGTAACATCGGACTAAGTCTCGAACCTTCAATTTTGAAAGCTAACCCTAAATCTCAAATTGTACGAGTAAACCCTAAATTCCTAAACGCACTAAACTTTAAAAATCAAAGTAAATCTTGAATTATTTTGTGTAAATTCATTCCCTTTCTTTCTCTGTCATTGACAATTGACATTATTGGGTTATAGGTATAATATGCCTCCTCTACTATAACGTTTTATCAAACATGTCCCTCTACTATTTTTTACATCAAATATGCCCATGTACTTTGAAAAAATTATCAAACTTGCCCTTCTGTTGAAGTTTCCATTGAAAAATCGTCAATCGTGGTTGAACCGAAATTTAGACGACCCGACATCGGCAAATGGGTGGAAAAATGTCGGTTTTGTCCCCCTTTTTTTTTATTTCTCTGGGTCTTTCCAAAATGAAATTATTTGAATGATTTGATTATACACAAAAGAACCAAAAAAAATTATAAAGTGAATTTATTGGGGATATTTTCGTCATTTGTGTCGCCCAAATTAAAGTTCGGCCTTGGTTAACGGTTTTTGGATGAAAATTTTAACAAAAGGGCATGTTTGATCATTTTTACAAAGTACAGGGTCATATTTGATGTAAAAAATAGTAGAGGGACATGTTTGATAAAGCGTCATAGTAAAGGGGCATATTACACCTATAACCCTACATTATTTTACGTGAATTGTTTGTTCAGAATGACCATCATAAAACGAGTGCACGTAGGTACAGCATGCACCTAAAAAATGTGTACTGAAGACAACATCACGTGTGTATATATATAAATAGTACCTTGTGATACAGCACAGCAAGGTTCCTGTCGTCGAAGGGGAGGGAGCCAGTGAGAGTGACGTACAAAATGACACCACAGGACCATACATCTGCGGTTGCACCGTCGTAGCCTTTGTTCCTCAGAACCTCAGGTGCTACGTAGTTTGGACTTCCGCAGATGGTGTGAAGTAGCCCGTCATCCTGTATATCGAGTAAACCAACCAAGATCGAGATCACCAAGGAAACGAAGATATCAAAGAACACCACTGATCAGCTATCTTGCACATATGTAAGGAATATTGTATATATATATATATATATAGTAGCGTATTCAGCTATCTTGAAAACGGTATCAATCGTTGCTTATGATATTATGAACCAGAAGCACATGAATTTGAAAAAAATCATTCAAAATTTACTTTAATTTTGAAGGATTTAGAATTTGGGGATTTAGGGTTAGGGTTTAGGTTTACAATTTGGGATTTTGGGTTGTGATTCAAAATTGAAGGTTAAGGGGTTAGGGTAATAGATTGATTTTTTATGATTCTATGTCATATCATCATATTAGATTGAGAGTACTAATTAAAGTTCAAAATTTAATTTACTATCGACACTTTTAGAGTAGGGTGCATTGAGTGCACCGAAAAAAGTGAGTGCGCAGAAGTAGCCACCATATATATATATATACCTACCCTGAAATGTTTTGGCAACGCACTGAGTCCAAAATCTGATATTTTGATGCGCCCTTTTGCATCCAGAAGAACATTCTCCAGCTGCATGGAATTTGTAATATATAGATCAATTAATGTTAGCTTGAAGAACATTATACGCATGCAACCACTGATATAGAAACCAACATATGTACATTATAGGTTATAAGTGACCTTAAGATCCCTGTGGAAGACGCCATGGTTGTGACAGTAACTGACACCGTCAATCAACTGGTGGAAGAGCTTCCTTCCTTCAGCTTCAGATAGCCTCCCCTTGAATGCCTACGCGATGCACATACAGTGAAAATTAATTTTTTTAAGAAATGTAGGATAGATGTACAAACTACCATACCTCTAACTTTTTTTTTTAGTATAAACTTCGACGGTACAGTTTCACAATTCTTGCGTTCTAATAAGCATCCTGGCCAATCTTTTCGATCTATAACATCCTGGCCCGAACTATACACCAAAATAAACAATTTGGCCAGATCCGACTTTTGACCGTTAACTTGGAAGGTCAAACGCGTTGACCATTAGTCAACGCGCCATGTCACTGCCAAGTCAGCATAAAATATTTAAAATAATTCACAATTTCCACACATTTCCTAATTTTAAATTACTATAAATTAAAAAAAAATCATCTGATACTTAGTTAAACCAAAAATAAAAGGAAAAAAACTTAAATATTTATCAAATCTTCTGACTTGGCAGTGACGTGGCGCGTTGACCGTTAGTCAACGCGTTTGACCGTCCAAGTTAACGGTCAAATATCGGGTTTGGCCAAATTGTTTATTTTGGTGTATAGTTCGGGCCAGGATGTTATAGATCGAAAAGATTGGCCAGGATGTTTATTTTGGTCAAAGTTCAGGCCACACGAAAATATTAATCCTTTTAATAAGCATTTTCAAATTATATAAATGATAATAAGCTTGATCTGATCTTACAATTCTGTCGTAGAGCTCACCGCCGGTCACATAGTCAAGGACCATGTAAATTTTGGATTTGCTTGCTAATACCTGCAAAATAATATAATGCACAATCAGTTTTCTTTATGTGCCTACGCATAATTATGCCTCACAAGTTATTATTAAATAAAGGTCACGTACGGCGGCCGGCAAGAACACATACATTATTATTTGTATATATAATATCAATTCGATCTACATTATATATACACGTCATCATTTGAAAAAAATGAGAGATATAGGGAATGGTTACGTGGCGTGTACGTGGAGGGTTTATCTACCACGAGACCCTATCCATGATCTTCCCCAGCACAAGTCACCATCCAAATAACAATTTATTAAGTAATGGTTCATTTTTGTATATACATCAGATCGATATTGCCATGTAGGCACTAATCTTAATTATAAAAAATTAGAAAATGAAAAATATCGCCCCTTCAGCTACAGCTTACACAGGTCATCCGTTATGGAAAGACGTATAACTATAAATCAGATTAATGCAGGCGGGGAAAAAAAAAAATCTGCCGACCCACTTAAGATTTGTGTAGAAATTAATTAACTATGTAATTAGATGATTGAGAAAAGTCAAATAAAGACGCCTACTGTACTGTATAACGCCCTAAATTACGTACCTCGTGCAACCTTACGATGTTAGGATGCCTGAGGAGCTTCAGCGTTGCAATCTCCCTCTTTATCTGCACCCAAAATATTTCAGTACTGTGATCACGTGTATCATAATCCTCACCACCTTGACCAGTTAATTAATTAATTTTATTAAATAAACAAATCATGCGCTCATTAATCAATACCATGTGTATATATTCTATAGAGAGAGCCGAAAATAATTTAAAAAAAAAGGGTGCGGGTGAATCACGCAACTTTGGAAGTTAATGATATATATATATATATATATATATAAAATACAATGAAATCTGCCCAAGTTGAGTAGGATGGACAATTTACACAGGTCAGCATCAGACCTTATTAATGGGGAAATACATCCTAATCATAAGAAGCATTTCGAATTAATTAAAAATAATTAATTGGATGAACTGATTGAAGTAAAGAAAGGAGAACCTGCAGTATTGAAGAAGGGATAGATAGGTAGCTAGAATAGACGGAATAAGGTGATGAAGAGATCATTGTTGAGTGTGAATTAATTAATTAATTAATCAAGTGCCGGCGCCGGTGCCGGCGGGCAGGGACGGCGGTATACGTACCTGATCGGCGATGTTCCGGTTGAGGATGTTGCCCTTGTCGAGGATCTTGATGGCAAAAGGGTGGCCGGTGTCCAGGTTCCTCGCTAGCTTCACTTTGGCGAAATTGCCTTCTCCCAGGGTTCGTCCCACCTCGTATTTACCTATTCGCATTCCCGCTCACCCGCCGGCCGGCCGGTCTGATCGGGGATATCGGATCGATCTCCGGACTCCGATCTGCAGCTCTCTCCCTTGCTAGCCCGGCGGCCGTTCTGATCTCCTTTTACTTGTTCTGTGTATTTCCACCGTCTTGCTTACTAGCGAAACGATTTGAGTATGTAGATTATAGACGGAGAGAATTACCGATATATATATATATATATATATATATGATCGGTATGTGGAACTTCCAGTTGCTTTCTTGCAGTTGTGGGTCTCTGCCATGTTATCAATTAATTATTAATTAATTAATAATTTGCCTTTGGCGTGGGGAAAAGCTGGATAAGGTCGCCTCCCATTTCCATCTCTCTCTCCCCCCCCACATCCCAACCACCCTATGTATGGCCTATAATCATGGAAACATATATATTTTGTTGCGAAATTCGCAATCATTTTTATCCATATTACTGCCGGTTCGACCTGAAAAACCTTCTATCGGAAGCAAAATAGGTAGGCGGTATTTAGCAGTATAATATGGTTGAACTATGGTTAGATCACGGTTTTAACATAATATACCCTACCGCTGACTTTTCCGGTACGACTTCCGTTAACGTATTTCAATCCTTGATTTAAACACAAGGTTAAGAAGAGACGCTGGGGTAAGGTTGGTGTTGGGGTCTTGACTATTTAGTGTCTAATTTGTTTAATTTAGCAGCGGATTAAATGTGTCTAAGCGAGAAAAGCAGTAATAACTATTGATACTACACGATGAATCAAATATGGTTGTTTTTATAACACGCGGTCTGCTTTAGTTTAGACGGTTCGTAACTAACTCAATATACTTAACAATAAGAAGTGTAACGCACAACTTCATAAAACCGTTGCTCGAGAGCTCACAATGAAAAGATTGTATATTGTAGTCTGTAGATGATGTTAATTTCTCCATTCGGATATTGATTGTTTAGCTCCATGCCTAGTTACACTTTGGCGACACTTAGGCGCTGGGGTACTTAGTCGTCGCGTTCTGAATTCCTAACTCACTGCGGAACCCCAGGTGAGATCGGTTTTAACATTGCCTAGCACTTAAGCATCAGTAAACTCCAACTAACCCAAAGCACCACAACGGAGTCCCAATATAATACATTTAATTAAGGTCGTGTAGTCGCAAAAGGGCGACGGACGGAAAATTATTAAGACCGGAGGAAATCAGAAGGCGTGGGCAGGCACGTGGGAATTGCGGGTGGTTACTGGTTACTCCCGCATGCAGCTGCCCGCCGCCGCGTGGAGAGTCAGAGGAGCGACCGGCCGGTACGAGATTTTTGTTTTTCTTCGACAATCGGCCAGTACGAGTAGACTTCTGACTTTTTGATAATTTGCAGTGTCATTTGGTTTTCAAGTCGATGGTGATGATTCAGCAGCAGTAATGGTAGTGGTACTATTTGTGACTTGTGATGCAGCAGTAGTGAAAATGAGAAAAATAAGGAGAAGAATCCAGCTTGCAATGGTACAGTTGAGATAGATGGTTACACACAGAATTTAAAAGATCACGTACAATTGTTTGGAAATTTTGGAATTTGCGTATTAATTGGATTAAAGTTTATGGATGTAAAATGCAACCACTTATGTAACACAGAATTGATGTTTCCAGTGGAGAACTCGTTATCATGGTACCTAACTAATGGTGGGAATTGAAGTTCAAACCCCACCCCTGTCTACTTTAAGTTTTAACCTTTTTTTCCTTTAATAATTTATACCCACTTTTTTTCATCAATAATGTCAATTTTGATTGAAAAGTCAGTTTAGTTAACTTTGGTTCTTAATCATTTGAATTTTAACTTAATTATTTAAGTTTTGAGTTTTAAATATTAATATTTAATAACATGCTACAAATTAAAATGAATGAATAGATTACACTCGTAAAAGAATTTCTAAAATTCTTAAAAAAGCTCATTTCTACACTCCTTTTAGGGGATTAAGGTATTCTTCCAGCGGCTTGGCTTGAACGCCCCCTGTACGTACGTTATCCCCTCCTCCGTATGCACACCTCTTTCCGTACGAAGATTTAATTAATAAATTAATAATTTTATATCTTGAGTCAGTCTAATTATTTAAAAACATCTTATGTGGTTTCATAATTAACATCAGTATTGTTTTGTATAATTGTAATTCTAGCTTAGTTTCTATCTATTTACAATATAATACGCTGACAAAATTTTGATTCTCTAATTCCAAAATCCTGGCTTCGCTTCTGCTAACTACGCGGTAAACTTAGAACACAACGGGGAAAGGTGGGTGGTGGACTGGTGGTGGCCGGTGGATGCTACGCGCGGGGGTTGGCTGTCCTCGTTACGAGAAAAATGAAACGACACGACGTCGCTTCCAATTAAGACTAGTGTTAGTGACTGAGTGGCGCCACCCCTTGGGCTGGGCCCGTAATAGGCATTTATGAATTCTGGTCCGGGCCATCAGATTGAATTGCAGCCATATAATTGCTCGCCTTATGGGGCCCGTTGAATCACGGCATATTAATTCCACAGGCCCGCTGGGCTGGTGCGGAAAGTTGAAAGAGATGGTGAATGGGAATTGACAGAAAGGTTATTAATATTATTGTACCAAAAGGAAAATGTTATTATTGACTAATGTTATTATTAGCTGGGTTTGAATTAGGTTCTCCTATGTGTGGTCGCAAAGGTTATTATTGACAAATGTTAAGCTCGATTGGCTGTAGATGTGAGACAAGGTCGGAAACTTGTTAGATGAAGCACCCATGTCCAACATTTCGTTTGTCGGTCAAGTTCATAGCAGGATGGACTGACCCATTTGGTAGCTCGTTATGCCCCAATTTTCGTCGGCTCGCATATTGCAAGATCGGCCTCTGTTTCTTAGTTACATTGTCACATAAACTAGTTCCACTACAACTGAATCTTAGTTTCCTCGTTATGAGTGAACTAATGACCAAAAAAAATGGAATAGACAGAAAAGCCACAGGATTACTCATGTCTAGTTCATCCAAAACTAAGTTACTAACACACTCAAGAAGTAAGCTGAAATAGAGCCATCCCTCGCTCCAACAATTATCACTATTTAATTACATCATTATAACCTAATTACACAATACAACACCAATGAAAAAATTATAATCCCCCCAAAACCGTAACTAACTCCGGATTCCAACTCAGGTTAGCATATGACAGACTAACAGCAGCCTACTTTCAGTTCCATACAGCTCCAAGGGACCAGTTCCTTGGCTCGAAGCTCGGTTTCTGCTCGACCCTCTTCTAACGCAACATCAACACCTAGCCTCTTGGTTTTCAAAGGTATAATGACATGAATCAACAACAATAAATAGTGATGCATGTGCTGCCACGAAGATCAAATACACACATTGTCGCATACCCATCTAGCTAGTGCTCATCTTGTACTTTCAAGGAAACGAGCTCGCTTTCTTGCTCTGTACTCCTCGATTTTGCAACGTTAGCAGGCAACCATCTTTGCAGCCTCTCAGGAAAGAACCTGGGAAAATATTTCAGGCATCCCAGCCACCTCCAGTTACATGGTATCACATGATTGGTCATTTAGGAACAGAGCAAACAAGAAAACAAATTACAGAATCATCTAGCCTGTTAATGCTAGAGTATAATCGAATATGAACTAATCTAGTAATCTCAAGGCAACATGTTTCCAAAATCATCCAACAGCAAATTGTACTGTATCAGAATTCGAACACAGCCTATTCCATGGAAGCACATCAGCAGGTTTTTCCGGGCAAGAAATAGCATTAAACAAACGCAAGACAAGACCCCAATCTCCCTAATCTTTCTACTTATACTCACAAACACAGCAATGCAAGGTGAGATTGCAGCAGCAAGCCAGCAACAGTAGCATTCACAAGAAAATCTCTAGATAAAAGTAAGACCATACCATAAAATGAGTGTCCTCAAAGGTCCATCAAGCATAAGATGTGTCATTAAAAACAATTAATATAGGAAAGTAGATATCATTGGCAATCAAATTGATGAATATGGCGAAGTTTTGTCTTACAGGTCCAATCTTTCAGAGATTGCCCGTCGGACCGATGAATTCAACCCATATGCTATCGAGTTGAAGAGCCCCTGTAAGAACAGGAGAGATAATTAACACCTCATCTGTGAAATGGCCAGACTAGTCTGTCATGAAATGCATCCAAGCCATGCTAATGAAAACTAAAACCCAATATGACCGGGCAGCGTACTGCAACCCCAAAAGTGAAAAGGAAAAGAAACTGCACAGGGCAATGCCAGTATTGACTTTTTAAGAACGACCATCAATTATTACAGGCTGGAAATATAGCTGTAACTGTAAGCCTACCAAACCCCACCAATGGAAGTTTTCACCCTGCCATTCTCATGGCTAATCAAGATACACTCAACTGTTAATCAACTAACCTCCATTTCATTATGACAAAATATTCCAGGCTATCCGAAGTTGTGTTTATGATAAATAGTAAATTAATCCATTCACTATCAGCTAGCACTCCCACAAGTACGGGATAAGATGTCTCAAAAGCAGAAGCCAGAAGAAGAATGGTAGCGAGAATTACCATAAGGGCAGCTGTACCCACATCAAGCACCGAGAGCCAAAAGATTTTATGGCCTGGTTCAATAAGATCGTGGATGACATTTAACGTGCCAAACGTCCATGAACCTATTAGGATAAGCGGATAATATCCCCACCTATTCAGAGCCTACAAGAAGAATAGAGACCAATTATCGGGGGAGGTTATTGAATGCAGTGCAACAGTAGAGGGTCAGTTTTCACTATGACTTGAACAATATACAAGTTCAAAACATCACGGAGGAACAAACGATTGAAAGTTAGCAAATAGAGGAAACATGTACAGCTTGCAAATGATGAATTTGGCAAGGAAGTTCCAGAAGCATCAAGGAAAGGGCCTAATGTATAACGTGACTAACCCTGTGAAAGAGTATAAGAAACATCAACAGTGGAAAGCAACACACCTTCATGTCCAGTCTTCCATCAGATGCTCGGTCTGACATGCCCTCTGCCATCTGAAATTCAGAGAAGAACACAGTTGCCTATCATAATTTCCATAATAGCAAACCCACTTATAAGTGAAAAGTTGGAAGTTGGTGCGCGTACACGAGTTGCATTGTTTAGCATCCGGATGACTTTAAAATACGTAAACCCGTTGTAAAGTATGGCACCCCAAAGGGGGACATAAAATGTTATGAAATGATACGCCTGCAGAAAGTAGATAACACAAACAAGAACTGATGATCAAAATGGACAAACTTTTAGCCAGCAATATACACCATATGCAACTATGATTGGAACAACTTAGAGTTTCAACATTAAACACATATAACAATATTTCGTTTAAAAGAAGTCGTGGATCAAGAGCATCCACACAGCAAGAGGATGAAGCAGGTTGGTTTCATCAAACAACATAGTACATTTGGCAGAAAAGCAAGCAAAGGAATAGAGAAAAACACAGTCGTGAACTTGCCTTTTTTGTTCTCCCTGTTGGTGTCGAACACCAGGCGCCGCCTAAGTGTCTATGATCATTACCCATGGACCGTATGACAGTCATGACCAACGAGGTTCCTGTAAGTGGCAATTAAACTCTGAGACAAGTTTGCACAAGAAAAAGAAAATGGCATGAGGTATGGCATGGGCAAAGCAGAAAACAAATTAGAGATGGTGCTGAAGGGATAATGAGAAAACAAAGAAGGGACAAGGGAAGGAGGAAAACATGGAAGGCTGAGCACACACTAATTGACAAAGCAAGGAATCAGGCCATGTTAGAAGGAACAATAAGTGGATAGTTGAGAGGGTTGGGGATGGAATCATTCTTACCCCAAACGTACAAATGAAACATGGCCTCCATGTCTTCAACATCAGTTTTGTGTTTAACAACAGTACGATGCAAGGTGAAAGCAATGGTGGTAGTCCAAAGGAAAGATGCGATGCAGAAGAAATGGGTGCTGTAACCCTGAGCGTAGCAGAAGAATCCTGTGGAGGGATCTCTGCATTAAGAAAGGGAATTGAAGTTCCCACACAAATACTATTCAAATCAGGCTCTCCTTTTTCCTGGGTCACTATTGCCTTGTATCTCGTGTAAGTTCTAATAGGAGGAGAGCAGAAAGGAAAGGCAGTTCTCTGAAAGAAAGAGGGTTTGAAGAGGGAGCTCACCCAACTATGCTGAAGAAGCTACATAGCATGTCCTGCGAATGGATGGAGCACAAATGTCAGTAGTTAGTCGCTAGAATCGCCGTAGAGGCGAAAGAGTTACATGAGATTGATCGGTCTCCCGATCTCCAGAGAAGGCCACCCAGTGCTCGAGCGAGAGAGAGAGAGAGAGCATACCGAGATTGCGAGGTAAAAGACGAGCTTGAAGGAGAACTTTCGAAGGTCTCTGAAAAGGAGGTAGCAGAGGACAATGAAGCTGGAGCCTAGGAACGAAAGAGAGGATGCTCCTGCATTGACAGTCCTCAGAATCCGGCGATCGTAAGCAGTTAGGTTTCCGGAACTGAGAGCTGCAGTCCCCATCTCCAGTTTGCCGCGATGAGTCCGAGTTCTGAATCAACGGAGCAAGCAACCGACGACGGGGGAAGGGATCGAAGGCGGAAATGCTTCAGAGTATACTAGTTAGGTAAGACTTTGGTTATTCTCTGTCACCAATCGTGACTTTGGCCGAGTGGTTAAGGCGCTTGCCTGCTAAGTAAGTGGGGTTTCCCCGCGTGAGTTCGAATCTCACAGGTCACGATAGTATTTTTTGACATATTTGTGATGGACTATAAGACTGTTAGTTACATTTACCGCTTATCTTTTTTTTTTTCACTAATTTACTGCTAGACTATAATACTGTTAGTTACATTTACAACTTATCTGTTTTTTTCACTAATTTTCTGCAATCAATACCCACCTGTTGTTTACATTTACAGCTTTATGCTGGACTGTAAGGGTTCAATTTCAATTTTCAAACCAAACAAAAGTCAGACCATATTGAATTATTGATGTCCACGCGGCCACGCCTCGCCTAGGCTATATAGATTACAACGTATCGGTATTGAATAGTGCATATTCATTATCTTACTTTAAATTGTTTGGAATTTACTTACATTCACACTCGTACAAGAATCGGGTTGAATATCAAACTCATATTTATGTCTAGTCGGCATCTGTGTGTCTACAGCTATCCATGGTAACAATTTCTCTTTATAAGTTCAACCAACATGTTAAGGAGATTTGGGGTTGGATAGAAAACTTGAGAGCAACCGCCAGATGATAAGATGTGAAAAACATGCTAGTTGGGAAGCATCCCAATAGTGGTTCGGTTTCTTTTCCCTTAACTTTCAATAACGAACTTGCATGCTTGTACATTGTTCTAAGGAGTGTTTAAAACTTGAGTAATAGTGAATGAATCCTTGTGTTGGTTGAGAATAAGCTTGAATGGATGTTGGTGAAGTGATGAATGGTGAAAGGATTAGGTGTTATTTGTGATGAATGAGTGTATTTCGTTTGGAGGCATTGTTATACATTATTGTGTGCATTTTAATGCTTCGAGTGTCGCCCATCGAGGCTTGATGAAATTCCCAAATTACATGAGTTGTGTTTTTTATGTTTCGATGAATCACAATTGAACTTCAATGCTATTGTTAAACCCCTACAAGAATTTTTAAGGTGTTGTTTCGAATTTTGATTGTTTGGTATAGGGTGTTTGGATCCTTTGCTCGCCTAAACTTACCGCTTTGATATGATATTTAAGCAATTGGTCTCTACTCTTATCGTGGTCATTTAGACTATTCATTGCCTTTGACCACGACATTGAAACACCTAGATTGACATGTTCACATTAGAACCAATCATTCAAAATCGTTAACTACCTAAAATCAACATTGATTTCATCTATGCACCCTTGTGCTAAATAATAATCATCATGTGTGGTGTGGGGGTGTATGGAATTGATTCTTATGGATGATAAGAAGTGTTCATTCCTTCCTTGATTGTTTAATGAGATGTGTATGGCATGGATGTGTATTGTTTGTTCTTGTGTGTAGGAATCCTTCCAAGGATTAGCCCTATTAAGCGGGGAGAGTTTCAATACTCCTCCTGCAAAAGTAGTACCGACTCCGACTCACCAATAATAATAAAGAGTTTGTGTTTACACTAAAAAATAATCGTGTACCGCATTGATTATTTACAAGACATTAACTGTCTTTATAAGGCCAGATCAACAATAACAATTAATGTTATTTAAACTGGGCCTACGATACTAGATTTTTAAACCGTGAGAATAAGCTAAGTCTGGTGCCTCATCGCTACAAGCCTCCTCGCGTCAAGTTGGTAGACCCCCTTGTCGCGACAAACCTCCTTGTGAGTCTACAAGATATGTGGGGAGAAGGTCACAAAATAAACTAAGTTCAAGCGCCAAGCCTCCTCGCGTCAGGCCACTCGCGAGTCCGCCAGGCCACCTCGTCGCAAGTCCGCCAAGCCTCTACTAAGTCTAAGCGCCAATCCTCCTCGCGTAGAGTTTGGTAGACCGCCTTGTCACGACAAGCCTCCTTGCGTCAAGTTTTGGTAAACCACCTCGTAGCGTTGTCATCATGTTTGACGAACCGCCTCGTCGCGAGATCTGGCATAGCCATGGTGAAGGAAAGGGCAAGTAACAAGACGTCAGTTCCAAAAGGGAGAGCCGACAGTTTGATTGAGAAACTGTCAATTACTCCACGTTCAAGGACACGTCAGCCACGTCCGCGAAAGAAGGGAAGCAGTTCTTTTTGGAAGTTACTCTCCAGACAGTTTTCTACGACGGATATCACCTCAAGCCTATAAATAGGAGGAAGAGTTGTCAGAGAAAGGGCCCGCAAAAATCACCACTCGACATCATTTGTCAAGTTTTACCAATTTTATCTTTCTCTTGCAACTTTTATCAGTAGTCGTAGATCTGGAGCTCTCTCAGAACCTCCATAGGAGTAGGAGTAACTTAATGTAGATCTGTCTTGAGAGTCGTGTAAACATCGATCACCCTTGTTCGAACTGTGTTTGAAGAGGTGTGAGCCGTGTCTTAGTGATCGTTGTCCAAAGAAGTCAAAGTGCATTCAATTCTCATTCAACGCAAGTTTTCTCGCCGGAGAACAGTTTGAATCTCGGACCTACCGAAATACTGATACCAAATTCTACCACATAGCTACAAACTCTATTTTAAGTGGGGGTTGGTCATTGACTTTCCAAATAATGGTTAATTATTAATAAACTTAAATCACTACTCATTAGTTAAGGGATAAAATTAATATGTACATTGACATGATTGCATGGAATAACTATGTGTTTTCATTCCTTATGAGATTTACTGTGTCGAATAACTTTCAATTACCCCTAACCAACCACTGCCCAAGTCATGAGCAGGCACAACAACATCAACAACAAGTGACACATAGAAGGTCAAAGAATCGGGTCCAAGGGGCAATTTCGCGATAGTGCAAATACCCTTTTATATCCTTTTTCTTATTTGTTATGTTTAAATAATTTAATTAGGATGAGGTTATAGGTATAATATGTCCCTCTACTATGATGTTTTATCAAACATGCCCCTCTACTATTTTTTACATCAAACATGCCCTTGTACTTTGACAAAATTATCAAACATGCCCTTATGCTAAAATTTTCATTTAAAAAAATGGTCAATCATGGTTGAACCAAGATTTAGACGACCCGACATCGGAAAATGGGAGGGAAAATATCAGTTTTGTCCCCCGTTTTATTTCTCTAGGTCTCTTCAAAGTGAAATTATTTGGCTTTACAAAATAACCAAAAAAATTCTAAAGTGAAATTATTAGGGGTATTTTAGACATTTGTGTCGCCCAAACCAAAGTTCGGCGTTTGTTAACAATTTTTGGATGAAAATTTTAACAAAAGTGCATGTTTGATAATTTTTACAAAGTGCAGAGACATGTTTGATGTAAAAAATAGTAAAAGGCATGTTTGATAAAACATCATAATAGAGGGGCATATTATACCTATAACCCATTAGGATGCTACCTAAACAATTCATACTTATATAATATTAGGTCATGTTTTATGGGTGTGAAATTTTCTTTTAGTTCTTCATCTTATGGATTTTTTCTCAAGGATCGATCACACCCACCCAACCCAAATTTCCCACAATCAACTCGACATCATCATTTGGTAGCTCGTCCCTCTATCCATCACTTGTGCTCACGTTGAGGACAATGTTATCCTTAACTCTGTGTGTCTGAAGGGGGTTGTGCATGAATGCTTGTGTGAAATCTATATTGTTTATTATGTTTTCTCGTGTTATAAATGTTATGAATGATTGGGTGATAGACCTGTTTTTTCGAGTGATTGTGGGAAAATGTTTTAACATAATTCGACCATTAGGAGTCTTGTATGTATGTCCAATTTTGTCAAATTCGAGTGCTCCAAATTGGCTCACTTGCTTACAATACAATTACTTGCTTTGAATCGTGAATCTTGCTCCCCTACAATCTTGACCAATGTTGAGGAAAGTGTAGTGCGTGGAAAGTCTCGATTTGATGTAGTTGATTTTACTGCTTGACGTTTCCTTATGTGGATGTTCACTTGTGAATGTGTGGTAGGTTTGTCTGGATGCGAAGTTTGATCTTTAGTTGTTGGTCGATTGGTTGATGCTCGGTTTTATGCTTTTCACAACCAAAGTTTTTAAACAAAATAAAGTGGGTTGTAGCTTGTTCTTTAAAGATTTATGTGTTAGGCATCAATCAGATGATTTTATAGAATCTTTAGTAATAGTCGTGACATAAAAGTGACTATTTCCAATTAGTGTTAATTAAAATGTGATTCACATGAGACGCCAATTAATTTTAATAACTCGAATGGTTGAAGGGAGTATAACTATAAATCATAAGGCACACCAAAAAAGTATAAATCATAAGAGCATTCAAATCGCCTGTCTTCTCCTATTTTATAGTGACATGACATTTTTCATTGGCTATTTCATGGTTGGAGGAACTCATGTCAGACATGGGATATTTCATCTAGTGAAATGCCAAATGAAATAGCTAGTGGGGTGGAAGATGCCCAACGTTAGTCCTTTTCTTTTTTACTTTCATTTTTCATTTTCTTTTAATAGTTGGGACAATCATTTTAGTTTCTTTATTAACGTGTTTTTATACTTTTATAGTTTATTTACTTGAGATAATCAACATTAATAAATTCATAACTCTTACATTAAAGATTAAATTACATAGCCTAAACACATGATTATTGTAGCTGATGACGGAAATGAAATAAACTTCAAATTCTGAAAGCACAAATACACGTATAGATATAACGATGTCACAACTACATCCAAATACAAATTAAATAGCAAATCAATAATACTTAATAAGAAAGCATAAACACACATAAAGTGGTACATAAATTGAAGTCTTACACTGTAACACATAACATATATACATAACATAACACTGTTATGTGTATTTTTCAATAAATTAGTAATTTTATTTATTATTGATAATTAAAAAATTAAAGTATATTATTTTAATTAATTGATACATCTTAAAATTGGTAAAATAATATAGATTAGATAAAAATGTATAGTTGTATTAAAAGTAAGTAGGACCCACTATATGAAATAGATTGGGGATTTCATGGATGTAGAGTAAATGGAAGTGATATGTAGTGGAATGAAAAAAATTGTTAATGTGGCAGTAGGAGCCACATATGAAATAAATTGAGAATTTCATGGATGTTGATGGTCTAAGGAGTCAGCCTAGTTATTCTGCTAACTGCATAAATTGTTAGTATATACTAACTAATATCCAAAATGTATGAACTAGTATCCAAGTCTACTGATTTTACTAAAGTATCTAGATAGCAGATACTAGTATTCAAAACATCACAAACTAGTATCCAGATGACAGATATCATCTAATATCTACAATCAACCAACTAGTATTCAATATGGATACTCTTATGTGTTATCTGGATACTCTTATGCATAATATGGATACTAATTATATACTATATGGATACTATTTTGTGTTATCTAGATATTATTTTGTGAATTTGGGATAATAGTTGATTCACGATGGATATCAGGTAGCAAACTTTGAATACTAGTATGTGCTCTCTAGATACTTTAGTATTTGGATATTAGTTCATGTATTTTAGATATCAATTAGTATCTGCTAATGAATCTTCTGTGTTAGCATATTAATTTTTTTCCCTAAGGAGTTGGTTTAAATAGAAAGGCAGAAACTACCTGATTTACCAAAGTCTTCATTTTCTTTCCTGCCCAACGACCCACGCCAAGAACATCCGATTAACCTCGATTTGACGATTTGCTCAGACCTTCGTTGGAATGGCAGAAGGGAAGTAACCTTAGAAACCACAAGGAAAAGGAAGGAGAAGTCAATCAAGAAAGAGCTCCAGAAACCTTGGGTGGAGCTCCGACTAGTGGGAGGACAAAAATCAGAGGGCGATCTGTCAAAAATTGAAGCGATCTGAAGAAACAACAAAGATGGAGGGAGTCGGAGCGCGACTGGGACGTTCGTCTACTCGATACGGACCGACCACGGTGTTTACCGGTCCTGTCCGGCGGTGGAAGAAGAGATGGGTGCACGTTTTGCCGTCGTCGAATAATAATTCTGCCCACCACAACGGTGGTCAGTTTCATTCCAATCTGAATTCCAACGGTACCGCTGCCACCGCTCCCGGCGCAGCTAATGGTAATCACAGTAGTTCGCATGTCTTGCTTTATAAGTGGACTCCTTTAACCCAATCCAATAACAGCAACACCACCACCACCAGCAATAAGGAGAGCGGCGGCGTTGCTGTTGCTACCGACGATGCGCCTGAGGAACCCCAAAGGCGTAAATGCAAATACATCCCGGTAATTTCCCATTCTCTGTTCTTAGTTGTTTAATTTGCTTTGAATCTAATGCTCGGTTGCTGGATCCAAATCTATTAGTACTACTGTAAAGAACCTGCCCTTTGACTAGTGTGATGATCGCAATGTACCCCGTCTCAGCCCCATTGCACTCACCATAAGAGGAGGGGTCTGAGTCAGACCCGATCGAGCCAGAGATCCTCATGATACTCGTAGATTAACCGCGTTTTCTTGAGCTTTCTATTGATGGGTAGTGGTTGATACTAAGTTTGAACTTTATTTACCTACTGTGAGTCAGTTTGATGAATCATGGTCATTCAGATTCCTTTAACACATGCTATGATATGAGTTCTGTGGCAGGGCTACATTCCATCACAATTCTATTTCTAGGGCATTTTTCAGGTCATGATTTTCACTTCAGTTATGCTGAAAAATGCTATATTGCTGAATGTTTGCGTTCACTAGTACTTCCGTTGGTTGTTGTTGGCACTAACGTGGTAGAAATTTTGATTCAACATAGGTGGCTTTGTTAGAGGCGCAGAGATTAGAGGCTGATGAAGAAATGATTGATAGTGAAGTTAAACCAAGCGACGGCGATGGAATTGCCGATGACCCAGTTTCTACATCTGCTGGGGTTGATGAAAAACCTGATATTAATGAGTCTCCAAAAGAAAGCCAGGTTAAACACTCGTCGACTTTGTCTTTTATTGGTCTTCCTTTGGCTGCTTTACAGGTCCATTGTGCATTAGCTTGCTTGTTTTTAGAGATATCGATTGATTTGATAGTGAACAATGTCCTGGATTATTTTCAAGCTCAGGGTAGTGGTCCTCTGTTCATATTCTTTTTGTTCTGTTTTCTATTGGTTATTGATGTCCAATTGGTTTTAGCTCTAGAATAGCACCCGAAATACTGTGTAATGCTTCTCATGTAGTATCTCTATGCTAACGTGGGATGTGTTGTTTGCTTCAGTCTCAGGGTTAGTTGTTTTTCTTCTCCACTTGTAATGCTGTTGCAAATGGTTTTAACTAAGATAACACAAAAGGTATTGTGGAATACTTCAAATTTTCCACCTCTATGCTGATCTGGCATTTTCTGTTGGCTTCCCTCTCAGGATGATGAACAGGTGGTACGGCAAGACCTCAATGAGAGTACCTTAGATTTGTGCTTAGAATTGAACTCGCATGATCATGATTCTGAATCAAAACCTGAGGAGCTTGGTGAAACAAAATCCGTTCAGGTTGATGATTCGGTTCCTTCTTGAAAGGCCGTGTTAAATTTGTTTGTTCTTGATTTGAAGACACTTTATACCTTGAGTTGATCATTTGGTCAAAAGTTTTTGTTCATCTCAGAGGCAGGCACATTTGCACTTCCAATTTGGGTTTCTTTCCTCGGCTGCAGACTTAACAGGGATTGATGCTTCAAGAGAGTCAATATTTAGATTTCAGATGAGTAATGGCTAAATTTTAATCCACCAGGGTTGTTTCACCATTGACAATTCCACTTTTTTTAACTCAGATCTTTTTCGGCTTTTATGTTGTGAACATTACCTTCTATTATTCTTTTTGTTTAGCATCTTTTCTGTTGTTCATTACAAGAGACATCTATGTTTTACATTTACATCAATCATACTAGTCACTAGTCACTGGTCAGTTGAAAGTGAAGTCCAAACAATGAAATGCTTTGTTTTGGGAGCCATCATTCCTGCATTAATTTTTCCTGCTTCTACTTGATCTGGACGCCAAATCCTCCGACCCAAACGAAGCAAACCCCAAACCACAAGTATTTCTCTTTGAAGGGGCTCAGATTTGTATTCAAACCTTCCCTTGTCTGATAAAGCTTCTTTCTTAGCTGTTGGGGAATATGGTCTTCTGCTTATGTTGTTGTAGCTCTGTGGAAGGATGGGATAGCTATGCATGTACAGGTATTGACGATGATGATGTTGATGGTGAGGATGATGAGCTGACAGATACACAGCCTTTCAGCCGTTCAAGAATGAGGTTGCGGCTAACTAGTCTGGCATGCGAAGTAAGAGGAAGACCCTATTTCATGCACTCGTCATAGTTCTCCAAAGCACAGACAATATCGCTGAAATCTGGTCGCTTTGATGGATTGGCAGCCCAACAACACTTGATTAAGTGCGCAAGTGCAGGCTGACAGCTTGCTGGCAGTGGGGTCGTTCTTTCTGTCGGAAACAACAGCAAATGAAGGTGGATACAAACTTTAGAAATAGAGATTGTGGCTTATTCGAAGACTCATTACATGGATGCACAAGTTTATTGGCATAGAATGAGGGGGAAATCCACTACAAACAGTGAAAGTCTTTACCTTCTCAGCCACTGCAAATGCGGCCTGGACTGGAGTCATTCCTTGAAATGGAAGCAAAGCCGTGATGGCTCCCACAATACAATCCCAAAGCTATAGACGTCGACTTTACGAGTGTAAGTTTTCTCCTTGACCATCTCGGGTGCCATCCAGCGATAGGTGCCTTTATTTCCTTTAGTCTCCTGGCATTGTGTCTCGAGGCATGAAGTCCCAAAATCTTCCACCTTAACACGCATCTCATCATTCAGAAGCAAGTTGTTTGATTTCAAGTCTCTGTGAATTACACCTTGTGAGTGAAGGTACTCCATCCCTCGTGATATGTCGAGAGCTAGCCTCAGAACCGTCTCAGTTGATAGCGAGTAGTGCTCTTTCTTGTTCAGGTACATTCTGAGTGTTCCTTGTGACATATACTCTGTGATGATACAGTACACAGGGGGTTTCTTGCATGCAGCAATGAACTGAGTAATGTACAACAACAACTTCAATAGGACGCATGAGCTTGATGGAAAATCAAATGGCACATTTAGCAGCCCTATATACCCTGAAAGTTAGGTGCATTTGATGAATCAGAATCATGGGTTATTGTTCTTACAGTGGCCTATCCTATATAATACTATTCTCGCTCAGCTAACGACAGTGACCTGCAATGGCATCAATGTCGGTTGCCAACCAGCCGAAGGTATCATGCCATATGCTGTAGCAGCTTTGTAAGCAAATGCATACACAGAGCTCCACGAGAAAGAGGGGAACAGTTAGTTACCTGCACTATATTGGGATGATAGAGTCGGGAAAGCAGAGCAACTTCAGATTTAAACTGCTGCTCGAGGACAGATCTGGTCTCTTCCTTGTGGCTAGGGATCCTGACCATTTTGACAGCAACTGCTCTCTGCTTGTAAATCCCTCGATGTATCCTACTGTGCGCCCCAGAGGCAAACTTGTTCCCTATAAACAGCTGCGAAAGGTCTGCTGTCCACTCCTCTTCGTCTTCCTTGGGAGAGGCCTCCCACGTCTCCACGTTCTCGGACTCCAGTATCATGGACCAAGATTCCAAGCTGTCGAACCTCTTCCCCTCCATGTTCTCCTCGAAATTCAGCTGGTGCTCTCTCTACGACATGGGAGGCATTCGTAATCTCCGCTTGCTCCTGGGTTTTCCAAGGCGGAAAGCAGGGAAACAAGAACCAGCCATTCCAACACTAAATAACTAACTTTGTTGAACAAGGGGGAAAACAGAGGATGCAATGATCAGAAGAGAGAGCCGTACGTTTTCCTTCTGAAAGTGTGCATGGATTTCAGGAAGTGCATGAACTGATTCAGAAACATGGGTTGTGTGGGGAGATTATCAACTCATCGATTGGATAGAAGGAGAAGAACGTTGACGATGAATCCTCCTGACAATGGAAGAAAATGATGTCTTCGACGTACAAAAACAGAGAGAAGATTTCAAGCTCTCATGTCAGGAAAGAAACCCTGCTGCAAGAATGCAGGAAGGGAGTGGCAAGAGGGTGAAGAGAGAGATGACGACATTGCGAGGAGGGAGGTTGATTGGATGAGATTAGAGAGCTGGGTTTTGGAACTGAAATGGAAAGCAAAATGATGAATTTCAGGGACGTCTCGTCCCTCTCGTGATTGTCTCATCTGAAAGTTGTGCCTTTTTAGTTGGAATGGAAGGAAAGGAAAGGAAGGCAGCTTTTTCCTCTTCCTTACGCCCTCTCTGCTTTACGTATTCCTTCTACAAGTTCTAGCCCGGTAAACCCCTTCTCCAGTTCTCCCTTCCCTCCCTCTAGTCTGATGAATGGTTGGACTGATTAATTATGTAAAGTACATGGACATCAATGTCGACTGTAGCTAATGGCTAATTATTGTTTGGGACAGTAATTCAAGAACTGAGTTCATATCAAGCTCCATGAATTTTAGGGTAAAGTAACATGGATACATATACTGTAAGTCTGTAACGGTTTCATAAGTAGTGTCACTATATATATGCTTTTTTTTATCTTGCTAGCTTAATGCTCCAGTTTCGTAACCTTATGTTATGTACATGGAGTGAGAGGTTAGCTCGTAGGGGTTATTCTGTCATTATAGTCGTTTATGTTTCTGAGCTGAGATTCGCTATTGAATTATATATATGACATTATGAGATTTCTTTATTTCGATATATATTAATGTTATTAAAATAATAAAAAGTTATATTTGCTCACATACTCAACTTGTTAAGCGTCATATATGGTGAGATATATAATTTAACAATCATATGAATTAAAATCATAAGATATAGATCAATTCGCCCATAAGTCAGTAATCGAGTTGGCTCTCTAGCAACATGTTGAGACATCTCACGAGGCTCTAAATGAGCCAGCTCACGAGGCTCTAAACGAGCCAACTCACGAGTTTAGCTCAACAAGCCACCGAATTAGGGATGCAAAAATATCTGTAACCATGGATATCCACCCGAATCCGACCTAATCGGGTAGGGTAAACTCCGAACCCGAAGGACTTTTTGTGGGTACAGGTAAAACCCGAACCCGAATATTGCGGGTAATGGGTGGGCATGGTTTTCTCACTATCCAACCAGAACCCGCCCGATTATACACATGCATATGTGTTTTGTATATAAATAATCATTATTTTCTCTAACATATTTTATATTTAGCATATAAGTATAATATTTTCATGAAATTGTGTTGTTTTAATTAATTTTCTTCATTCTAGTAATAACCGTGGATACCCGAAACCCGAAAGGGCATGAGTATGGTTTTGATTTTCTACCCATTTTTCATGTGGGTATGGGTAAACCCCTAACTACTTTAGGTAGGGTAACGGATATGCATTATCCCCGCCCGACCCGACCCATTGCCATCCCTACACCGAATCGAACTAGCTCACGAGCTGAACAAGACTTAGCTCATGTTTGGCTCGTTTAATTTAAACGAGCCGAGTTTGGAACAAGGTTTTTCCAATTCGAATGCCGAACCGCTCGCGAGCGGCTCGGCTCATTTACCGCCCTAAATTACTCACCGTACCGAAAAACGAATGGAAACAAATGAGTAGGACCGATGAAGTCAAAATTATGAGTGGCTATTTCTAGCCCATTCCTCAGACCCTGCGGCCCATTGTAGTTGCCGATCCCTGCTTTAGCTCTACGCACTCTCTGATAAGCCCGGCCCAAGAGCGTCCCGGGACCCAGTCAAAAACAGACGGCCGGCAAAACAGAGGGAACATTCACCGTTGCATTTCTTGCTGGGCAAGTGGACAATTCCTGATTCCCTCCCTTCCCCATCACCTCCCCATCCCCCACAAAATGGAATATCAGTTTCAGTGGGCGTCCAAAGGAGCCGGAGATTGAATCGGGAGGTTTAAGGTTTTACACCGCCATGGCAGCAGCAGCGTCAGCTCTCTGTACTACTGTACTTGCCATCTCGCCAGCAAACTACAACGCCCGAAACAACCGTTCTCGTATCAATCTCCTTCCCCTTGCCTCACGCCGTCCGTCACTTTCCAGGTATGCTTCACCCTCTCCTCCTTCAATTTTCTGGTATCCACCTTACCGGAAACAATCCCCGGCTATGTGCTTAATTTGCTTGCTTCTTGTTACGCCGATTGATTGATTCGAAGAATTTGCAGCGGTTGGCAGCTTATTATGTCTCTGTGAAATTAATGCTTCTTGTTCCATTTCCTCCGATTTCCAGGAATCGAAACCCTAGCAAATTCAGCAAATCCTACCCGATACGAGCAGCTGTGGTGCGCGAACAGGAGGAAGAGGAGGTGGTTGTAGAAGAAACTTTTCAACCCAAGAAATCTAGCTACGATGTACAAGAGGGCGGCGGCGGCGGACCGGGGGAGCCTCCTCAAATTGATTCGGATCAATGGATCATCAGGATTGAGCAATCCATTAACGTCTTTCTCACGGTAATTTTTAATCATTTCGATCGGTAGGCACACTCCCCACAGTCCTAAAATGTTTTCTGCTTCTGATTATAGTAGCTCTACTGATATTGGCAGGACACGGTGATAAAGGTTCTTGACACCTTCTACCGCGATCGAGATTATGCGAGGTTCTTCGTTCTTGAAACCATTGCGAGGGTTCCTTATTTTGGTGAGAGTCCTTGTTGTTTATATGGGTAACTACTCTTTACTTGTCAGTATGCTACAACTACTTATGACTGACTTGCCACGGTTCATTTCTTTCTCACTGTTTTCGTTCACAGCATTCATTTCTGTTCTGCACTTGTATGAGAGTTTTGGTTGGTGGAGAAGAGCAGATTATATAAAAGTACATTTTGCTGAGAGTTGGAATGAGATGCACCACTTACTCATCATGGAGGTAAGGATTCTTATCCGATAAGTTTCCGCTGTTGCTATGACTGTGGGAGGCATGGCATATTATAGTTGTCGTCACTTAATTCCTCCTTGGCTTGTCATTGTAAACCCCCCTGACATTGCAGTTGCAATCTTTTTTTATCTTTATGACACATATTCCCTGTAGTTGTAGGCTACGCAGAATTATCAATTCTTCGCAGGGAGGTTCGTTTGGCAAGATTATATAACCATTGAGTGCTGCCCCATACCCATGTAGTAATTTGCGCGAATCTAGGATTGTACAGATGAGAAAAAAATTAGATTGCATTATGCTTGTCACAAAGAAAAAAGAGAGGTATGCAAAACTTGTTGATGGCAATGGTTTTGTGTTTGCAGGAACTAGGGGGTAATAGTTGGTGGGTTGACCGATTCCTCGCTCAACATATTGCAGTGTTTTACTATTTCATGACTGTCTTTATGTATGCATTGAGCCCAAGAATGGCCTGTAAGTACTTTCTTTTTGTTGATTAATTCTATCAAGTACTCTCTCTGTTGATTGATTCTATTAAGTACTTTCTCTGTTGTCCTTCACGATAAGTAGTTCAGCCTGATATATTTTGGTCGTCATTGTTGCAGATCACTTTTCTGAATGTGTGGAACACCATGCTTATTCAACTTATGATAAATTTATCAAAGCGCATGGAGGTATGGTGTCATAGAATCTTGGAGCCTCGCTTAGATTATTATCATCTTCATTTGATTACAAATTATCCATGAAGTTTTTGTGTCGAATGGTAGTGTTTGGGAGTACATATATCAATGAGTGTTACCCTATAAGTGACATATACATGGTCGGTCTTGGAAGGAATCCCTTCAGGGCATTGGACTCAGGGTTGAAGACCCTTATCATCTATAAGAAATTGTATCCTCATGTTTGGTAGAGTTTTGACCATCATTGTGTAAAGCTGCTCCCTCAGGTGTATGCTTATGTTAGCCTCTACAGAAATAACAGATGCTCAAACTTAAGTTACAGGAACTGGAGGTAGTTAAATGCATAGTGTTTTTTTTTATAAATTTTGCGGAACCAATTTGAATTTTGTTTGAAAGGAGTAAGGAAAGACATAAAAAAAAAATTATGCATAATAAAAGGAACTATCTTTTTCACTGGTGTTTTTGTTTTCTCCTCTAACATAAACCAATTAGGGTAGCAGAAAAGAGATCCAAGTAAGTTAGCTGCAGGAAACATATTCACCATTTGATTCTTCCTACTCACTGTGGTATACATATCTGTCCAGATGAGCTGAAGGAATTGCCTGCACCAGAAGTTGCCGTGAGGTACTACACTGGGGGTGACTTATACTTGTTTGGTACGTAAGTTTCTATTCATTGATATCCCTCCCACCACCATTTGATTGTGATCTCTGAACCACCGCAACTTGAATATTGATGTCCTTCCTTTCTGAACACAGATGAATTTCAGACTTCCAGAACTCCTAACTCACGAAGGCCAAAAATAGGTATTCTACCTTCTCAGGCACTCATTATGATCCCAAAAATGATATGAAAGCTCATTTCAAGTCTGTGCATGTTGCCGCCGCCTGGCCTTTGATGCTTTTGCCTTCAAGGTTGATCATCTTGGTCACTTCATACCTGGAATTAGGAATCCCATGCGGGAAAAATATATTCGATTGGCCTATGACTTCTGATTTCTAATTCCTGCAATGGATGTATGATCCTCTTTGCTTTCATATTATGCTCTGCACGACAGAATTTTTTTATTAGATGTATAACTCATTACTGCCGCTGATTCCAAGCCATATACTATGACTGACCAGCTGGTCTTCTGCACGCAGATAATTTGTACGACACTTTTGTGAACATCAGAGAAGATGAAGGGGAACACTGCAAAACCATGAAGGCCTGTCAAACTCCTGGTAATCTGCACTCTCCACATTCATATGCAGATGAGGACAGCAATGAAGATGAATCATCTTCCTTATGCGTGGATCCTGAATTGCACTGCGAAGGCATTGTTGACTGCTTGAAGAAATCTGTAGGCCCTGGTCTGTCTAAGACCAAACAGCAAGTTTAACCAACAGAAATCTCTGATACCATAGCGACCCAATGTAAATGCTACGAAATATAGTGTGTATTCGTCTATTAATAAAACTATACAAAATGGCAGGATGAAGGCTATCAGCTCCCCTGCGAGATCTAGCTTCAGTTGTGGGAAATCGTCACGATTTCTTATTTCAGCTCCATCGTACAGGCCAATGTGTTTTCTTCCACCATGGATGCCTCATCTAGTCATCTTCCCCTGCACTGTGCCGGCGGGAAAGATTTCCAAACATGGTTCTTTCCTTTTGTAATCCTACTGGTTTTAAGGCTTTCATATACGTAACTCTTGGTTTGTACATTTCGGCTCGTCGCCATGGAAAGGTTATACTTGTATCTGTTCCATCTATTATTTGGTTGGACTTTCTACACGTGCGTATTTCCTCTAGGGTTGGGACGAACCAGAAACAGAAGAACAGAGTATTAAGTAGACAGCATTCATTGAAATTCATGACATAGATAGGCTCGAAGCCGAACAAGGAGATGTCCCAACTCCCAAAAGACATTAAGAAAGACTGAAACGTAACAAGACTAAGAACACTAAATGATCATTCCCAGAAACCCGCCAAAACGGAACCGATTTCAAACATTGCAACAACAGTAACAGAGAGCGAGATTACATCCATGAACTTAATCACTGAACCGCTTCATGCTCCAAGGAAAACATTTGTCAGAACTGTCTGGGACTGCAGAGACGCCTTCAGCAGATTCAACCCCTGAAACAACAAGCAAAAGAAGCAAAATCGGAAACCCACTTCACGAATCAGAATCCATGATATTTGAGGATCCATGAATAATGCTAGGGGAAAAACAGAGAGTGTTACCTCGTCCATTCCAAGCTCAATGACCTTCTCCTCGAGAGCACCAACTTCCTGAACGTTGAACTTATTCAACATGGTGATGCTGGAGATTGTGGACATTGGCTTCACCTCCAGATTGTCCATCACCATGTAAGTTATCACACCCTTCACGAACCCACCTTCTTCACTGTTCACACCCACAGCTTTGTCTGTGCTAGCAGCAGCAGGAGGTGGGTTTACAAAGGGCATCTCGTTGCTCATCGTACCTTTGCAACTAGGACAAAGAGTTTGCGGGTTATCAGTCACATGCTGGTGTTTATAATTATGGCACATGTAGATCTTCCTGGTCGTTGTTCCCGTTCCCTCCTCCCCGCCTCCAGATAGCAAAAGGGTGCTGCTGCCACTCGGACGGAAAGGAACTTTTGGGTTCAGAACGGTGCCCTTGCCTATTTTGGACTGGAAGAACGTATCGCTCAGCTCTTCGATGCTGTGGTACAGATTTCCAAGGCTGCCCACCATTTTGTTCTTGGACAGGAGCTTAATCACGGTTCCCAGCGGGAAGGAGAGGAGGGTGAAGAGGAAATCGACGAAGTCTTTCCCTGCTTCAGCAAACAGCACTTTCTTTGTTTTCTTGTTGATCAGGAGCTTCAGGGTGACTTTGGGGGTCGACATTTTTGGTGGGTTTTTTTGCAAGTGAATAGAGGGTTTGTGTAGTTCGTGATGAAGTTTGGAAGCTGGAATTTATAGGGCAGGGGAAGAAAGGTTCAGACAGCAGGGGAAATCGTGCATGGGGAGACTTAAATTTTTCCATTGGGAACAGAAGAGGATCACCGGAATCAGGGGTTTTAACGGGCAGGATTACGATTCCTGTTCCATATGCAAACTCAGCCAATGGAACACAGTCAGGTTTGGCAGGCTTTCGTGGCGGTGTGGAGAAAAGATACACATCATGAAGCAAAGCAAAGCAAAGCAGGCGTGGTATGGGAAAGATGGCCGGCATCTCAAACCAGTGTGTTGAATGTGGTGAGCTAGAAGAAACCATAATGAACGTTCTATGGGAATCCAAAACTAAGAAGAGGATAACACACTCACTGATGCTACGAGTTGCTTTGCGAGGACTTGAGCTGAATCGTATGAGATAGAACCGGAAAAATCAATAAGTTGATAGGGGGATGACTAGGGGTGTGCCACGGATAAGGGAGAATCCTAATGCAATAGTGAACCATATTCTAGAATTAAGAATCGGGTTAACCGTGAATTTAGTCTATTTTGATTTGGTTTGTTTCAATTCAAATTTTAATATGGTGCTTTTTTCTTCACTTATTAATAGTATAATTAGTTGAGGAATGTTATTAGTGTATATGAATATATATGCTTGTGGGAATAATTTTGATAATTTACGATGTACGCCTTTGAAAAAGTTATTTATGATTATGTTCGTGAACCCATGGATAATTATGTATTCTTCAGCATCCATTTGGTTGGGTTGGTTTTTTCTTCTAAGACCCAGTTCGTATTTACTAGGCATAGTTTTACGAATGCACCGGCCGGACAAGATTCGGATTTAAAGAGATTCGATCCTCCCTGAATCATTGCCACAATTAGTTGATTTCATAGTTGTAAGATTGAGCCAAACCTGTCGGTCGGGCCGATAAAACCGGAACCGCCCATCAAAACAGTTCAACTCGTTTAATTAGCATCCCTTTTGAGCTGATCGGTTGTACACCAATTTGAAGAGTTAACCGTTCCATCCGTACGAAACGGATTGCGGCCAAAGCAATAAGTTGATAGGGATGGAAATTGTGTTCGGACTCACGCGTATCAATTGGGTTTGATGGGGTCGGATGCGAACTTTACGCGTTTTTTAAATTGGTGGATTGATCGGAATTAGATTTTGTCAAAACTCGATCCTCACCCAAAAAATAAAATAAGATTATTTTGTATCTAACCTTAATAGTTCGGAGAATTTATGGACTTTATTAGTTTTAATGGCAGCCAACTTTTGACATTATAACCATTTATCGATGTTTATGGTTTTTATTGATATATACTTGTGAAGATAATGTTGATAAAGTACAATATAGATGTTCAAAAAAATTATTTGAAGTTATGTCCCTAAACACATGAGTACCATGTACCATTGGACACCCATTGAGTTGGGTTGTTTTTCTGAAAACCAATAGATGTTTTATTATGGGTATTCCACTCAAGTGAGTTTGGATTTAAAGAAACTCGACAACGATGTGAGACATTTTCACCATAATACTATATGCAATTGTTCTGATGTGGACTGGGTCGGATATTTATTAGCTCACATAATACTGTGCAATTGTGCTGATGTGGATTGCCCACATGACATAAATCATTTTTGTTTGATATCTATAGTTAAGTTTTGTGACGGAAATTGTGATGGTGCAATCGCAATTTGATATTTGTGGTTTAATTGCAACAAAAGAGTAAATTAGGTGGTCAAGGTACACCCTACTACTCTATATTCAAGTGGTACTGAGCCGGTGAGAAAGATTTCTAAACATGGTTCTTTCCTTTTGTAAACTCTTGGTTATGCATTTCAACTCGTGGCCATGAAACCTTGAAGAAGTTGTACTTGCATTTAATATTTGTTTTGGGATTTTTTTTTATACAGATTGTTTATATCCCTTCTTTTACAATATTGTGACTTATTGAGTATTTATATATCTCGTCTAGATCTCTCTTTGGTGTACTGCTCATCGAATTTTTTCCATGATAGAGAAAGCAACGAACCAGAAATAGAAGCATATAAGCATACAACATTCATTCAAATTCTTGACACGGCTAGGCTAGAAGCCGAACAAGGCGCCTTGTGCTCTTGCCAAATCCCAAAAATCATCAAAAGAGCCAACGACACAAAACCACACTCTCAAACTCGAACCCCACCAAAATGAAACCGATTTCCTCCAACATTACAACAATAACGCAAAGGTCACTCAACCACTTCACACTTCGGTCAAAGTTTTGCGTGAAAAAACAAAACCCTAGAACCATTCACTTGGCTTTTTTTCTTGACTTCCGTGGTCGCGGATTCGAGTCTTTGACCGATCTTTCAACATCTCTTGCTAACACTCCAAGGAAAACACTTGTCAGAACTGTCTGGCACTGCAGAGACGCCTTAAGCAGGTTCAGCCCCTGAAACAGCAAAACAAAAGGAGCAAAATAAGATACCCACTTTTAATTAAGTACCTCCGTCACCAACCCATTTTTACAAACCAAAACAATGCTATTACTGAGAGTGTTACCTCGTCCATTCCAAGCTCAATGACCTTCTCCTCAAGGTCACCAATTTCCTCAGGGGTGTATTTCTTCAGCATGGTGATGCTCGAGATTGTGGACATTGGCTTGACCTCCAGATTGTCCATCACCATGTATGTGATCACACCTTTCACTAACCCACCTTCTTCACTGTACATATGATCCACAGCTTCATCAGCAGCAGGAGGGGCTTTTAAAAAGGAGAACTCCAGTCTCATCTTAGAGCTGCACTGAGGACACTTAGCTCGCGGGTTATCAGCCACATTCTTGTGGTAACTAGGGCACAAGTAGAACTTCCTGGTCGTTGATCCAATTCCGTCCTCGCCGCCGTCGGATAGCAAAAGGGTGCTGCCACTTGGGCGGAAAGGAATTTTAGGGTTCAGAACCGTGGCTTTGCCTATTTTGGGTTGGAAGAACGCGTCGCCGAGTTCTTCGATGCTCTGGTACAGATTTCCAAGGCAGCCCACCATTCTGTTCTTGGACAGGAGCTTTATCACGGTTCCTAAAGGGAATGAAAGGAGGGTGAAGAGGAAATCAACAAAGTCTTTCCCTGCTTCAGCAAACAGCACTTTGTTGGTTTTCTTGTTGATCAGGAGCTTCAGGGTGACTTTGGGGGTCGCCATTTTGGTGGGTTTGTGGTGAATGGCAAGAACAGGGGAGATGGCGAGTTGGGTACTTCATTATGAAGTTTGGAAACTGGAATGGAATTTATAGAGCAGGAGAAGGAGGTTCAGGCTGGGGAATGGTGCCTCGTGCAAGGGGAGAATAAGAATTACATTTTCCATGGGGAATCAGGGGTTTCGATGGCAGGACGACGCTTCCTGTTCCATATGCAAAATCAGTGTATTGAATGAATTTGTGGGTGGGCACAGCAGTAGCGCTGGGAATCTAGACCAAATCATATGGGAAATTGTGGTTTAGATCAGATCATACGGTTTTATACGGACTGTTAGACCAAAATACGATCTGGTCTAATTTGCGGTTATTATTTTATCTCCTAATAAAAGAATCGCACAAAAACAAGAAAAAGCCTGAGAAAATTATCTCAATTAGTCATGTATAGACTTCGGATAAGATAATATAAAAATGCAAAACCAAATTCATTTAGCTACGTGAGATAAGAGAAATTCTGGCAAGCAAAGCGGAAGAGGGAGTAATCCACTTCTCCTGTCATATTTCTTGGCGAGGTAAGTAACGTTCACTAAATTTTTATTTCACTAGGATGTTGGGCTTATAACATTTTATTTTTATAGATACCGGGAAGGATCGGAGGGACGAAAAAGAGTGAAGGTTTGTTGAGCATGGTATGCCCAAAGCGTACAGGACCGAATTGTACAAGTGTGGTATGGTCTGCAATGTATAGTATTTGGTCCGGTCCATGATCCGTATTCTAGGCTCTCAATCTAGACTGCAGATAGTATATATGGTCGGACTGATCCGAACCACATCGCTTTCCAGGCCTATATAGCAAGCAAGTCAAACCTGAAATAAGCGGGTAAACCGGTTTATACCATTATGTGGTAGATGATACAGTTTGATTGATGTAGAACTTGTTATGTCAGTTTAGACAAAGTATATGGGAATATTAGAAAATTATTAAAATTAAATGAATTATTGCATATATCAAAGACAATTTTAGGGATGACAACATGGCGGTCGGGTCCTAAAAGTTCATATTCATTGCCTACTTAAAATAGTTATAATTTTACCCATACCCACAATCATACAATAATTTGTAATATATTAAAACCAAAACCCCATACCCGACATGTTTCACGCATCCACAATTAACCATAAATAATAGGGTTATAGGTATAATATGCCCCTTTACTATGACGTTTTATCAAACATGCCTCTCAACTATTTTTTACATCAAACATGCCCCCTTACTTTGTAAAAATGATCAAACATGCCCTTTTGTTAAAATTTTGGCAAAATTCATCTGTGTAGCCAAAATTTTGACGTTTATGACAATAATAGCCACTTTTGAGAAAATACCAATAATAGCCAAAAATTTGAAAGTTTGATGACAATAATAGCCATTTCCGTTACATAGTTTAACGGCGTCAGTGACACCGTTAGTCAAATTAACGGAGTGATGATATGGCTGCCAACTCACCTTCTCTTTCTTTTCCACCTCAGCATTCACTGACAGCTAGACGACACGTCATTTACAAAAGTAAAAAAAAAATCATCAAAATATTCCAGATGAAAATTTTATTTTATTTTATTATTAATTACATAAATAACAAACAAAAAAAGGAGATAACTCTCCGTCTCTTAATCCCCTTCTTCATGTTCTCCAATCCAACTCCCTGGCCCTATTCATTCGAGAATCAAATCCAGTATCTCCCATCGATCGACCAACGAACCAAGCGACCGGCGAACCCTGCTTCTCCAGATCTGATATGTCTTCTTTGGTTCTTGTTCTTTGACGAATGAAACCCAGCCACAAACAAGGCTGAAAACGACCATCCAAAGCTTTTACCTTCTAGATCCTGCCGCTTATGCCGTCTGCGTCGCCTCCGATGAATCACCTTTCTCTTATGCCTTCCGCCGTCATCGCTAGCCGCTTCTTGTTTCACAGCTCTTGAAAAGCCCCAGACATCAGAAGCGAATCGACCTGGGTTTTCAATTTTGGGTTCCCAAGAGGTTTCTCGATCCCTCTCTCTTTCTCTTTGCTCTGTCCGCACCCTTCTCCTAGCTCTCCCCGAGTTCCGGTGGCGTCGTGGAATCCGCTGTTGACGATGCCGATACCGACGACCTTGGCCACTATTCTCATGGTTGCGCCTCCTCTCATTATGATAATCGATCGGTAGAGGAAAGGGAAGGAAACTAGAAAAGTAAAATCCCTAAATTGAGAGATTGATTGAATCGTGATTCGTGAGGGGAGAGGGAGTGATTTATTGCCTTGGGGAAAATAAAACGTAAGAAGGGGAAATATCATAGGCTGGGAAAGGGAAAGTAAGAGAGAGATGGGAGAGTGAAAATAAAAAAAAGTAATTAATTTATATTTATTTTCCACCTCATATTTTAATTGATTAATTGTCGCCAACTCAGCCACTCCGTTAGTCTAGTCAGCCATTTGGTTAACACCGTCAAAGAATTGGACGGAAATGGCTATTTTTGGTATTTAGCTAAAAGTGGCTATATTTGGCAAAACCGTCAAAGTTTTGGCTACACAAGTGTATTTTGCCTAAAATTTTCATCCAAAAACCGTTAGCCAAGGCCGAACTTTAGTTTGAGCGACACAAATGACTAAAATATCCCTAATAAATTCACTTTAGAATTTTTTTTGGGTTCTTTTGTATAATCAAATCATTCAAATAATTTCACTTTGAAAAGACCTAGAGAAATAAAACAGGGGACAAAACTGACATTTTCCCTCCCATTTGCCGATGTCAGGTCTTCTAAATCTCAATTCAACCATGATTGACGATTTTTTTCAATGGAAATTTTAACAGAAGAGCATGTTTGATAATTTTTTCAAAGTACATGGGCATATTTGATGTAAAAAATAGTAGAGGGACATGTTTGATAAAACGTTATAGTTGAAGGGCATATTATACCTATAACCCTAAATAATAACTCCTCTTCTATAAAAAAAACTTCTCTTCTTAACTTCAAACATGTTAATAGTTTTAAATATACTAACATTACTAAGTGAAGAATTAAAATAATACATAACCAATGATTAAAATACATACACAATGTGTATAATAAAGTATGAATAATAAAAGAGTGAGAAAACAAAATCCAATAATCAACCCACTGAAGAAAGTTACGATTTATGGGCCAGCAAATCCGAAATGTTCAAATTGGGCTCAAATAAATATGAACTTAATGGTTCTGCGAGGTAAGGTTTACTCATTTGGCCCATTTGTTATCACTTGCTCTAACAGATCTATCACGTTTGGAAGGTTGGTGTTTCGATCAAATTGAATTGACTGCAAAACTCAAACTCTGATCCAATTCGATTGATTGAGAAATTAGGGGATCGCAGAAATTGACGAACCAGCTCCGTCTCCTAAGTTCCCGCTTTCTGCAGCATCTAATAAAGATTTCGCCCGATACGGTTCCTTCCTTTCGTTGACCTTATCCTTTTAATGATTTTTAAATAGAGATTCTGGTAGTGACTTGAGGATGAAAAAATAACAAGGGGAAATATATGAATGTGGACGAGCAACAATCGAATCGTCAATCCAGATATGACGACCGAAACGATATCTCGGCCAACTTGCTGTCAAAACCGCCGTTCGTTTCCGCCGGCCAAGAGACACTCTATATCAATCTCTGGCCGGACATATATTCGGAGGAACGGCGGCAGGGAACTCAAAAACTTCTAAACGAAACAGGAAAACGATAACCGATTAGCATGAATTCGAGAATGAGAAGATGGAGAGCGTTGGAACTTGGAAGAACGCGACGCCGGTGAGCTGAGCGGATGAATTTGAGAAAGAGGCGTGCGTGGTGTTTATAAAGGCGTAATGGTAACCCTAGAGGCGAGAAGACCCTCCTTGGGCTTTTGGTTTTGGATCCAAGAGAGGCCCACATACCGACCCGAGAATTGGCCTGTGCAGAGACAGAAGCCCATCAACATTGTCTAGTCTACTGGAGCCAGCCCAGCCATAGTTCCCGCAAATTATTTCTACTTAGTGCGGTTTATATCCGTCTCTTCTTCTCGCTCACGCCGGCTGCGTTGATTAGCAAGTTCTGGCCTCTTCCCTGCTTCTCAGCCATGGGAACCGTCTCGCGATTGAATCAGTTTGCTGCATGCCAGAAGACCTTCCCCATCATCGCGCCTCGAACCCCGCTGATCTCCCCATCTGCAATTCTCCATTTCTCCCCTGCCAAACCCACCTCCCCTCCTCTCCTCTTCAAATCCAAAGGGTTCCGCAAGCCTGCTTTCCTGTGCCGAGCGGCGGGAGAAGGCGAACAGGATGCCGCCTCTTCCTCCTCCATGGTCGCCGAAACCGGCGAACCCGAGCAGCTCACGGAGATTGATAGCTTGAAGAACCGGCTGGTCGACTGTTTCTACGGTACGGATCGTGGGTTGAGAGCCAGCAGCGAGACGAAAGCTGAGATTGTGGAGCTCATCACCCAGCTTGAAGCCAAGAATCCGACTCCTGCACCTACCGAAGCCTTGACTCTTCTTCAGGGCAAGTGGATTCTTGCGTGAGTGTTCTTCTTCTGTTTTCTAGTTTGTCCATTTTCGTTATTTTTTGTGTGGGTTCCTTTCCTATTACAGTTCTTAAAGCAAATTAAGAAGAGAAGAGAATGTACTCTAGGATGAAAATGAAATTGAGTTGCTGATGGTGCAGGTACACGTCTTTTCCGGGGCTGTTCCCTCTGCTGTCGAGGGGAACTCCGCCACTAGTGACGGTGGAGGAGATATCTCAGACCATAGATTCGGAGAATTTTACCGTCCAGAATTCTGTGCGCTTTGCTAGCCCGTATGCTACCACTTCCATTAGCACCAACGCCAATTTCGAAGTCAGAAGCCCTAAGAGAGTGCAGGTTGATTCTTTGCTTCCTTCATTGTTTTCTAATCGTTATATATATGCAAGGTCATGTCTTGGACTTAGTGGAGAATATGGATTTAATAAATGTGCTTGCTTTGCTTGGTGTTGTTTCAGATCAAGTTCGAAGAAGGCGTCATTGGAACACCCCAGCTAACTGATTCCATAGTGATTCCTGAGAGCGTGGAATTTCTGGGACAGAAGATCGATCTGACACCTTTCAAAGGGCTGATCACCTCGGTTCAGGACACGGCTTCTAGCGTGGCAAAGACGATATCCAGCCAGCCACCGTTGAAGTTTGACATCTCAAACCGTAGTGCAGAGTCGTGGTTGCTCACCACGTACCTGGACCAAGACCTTCGAATTTCGAGGGGAGATGCTGGGAGCGTGTTCGTGCTGCTCAAGGAGGGCAGCCCCCTTCTCGCTCGCTGTTAATTTCAACCCTCTGCAAGTAGATAAGCAGCCGTAGCACGCTCGATCTGGTGGCCTGTAATGTATGGTATGCGCTTACTATATAGATATATGTACAGTTGTGTTGTGTTGTGTTGTGTGTGTGAGTGAGTTGTTTGTTTCGTGCAGAGTCCGTCATAGATATGGCTCCATGTATCTACTGTATACTCAGTGTGCTCGGAAGATGCTGTTAGTTATGGGGAATTCTTACACTTCCACCACGATGCATCCAAGAGTACTGTTGTATTGTGTTGAACGTAAATGAATAAACAGATTAGAATAAGAGGGCTTGCTTTGGTGCTCTTCTTACATAATAACAATCAGTTGAGTTGATCAAAAGTCTGCAGAATAAGAGTAGCATTTAGAAGACGAGAACATATCAGTACAGACCTGATAGAAAGCATCCAGAATCATGACATGAAGTTCTTGGGGGTTGACTGACATGTAGTAGTCGAGAAGTGCACGGAGGTTGTTTGGATTCTGAAGCTTGTTTGCAGTGATCATGGTAGCCACCGAATCTACAAAGTCTTGTCTGGGATCCTCACTGCACTTCTCGACGACCACCATCGTAGTACCTTTGCCTGCAGTTGTTGTTGTTGTTACTGCAACAGCATCGCAACCAGTTCTTCTACCACCTCTCCTTCTTGCAGCTGCTGTCACTTCTGTCATCCTGCACCGGTAGCTTTGCTCTGTTGTGTCTCTGATCATCTGATCCAGTTGGTGCTGAACCATGGTGTGTTCCAAGGTGGAGATCTGCTTGCGCCCGCTTTTATGGATGTCGAAATGGATGCTACCACTATTATGATTCCATGAACGCCGCCGCCTGCACGCTCTGCTGCTGCAGCAGTAGCACTCCCAATCCTCGCTCTCATAACCATCTTTGGGAGAAAAGCTACTGAGCCTGCTGCAGCAAAACCTGCCCCTTCCTGCTGCTGATCTCTTTTCTACCTCCTCCTTATGGTACGGCCTCCTGTCCCTTGATCCTTTCATTCTGCACTGGCTTGGCTGCAAGCTGGTTGTCTCAATTATGGCCTGTAGCAGATCCCCAACAGGAAATTAAACTAAGCAGCTGTTGTCGAACTGACTGCTGCTAGGTGCCTACTCCACAGGAGGTTGATGGAATAGTATATATAAGGTCACCACCTTTTTGCATCTCCTATCAATTAAGAAAATGCAGCTTAACTTTTCTTTAGTTTGCGTAAATTTTAATTTAAGACTTTAAGTACAATTTGGCGAGATGGGGGCCAGGAATCGACCCTATCATCATGGTGTATCCAAAGGTCTAAACCAGCCATCAAACCCTTTTTCACCCCCTTTAGAACGTTGTGGCTCTTAATAAATTGCTTTCACAAAGCTTTCTTATTTGAATATATTTATATATATTGGGATTTCTTGTATTAAATTGACTGGTGGACAAATTGGGTGAATAAAAAAGAAAAAGATTCTGCAAAAATACAAATAAGAAACAAAGAAGTAATGAAAGATTCTCTTAGGTGATTGCAAATGGGTTGATTTCTCGAAAAAACTAATTAATGTATAACACTTTCGATTTCAGTGTTTTAGAATGTGCCCTGGTTATCTACTTTGCTCATCAACTATTGTGGCAGAAGGCAAACTATTATGGACACTTTGGACTCGACAAAGGCATCCTGCTTACAATCTCAGATGCTCATTGACTGCCTTAATTTCCGTCAAAATCCTATACCTCGCTTTTATTGCACAGGGAATATCGAGTTTGGTTACATTCCATGAATGACATACTTTTGCAGTTGAAACGGATAAAGGACCCTTAAATACATTGATGTTTCAATGTCCGAGCATATTGTGTTGCTAAACCTCAAACATGAAATGATCTACATGCTAATAGGATCGAGGTTTCTTTGATCTCATCACAGTTTTATTGATAGCTTGACCATCCGCTAATGTATGTAGTTGTATTTATTTCATCCATTTTTGGCATGTTTTTCGTCAAAAAGTTATACTCTTGTCAAATAAATAAACCCGAACAACCAAATGTCCGTGAATAGCTCACATGACAACACATTTTACCCATCTTCAATTGGAATTGAATTTTTACTCTAGCCAATCTCAATCTTTACTAGTTGGAGCCATTCTAGTCCTACCTTATATATAATTTATAATTACATGGTCTATATAATTGCCTATATTATTAAGTTGGATAAGTTGACATTTGATAAGTTGATTGGGAGAAAATATCGAAATAAATGATTATTATGCATAGATTTTACTATTTTAGTGACAATTTTGTCGATGACTCAAACTTTAGGGATAATTTTTGTAATTGAGCCCATAATCAGCGGAGGGAATACTACGTACAAATCACGCGCTTCAGAATAGCGCGTAATCGGACGTCAACAACTGCGTTGATCATTGGCGCGGATAAATCCAACCGACTGCAGGCATTTCTTGCTTTGCTTCTTCCCCGATATTTGATTCAATCAGAGAACAACCGGAAGAAATGTCATCACGGGACAAGAAACCGGCGAAACCATCCACCAGCAGAGCCGGCGGCATCCGCACGCTGTCCGATCTCAATCGGCGGTCGGGTCCCGACTCAGATAGCGATGAAGAAGGTCCTCAGGAGTATTACACCGGTGGCGAGAAGAGGTCTCTTCCCAAACCCTAATTCTTCCTTGATTCTTATGCGCACGACATTCCCCTGAATCCACCTGCTTCGTTGTCGTTAAATTTCTCATTTCCAGTGATCCAAAGGGCTAATTCGTGTCTCTTTGAGGTGCTCTTAGGCCTTAGCCTCTCTGATTTATTGTTTGTTATAAGAAGAAATCGAGGGAGGAAAGGAGGAGATCCAATTGAGTCATTTTTAGTCGCTGAGTGCTGTATCACCTGCCACTCAGTTTTTTTCTTGGCTTATTTGGGAGAAATCATGACGTTGCCTGAGACCCCTTTAGTGATGGTGTTAACTAGCTAATTGAGCCTTGCGGATTATGGTCTATTGCTGGTCCTTGTTGTCTTTCTTATGAAGTTACTTGATTGGGTATACAAGTGAGAACTAAGCGACGTAACTCATTCTTTTTGTTATTATCTCAGTGGTATGCTTGTCCAAGATCCCCAGAAAGTTAATGATGTAGATGCAATCTTCAATCAAGCTCGGCAGTTGGGAGCAGTAGAAGGGCCTGTCGATCATCTCCGTCCCGGCTCTAGCTCAACAAGCTTTACTGGAACTGGTAGATTGCTTTCTGGGGAAGTTGTGCCATCAGCTCCACAGCAGCCTGAGTCTGTTGTTCATAACATCATCTTCTGGAGCAATGGATTTACTGTGAATGATGGCCCCCTACGGAGGTTGGATGATCCCGAAAATGCACCTTTCTTGGAGGTACTGTGATTTAAGCTTCTATGAGATCTAGCGGTGCGAATAATCTTTCTCCAAGTGACCATGATTTTTCTTCTACCTGATCGGTTTAGTGATGTTGTATTTGATAGCTCTAAGATTTGCACACTTCAGATTCTACTGCATAGCAGATCCAGATTCTTAGTTCTGCAATTTGGGACCGCCAAATCATTGGCGGGTGCAATCTTTACTTGATTATAGATAGTGCAATATGCTCTGTTGATCCGTAAATGTTAAAAGGGCCTTGGGAATATAACAAATCTGATCCTGTGCATTGGATGGAAGATTCTGATGCATAATCTTCCCAACTTTAGTTTTGACTATCAAGATTGCGATGTCTGAAATTGTTGCTTGTTTTATCGACTTTCCATCTGTTGCAGAGCATTACAAAATCTGAGTGTCCAAAGGAGCTTGAGCCAGCAGATAGGAGGTCCTCTGTTCATGTAAATCTGATTAAAAGGGATGAGAAGTGCCCGGTAATTACCTAACTGTCATTTTCCTCTTTCTTGCTTCTGATTTCACTTTCTTGTTATGGCAGTTGCTTTATGTTCCTGCGAGAGTTAAAAATGATGTTGACTTAGTTACTCTAATAAGGTCTAGGTTCATATTCTGACTTCCGCAATTGTGGTCTTTTAGCAGAAAGCTGTTCCCCTCTATTTCACTGAGGGTGTTGGGAACTTCACTCCAGCTTTGTGCTGCATTCAAAACACTTGTGCATACCTGTTCTAATTTGCCCCTGTCACCTTTCTTTCCTTTGGCTTGCAGGAACCAGAGAAGCAGCGGCAGGTTGCATTTCAAGGTGTAGGCAGAACTTTAGGTGGCAGTGCTACTCCAGTGGCGACAGAACCGGGTGTTGGTTCTTCCACCAATTTCACTGTTAATCCAACCCCTTCAACGGGTGTGGTTGTAGATGAGACATTACCATCAACTTCAGTACAGCTAAGAATGGCTGATGGGAGCCGCCTGATTGCCAACTTCAATTACCATCACACTGTTAATGACATACGTGGGTTTATTGATGCATCTAGGCCCGGGGCAGCACAGAATTATCAGCTGCAGATGATGGGATTCCCTCCTAAGCTTCTTAGCGATCCAACTCAGACAATAGAGCAGGCCGGCCTTGCAAATTCAGTTGTAATTCAGAAATTTTAAGCCAAGTCCAGCTACTGGGCTGCAAAAAATTGTGGTGACTGGTGAGGGAACTGAATGTGTAGAACCCTAATATCCTATAAGAGAGAAGCTTGGTTTTGTGGGGGAGGGGGGGTTTTCATGGATGGGAAACGAAGGAGAATTTTGTGGTGGGATGAATGTAATATTTCTGTTTGTGTATTTGTTTTCTGGTAAATACAATTCTTGTGTACTCTTCTTCATTCATATTCCTCTGGTCTATTTGGCATGAACAGGATAACCAGATTTCGGATTAGATCTTGTGTGTGGTATGATACTGAACCATGAGTTTAGGTTGATGTGGATTCAATTCATGGTCAGAAATCACATTCAGCTTTTGACTTGAGGTAGATGTGGTTGATTTTACCATCTCTCTCACTGCTTGTCTTGGAAGGTGAAGTCTAATAATACATTCTCACTGTACTTTGTTATAAATCATGGTTTGTGATACTGTGTTGTATCACAAAAATTGTCAAATGACGGTCAGACTAGGGCGATACATGCATATATAAGAAATGTAATGGTCCATGTAAATTGCTTAGTCACAATATGCCAATTGGTATTACTGGTAATTATCATGAATCAATATTCTTTTTGTACCATTTTGACAACGATATCTTAATAATATATTGTTGATTGGACACAAAATTGTACCGACAAATAAAATTTATCTGTCTTGTACAATTTCACTCACTTATCACTCTAAATTCCGTACTTCTTCTAACGGTATTCCGTTATCTACCTTGCCTGTGCCCGGTCACGCTGCCCACCACGGTGGTTAAGAGAAGTTGAAGAAGCCGCTGTCCGTGGGCGTAAAAATGAAAATGAAAAAAAAAATATAAGGTCAAAGGTCGCGTCTTGTCAACCTCTTCGCACAGTCTCACTCGCTCTGTTTTTTTTTTTTTTTTTTTTTTGTTTTTTGCTCCTTCATTTCCCCCTGGGGGTTCTTACTTTCTCTATGCCCTGTCGTTCTTTCTCCCCTTCTCTTCTTTCTTCTTTGTCGCTACCAAATGTTATGTGAAGGAGCTGCTGGTGCTGGGTAGAGCATGAGCTGAAGCCCTAGGGTTTCTTTTCCTTCTTCCCTTCTCCCGACAAGCAATCCAATCAGTCCAATCAATTAGATCCTCCAGTTACATATCTTACTCTAGCATAGATTTCTTACCCCCTTCCATCATTCCTTCCATGGCTAAAACCAGGCCAGGCCTCGCCTCCAGCAACACCAAGCCCAAAGCTACTGCTAGTGCTGCTGGGGGCAAGAAGGAGCTCGACTCCTACACCATTCGCGGCACAACCAAAGTCGTCAAAGGTAAAAAAAAAGGGGCTCTCTTTTCTCTCCCTGGTCTTTTCCATTCTCCTTTCCAGCTTTGCTCTCAGTAATGGGGATTGCATAATGTTGGTTTGTTGCATTTCAATGTCAAATACCCAGTTGGCGAATGCGTGCTGATGAGACCTTCCGACACTGGGAAGCCCCCTTACGTTGCCAGAATCGAGGGCATCGATTCAGACTCCAGAAACAATGTCAAGGTCCGGGTCAGGTGGTACTACCGGCCCGAGGAGTCTCTCGGTGGCCGACGCCAGTTCCATGGCGCCAAAGAGCTCTTTCTTTCCGACCACCACGACGTCCAGAGCGCCCACACAATCGAGGGGAAATGTACTGTTCATTCTTTTAAGAACTATACCAAACTCGAGAATGTTGGCGCCGAGGACTACTTCTGTAGGTTCGAGTATAAGGCTGCTACCGGAGGATTCACTCCGGACCGTGTTGCTGTGTGAGTTTGTTTTGCTCGACAATTTTTCTGTTCCACAATTCGCTCCTTACCCTTTGTTGGGTTTATCATTAACCTGTTGCTCCTTGGTTTTTTTTTGGGCCCTTTAGGTATTGCAAATGCGAGATGCCATATAACCCGGATGACCTTATGGTCCAATGCGAGGAGTGCAAGGACTGGTAAATTTACTTCTTTTGTGTAGTTTTGCATATTCAATTGCTTCCGATAGTTGAATGATCACGACACCAGCATTTCTCAGCCAGCCAGTCTGTTTGGTACTGGCGGGTGATGGCCGATCAGTTCTGTTTCAAATTATGTGGAGAAAACAAATGAAGATGATTCAAAAGTCTCGGTTTTTACTTGAGAATTCAGTATAATGGGTGTCATCTTGGTGGTCTCTTGGGTCTTCATCCTCTCTTAGTCCCTCTTCTTCAGAACCAGGATTTCATTCTCTGGTATTGTGAATACATCTCATGTTTTCACGATACTTGTGTCACCACTGATAAAGTTTGTTGCTTGCTCATGCCCCTTCTTGTGGCGCTACGTTGTAGGTATCATCCGGCATGTGTGGGAATGACTATTGAAGAAGCTAAGAAACTGGATCACTTTGTTTGCTCTGAATGTTCTCCGGATGACGATGTCAAAAGACCACAGAATGGGTTTTCAACATCACCAACAGCTGATGTCAAGGTGAGGTTTCTTTAACTATCCAGTTCTGGATTATGTTAGGTGAGCTTCACTGGTCTCACTTGCAACATTCTTCTAGTGTGTCACTCTTGGCGTTCGCAGTGCGTGCTAGTTTGTGGCTGCACGTTGACGTACATCTTTCAGTTCTTGATTGAGGTGTTTCCCCAAGAATATCTACTCCTGCATTTCTTATGTTTCATTCAATGCTGGAAGTGTTCAGAATTTCATATCCATGCTTTTCAGTCTTTCCAACTTGGTACAGCTCTAAAGAAATCTGGGTCTTCTCGAGTTCCTGTATCCTGGTCTGAGTCTACCCATCCACAGCTCTCTCTATATGTGGAGCTGATGTGGCATATTCAGCCACCTTTTCTTTTAGCAATGAATGTTCCGTGAGCGATACAAATCAGTATGGATATCTAGACGATATGGCTGAATGTGATTGGCAGGAACATATTCTACATTGCTGGTTTAGGATATAACATATGCGTACTTAACATATATCCACAGCAACGCTCCATCAGATGCTTTTCGCTTATTGTCGAATTTGTCTCCTGTATGCATCGTCGACGATTATTCATTGGCATAGTTTTCAATATGTTGAGGTATTTTTAATAAGACATGGCTTCTCTATCTTAAACAGCTGCCTTTCCTTTTGAAGCTTCACTTGAGTATAGCATTTGGTTAGTAACTTCGGTAGATTAACCTTACTCATGACTCGGTTTCATGGATTCCGAGGCAATATTTTACAATTGCCTCATAGCAAGGTATTTGGGTTGAATTGTCTCTGGCAGTGAACGAAAAAATGCAGCATTTTGGCACATGGCTACTTGAGATTGTCTCATTTCGTGGCAATTTGAATTGCCTCATTTTTCTCTAAAACCACTCGTTTGGCCCAAAATGCCCCATTTTAGAAAAACCTCATCCAAATGACCAGTGTAAGACGGTTAGATAGTTAGGTAGGGATTCTCATTTCAGTGATAGTCTTAGTCTGCATGCTTGATATGTGTGCTTTCTTCTGCTTGGAGATGGGGCCTAAAACATTTCTTGTACACGATAAATCTGCACATGTCGTAAGGGTTTGGAGGATTTTGGCAATATGAACCAGGCTTTATTGCATTTCCTTGCTAACAGGTTGTTTTAGGCTTCTAGCATTTCATGTCTAAGAACTTAAAACAGCTTATGTTTTGGGTTTTCTGGTAGCTTTGAGCTCTATGAGCAGTAGAAGAAACTCTAAAGTTTGTATTCTTTTTAGAATTTGGTTGGGAAAGAATCTTCTGGTTTCTTATGATCAAGTGATGATTGTTTAAAGCTAGGATGAACATTTTGCAGGTGGAGACTAAGCGGCGAAAGAGATGAAAATGACGAGCGTGTGCTTTAGCTTTGATAGAAGAAAGAAGACGGTTGTTTTATGTGACTTGGAGGAGCAGCACAGAGAAAACTTCGCTGTGCTTTGCTCGATTATGCTAGCTGACTGGTTTCTTGTTTGTAATATATTAACCCTGTCTGTCTGTATGTGGAACTAACTAGAGCTTCAGACATACAGTTCTCTTCTTCTAAATTTATCTTCCTTTGGCCCTTTACAATCTCCATCCCAACTGTTAATCAAATCTGTCGAGGGAACAGTTCTCTTGCCCACTGTGACTGTCTTCTTTGGAAACACCAAATGCACATCTGTAAGGGACCTGTCTAATTTGGGTTCGGAATGGAAGCTACCAAGTTCCAGTGATGTGCCTAGGATGCTCATCCTCAATGAGAATAAATTTGCAAGGGTTGCTATAAAATTCAAAGAAATTGGGAATTTTAAAGTTTTTGGTTGGTTAGATGGAGGAAGAACCTTCACAATAGTAGGTGATAAGGTTCGGGGTTAGGTGTAACGATCAATGATAGTGATGGTAATTTGAACCCGCTTTATTGAGTATTATTCGACTTGGTCCGTGATGGGGCGGTAATATTCGACCTGCAATAGCATGGGGCGGGACATAGTATATAAATATAGGATCAATTAATCACATGTATCAAACATGACATACAATATTAGTATTATTAATTTATATATTATTTTAGAATTTACGTTATGCCTTTAAGGTAAGTGTTTATTATAAATTAGTCGTACTCGAGCCATACTCGTGATGGGGTTAGGTATAATGATCAATGATAGTGATGGTAATTTGAACCTGCTTTATTGAGTATTATTCGACTTGGTCCGTGATGGGGCGGTAATATCCGACCTGCAATAGCATGGGGCGGGACATAGTATATAAATATAGGATCAATTAATCACATGTATCAAACATGACATACAATATTAGTATTATTAATTTATATATTATTTTAGAATTTACGTTATGCCTTTAAGGATCAAGTGTTTATTATAAATTAGTTGTACTCGAGCTATACTTGTGAGTTGTGATCTTAATAATGAGTCAAGATTTTAATAAATGAGCCGACTCGACCCAACTCGTTAACAAACGAGTCGAACTTGAATTCACCTCGTTTATTAACCAACCAAGCCTAAAGAAAGCGAAACTCGGATCCTTAGCACTTACATGACACTTGTAAAGTTCAACTCGATTCTCATTTTCACTTACATTCACCACTTACCTTCGTTTTATCTTCCCACAAACTCTATTCCTCCGTGTGAAAAGAAACTTCTCCTTTCTTTGTCCATTATTTTGTCACAGCTGCTTCTTGTATTTTTTAGTGAGCTTGCCTAATGTGCTGTTTACCCGTAATTCGATCAACGACGTATCAAAATCATATCAGCCATTGAAAGTTTTCTATCGCGTGTCCTGGTTTGGATAATTGTCATGAGGACTGCGAGGACAAGGACAAAGACTCTTACACTACCCTGATCCACCCATGAGAACGGAGAAGATGATCTCGTGTAAAACCCCTCCTCTAGAGGGGGTGACTCTCAACTCTGACAACTATGTTCCTCTTAATACAGACCTGGCTGTTGCGTGTTGCCCAGGGGCGGAGCTACACAGGGCCTGGGAGGGGCCCGCCCCCCCGAGAATTTCGAAAATTACTAATGAATGACGGGTATTCTGGAAATTACGTAGTAATTAAATATAGAGTTTAATAAAAGTCGCGTGCAAAACTGTAACAATGAAGGTGTTTAACCTAGTGGAGATCTACGTGTTCTATACCCCTGTAGTCAGGGGTTCAATACATACTGATGACAATTTTTAACATTTTATCTCATTTTTTCACATACTCTGCTATTAGTTATAGTCTTGATGCGTTGATGTAAAGTTAATTTAGTTCTTAACTCTATATTAAAATAATTTTTTTGTTGATATTTTACTCATTTATATTGAAGATATCATAATAGTTACATCTTAAGTTAATCTAATTATTTGACAAAACATCTTGTACGTTTTAATTTATTTATATAGTTATATAATTATTTTAGTTTTTTATCTAGTTACGATAATATACTACGGAACATTTTTCGGCCCCCCAAACCCAAAAACCTGGCTCCGCCCTTGAGTGTTGCCTGATCAGAGATTACTTATGACGCTGCTTGGCAACATTCGTTTTAAACCTAAGAATTTGTTCTATCATCTAAGCTGAGTTGAGAACTGCTGTAAAACGACTTCAACTGGTTTGAGACATGGGTTACAAATGTGTCCATATGCAGCTCGACTCCATATGTGACATTTAGCTCATCCAGAGCTCGGCAGACTTGGATCACCAACACGCTGCTGTGGTAGATTGCTTTCGAAGCTTGCTTCATAATAATTAGGATGTTGTTATCTCTCATGTTTATGAAAAGGGAATAAGTGTGACGACTTTCTAATTACGAGAGGCTATTTGATGGGCCTGGGTTTTCAAAGTGTTCCTAGTTCTGATCCTACTTTGATGTACTGATTACTCTATGACGTTCATGAAATCTCCGAATTCGGACTAATTTTGAAGAAAAGTTCGAATGCGTGCGTTACATTCATTTATAAAATAAATAAATAAAATTAATTGTTGATAGAGTTTTGAATTAAAGTCCACACGATCCACCCTAGTACCTAAGCCTTTTCAGAACATACAGAAAGGTCCAGTAGCCCAGGCCCATGAATTGGGTTGCTGAGTCCATCCATATCCGCCCTCCGTGCCTGAAAGAAAAGTGAAGGAGAGAGGGCGGAGATTTAGCTCGTACGAACCAGTTCGCGCAGGGTTTAAGGCTTCTGCCCCAATCGTCTCCGTCCGGCTGCTTCTCTTCTCCCGCCGCACCGGCAACGTGACTTGCATCAGTCTCAGTGTGACCGTCGGGCCCCTCGATTTGATTTCTAACCCTGCCTTTCGCTTGCCGGAGGATTTCACTATCCTAGGGTTTTGTATGCCACCCTCAAGATAAATCTTGCGCAGTAGGTTAGTCCTGTAGCGCTCTGGGCCGGATGGCAGCTTCAATCTCGAAAGGAATACTGCGTTCTTTTGGTTCCTTGTCTGCTCTTCGCCGTTGCCAGGGTAAGCTTTCTTTGCCCATTGCCCAAAACAATTGCAAGTTGGTGACTGCTCTCTCTTTCACTGCTATTCATTTTTTCCACTTCCCCTCCTTCGCTGTAGATGTAAGCATTCGAGCTTCAGGGGACAGTTCATTCTCTCGGGCATCCTCTTTTCATTTGGTAAATCTCTCTTCTTTTTTGCTCTCTCGGATTGCAGTACAGTGGCTGACTATCTCCTCGTCGCTTTTGCTACAATGTAGGGGTCGGCCACTACCCTTTCGCATCAGAGGTGGTTTACATCTGTATTGACCCCTGAATCAAGCGATGGTCCATTTCCCGCTGATTTGTTATCGTCAAGGGCTGTGATAACCCCAGATCGTAAAATAGGCATGGAAGCTGTTCTCTGAGCTATGATACTTGAATTTTGCGGAGTCATTTCATCTTATGGCTGTTTTGGTTCCCTATCTCTGTTGCGCAAGATTAGCTTCTATTTTGTTGTCAGTGGGCTTTCAGGTAGCTTGTAATTACGTTAATGAACAATGCTTCTTATCTTAGGGCTTTATCAGGACCTGGCAATTCCTGTGACAAATTTCCAAAATGAGGACAAAGGGTTTATGGTTCTAGCTGGTGATGTGTTTGATGTACCCATTAGAAAAGACATTGTTCATCGAGTCGTGAGGTGGCAACTCGCCAAAAGGCAGCAAGTAATTATCTCAGTCCTGCTTCAGGTCTATCAGTTTTATTGTTATTGAAAATTCAGGGATATTGATGTTTCGAAAATAAATATTTGATTCTTAGGGAACACATTCGACAAAAACTATCAGTGAGGTTAGTGGGACTGGGAGAAAGCCATGGAATCAGAAGGGAACTGGCAGAGCTAGGCACGGAACGCTGCGTGGGCCTCAGGTAAAGTTTATGACTTTTGAGTGCTTTTGATATGCATTTGATCATGTCTATTTCTAATTCAAATTGATTTCCATGTGCAGTTTAGAGGTGGTTGTGTTATGCATGGCCCCAAGCCACGAAGCCACGCCTTCAAACTAAATAAGCAGGTCAGGCGTTTAGGGTTGAAGATTGCGCTGACAGCACGTGCGGCAGAAGGAAAGGTATGGTTCTTCTTAATTTCTAAACTTTTTCTATGTGACGAGTAATTCGGTTGTGTAAGTATGTAACTTTATTGTTCTTCCTTCCTCACTTGAGCTGGATTCCATTGTTGTGACACGACCACAATGTGTTGTTGTATTGGTGACCAGTTTCTTGTTGCTTCTCTTTGATCTTAGTCCACAATTTTTTAGTCTGTTGGTTAGTATCTTAAAAGATGTATAAAATGTGCAGCTTTTCGTGTTTGAGGATTTGGAGGTTCCTACGCACAAAACCAAGAACATGGTCAACTATGTCCAGCAGATGGAGGATGCCAAGAAACTGCTGTTGGTTGATGGTGGTCCCATCAGTGAAAGACTGAAGCTGGCTACACAAAATCTACATTATGTCAATGTTATACCTTCAATTGTAAGTGAGATTGAATCACAATTGAAGGAAAACAGTGGTTCCAGTGTTTCCTGTAGTTTGTTTAGCTTATGGAGTTAGTTTCAGTTATATTGATTTCTTCTCATGCGTGTAAGTAGTTCTGTGGTTGCAACCTATATTAGATTAATGGTTTTTGTTAAATGCTTTTTTTGCAGGGATTGAATGTCTACAGCATACTGCAACATGACACATTGGTGATGTCCCGTGCTGCTGTGAATGGAATTGTGGCTCGAATGCACACGCCAATCAACCGCTAACTGACTGCAATGCTGTTTTAGGAGGAAACCTGTTCTTCCTTGTCCTTTTAGGCGAAATCATAGGCCAAAGCAAATAAGATGTGTCCGTCAAAGATTTATTTTGCTTTGTTCCTCTCCCCCTCTGTTTGGAGTGCCTCTACGACTTGGCACTATGTTAGCTACCTTGATTTTGTGATCCCTATGGATGAATTTTCCGGGTGCTGCATCTCGGAACCATGTTAAGGCTAGAATGTGGTTTTGATGTAAGCAAAAGGTGCTTCACTCGTTTTAGATCAATGTGGTTGAAACTTGAAGAAACCAATGGTCTTTTCTTAAACCTGTGGCTTTGTCTGTTTGTCTCTGTTCTTGATCGCCTTGCAAGATTATAATGATGCATGTAACGAGCCTCTTCTTGTTATACAGCGGCAGAAATGCTTTTGAGGTCAAATTGTTCAAAATCCAATAGCTGCAAGAAACATGTGTTGTAGATTTGAGTTATATGCATGGATGGCAAGTTTCTGGCACGCAGAAAATGCCTTTGGGAGGACCCCTTTTCATCCTCGCTGATATATGCCTATATTTTGGTGGGGAAAAGAAAACGTTCTCCCAAGAGACTGAGAAGGGCAAAAAGGCCATGGGAGGAAAAGCTGCCGTTGAGAGTTCATCAGCAAGAAAAGCTGTTGCTGCTGTTGCAGTAGTAGCTTTGGTTTATGTGGGCTGCTTTTGGAGCTGTTCTGCAGAAGAGCAATCCTTATACTTAGTGTTAATGGAAGGAGAGATGGGTGGAGCAAGGAGTGAATCTTCTCATGATCTGCTTCTGCAGGACACCCTTGGAATTGGAAGCTACAACAAGCTCTACAGCTTCAAATACCTTGTCAATGGATTTGCTGTGCACACCACTGCTTCTCAGGTTCGAATGCTCATTTTGCACTTATGGAACATACGTACCTTAAGAAGGAAACGGAAATCAAACCCAGGAAAGAAAGAAAGCAAGAAATGAGTGTAACTATATGCTCTGCTGCAGGTTAAGAAACTGAAGGATCTTCCAGGAGTGAAGATGGTGGAGAGGGATAGAAGGGCCAAACTGATGACTACCTACACTCCGCGCTTCCTCGGTTTAACTGCTGACAATGACAATGACGGTGACGATGATTTGGCAATTAAGACAGTGAGAGGGGCAGGGGAGGAGATGGTGATTGGTTTCGTGGATTCAGGGATCGACCCAAGGCATCCCAGTTTCGCTTACCATCATCCTAAGTTACCCTTACCATCTCCTTCTCAGCGCCAATTTCCCGGGGTATGTGAGGCAGGCCCTCATTTCCCGTCCAGTTCTTGCAATGGCAAGATTGTGTCAGCTAGATTCTTTTCTGCTGGGGCTCGTTCCATCGCTACTCTCAACACCTCTCTCGATTTCCTGTCACCTTTCGACGCTGTTGGGCATGGCACGTACGTACCTCTTCCGTCTGTTACTAACTGCATCATGCACGTATGATGAAGCTGTTTGTTTCTTGTTGTACACTCCTCAGGCACGTTGCATCAACTGCTGCTGGGAATGCTGGAGTTCCAGTGGTGGTGAACGGCTTCCATTACGGACGAGCCAGTGGGATGGCACCTCAAGCCCGAATCGCCGTCTACAAGGCTGTGTACCCAACTGTGGGGACCCTCGCCGATGTGATTGCTGCCATGGATCAAGTAGGTACCTACTGATAAAACACACCTGCATGCACTGTGTGTTATATGAATGAATGAATGCATGTGCAGGCCATCCATGATGAAGTAGACGTATTGGTGGTGTCGGTTGGACCAGACACTCCGCCAGAGGACACCGACGTGACATTCCTAAGCGTGTTCGATGTGACCATGCTATTTGCACGACGTGCTGGCGTGTTCGTTGTTCAGGCTGCCGGAAACCTTGGACCTGATCCTTTCACAGTAGTCTCCTACAGCCCTTGGGCTGTGGGTGTGGCTGCTTGCCGCACTGACCGAACTTACCCCGCCTTTCTCGTCCTAGGAGACGACGTTGATGTGCACCAATTTGTTAGCGGTGTCGGCCTATCAGCACCCACGTTAGGATCGTTTCTGCTGGTGTTGGCTAGGGATGCAGTGATGCCCAACGGATCTTTCCCAAGGACACCACCCTACGTTGATGAATGCCAGCATCCTGAGGCCTTGGACCCGTCCCTCGTCCAAGGGCGCATTGTTTTATGCACCTTCTCGGCTGGCTTCTATGACCAAACCTCCACCCTGGCCGCCATAACTCAAACTGCTGCACACCTGGGATTCATGGGGTTTGTTCTTGTTGCGAATCCTGCTTATGGAGATTTCATTGCACAACCTATCCCATTTGATGCTCCAGCCGGCATCATCATCCCAAAACTCGCCGACACCCAGGTATGTATATGTTCTTCCAAATCATAAGCTATGTTAGTGAACTAGTTAACTTGATTTGTGCATGATTAAGATGCAGACCGTGTTAAGGTACTACGAGCAGCACATCAGCAGAGATGAGATGGGACACGTGACCGAGTTCCATGGACGAGCAAGTATAGGAGAAGGCAGAGTTGCGAAGTTCGGAGGGAGAGCTCCAATTGTGAGCAGGTTCTCCTCGAGGGGACCTGATTATGCTGATGCCCAGAGCCAGAGCCGTCAAGCTGCTGATGTGCTGAAGCCAGATATTCTTGCGCCAGGAGATCAAGTATGGGCTGCATGGAGCCCCCTCAGCGTGTTGGAGCCGTTACTAGTTGGGTACAGTTTCGCGCTGCTATCTGGGACAAGCATGGCGACTCCTCATGTTGGAGGAATAGCAGCGCTCATCAAGCAATGCCATCCTTCCTGGAATCCTTCCATGATCGCATCTGCCATTTCCACCACGGCCTCCAAGTATGACTCCCAGGGGGACCTCATTTCGGCAGAAGAGCCCGACCTTTATGGTGTTCATCCTTCCACCTACTTCGGATTTGGTGCAGGCCTCATTAATCCTGCCCGGGCGCTCGATCCAGGCCTCGTCTTGTCGTCGAAGTTTGAAGATTACATCGACTTCCTGTGCTCCCTGTCCAGTGTCGATTGGGTCAAGGTCAGGGCTGCTACTGGAGCGTCGTGCAGTCGACCATTGGCTCACCCAGCTGACCTCAACCTCCCATCGGTGACCATCTCTGCGTTGCGAGTTGGACAGCCTGTACAAATACAGCGGAGTTTCACGAGCGTAGGCAGCAAACCTGAGACATATCTCTGCTCCGTCTTGTCCCCAAATGGAACATCAGTAACGCTCTCTCCGACTTGGTTCAGAATCGCTCCAATGGAAACTCAAGCGATTCACATGGAGTTCAATGCCACACAAGCACTGAATGCATTCAGCTTCGGCGAAATTGTTTTAACTGGAAGTTTGGATCACATCGTCCGACTTCCACTGTCGATTCATCCCGTTCTTCCAACGTTGTAACTCCTGCGATGTCAGGGAAATTAAGGATTGTGAAACCGTACATACTGAAAATCAAACCAGTTGGGTTAACCTATGACAGAGGTGCAATAACAAAACCGAGTGAGTAGTTTCCCTGTATCATACTGTTTACCTGCTCATTGTTAAATAATATAAAGATACTATTTACCTGCCAGTAAAATAGAGAATAAACTTGGAGATTGGGTATGTGTTTAATGGACAAAGAATGAATACAACAAGAACAACAACAATTACAGCAAGGTATATTAATGCCTTCTCTTTCTTTTTGTTTTTGTTACAACATCTGCTGCTGCTGCTTCTTCAGCAACACACATGCACTCCTTGCACCTTGGAAATCTGTACACGCTCCGACCCTTGGGCCTCTCAAACACGTGTTTCGTCTGTCTAACTGCTTTCCTAACTCTTTGCTCAAACACTTTCCATTCTATGGTCGAGTTCTTCATGAATATACCAGCCAGTCTCCTCTTATTTGGCCGTATCGTTGGCATCCTGCCTCCCCCATAATATACTCTGTATCCAGACACCAAAGATGACAACTGGCTTCCTGAGTCTGTCATTGCGAAAGCATCTGCAGCCGTGCATCCTATGAAGTCCAGCGCTGCCAACTGATATCAAATCCACAAATTACTAGCCTATAACAAATGACCAGCAACAATTACAAACAACGAAGCACAGCGCTGAGTGCATAGATTGCTGTTACCTGAGATGAGAAGTTGGCGAATGGCTCAATTTCAGATGCTGAGAGCAATTTCTCTTTGGTGACCAAATTGGGGAACAAATTGGTTAAAGCAGCTAATCGTGAAGGCCCTCCATATATATTTGCCCCTGCCACAAAGACACGGGTTCTCCGATTGAAACCAAGAGCAGACAGCATGAGCACTGCTTCTTCAGGAGTTAAAGGGCACAGACCCTCTGATCTCAGTGCAGCAGGAGAAGGTAGCCTGGAAAAGGCGCAGAATGTCCAAAGGCCATTAGGGAAAAAAGAACAGTACAATTGCACACAATATAATTGGAAATGGTAAAAGTCACTTCAAATTATTATAAACAACCTCTTGCATTTTTCAACAAGTGAGGCTGTTATGGTCGCGGGAAAATGGGAAACATGGGTGCTCTAAGATGTTTGGAATATTGAAAAAAGATTATAAGCAAGAAGGTATGCCTGTTCACTGTGTACAAAAAACAACTAAGGGGCAAACTGGAAAACTGGAGTTCAATGAGCAAATATAATGTAAGTTCCTTCTCTGATGGACAGCTAGGTACTAGACGAAGCAACTGGATCTGAAGCCAGAAGTGTAGAAGATATACAATGAAGATAGTGAGAAAAATTTAAGAGGCATACTTCCTTGTCTTCTTAAGAAGTGTTAGCGCAGGAAAATGGATCTTGCGGTATGCTTCCAATTCTTCTGCTTCTTCTTGGCCTCCACCATATTCACACAATGAATGTGCGACCATATCAATTTCAAATCTCAGGTGCAATGCTAGATACCTCGAAGATTTTACAGCATTGCCCCCACCCATTTTCGGTTCTGCATAATAAGGACCAACAAGAGAGTGATCCAGCCGTCCCTGATAAGGTGCATGATTCCGCAACCTCCGAAGCAGCAGAGCACCTGCTTCTTGTATTTTGGGAACAAATAATAGCGCATGAAAATTACATCTGCAGCGAAGTCTCTAGATGAAGTCACCCATATTAGGAAGAAAAAAGAGAAAAGGAGTGAATGCTGGCAATCTCGCATACCATTGGTTACAACTGTCCATAAAGTTGAAGGAAATAGAGGAAGTAACAAAAAAACAAGAGATTTACCTGCAGATCAAATGGTATTGGATCAAATGCCAAGCGATTCCCAAATCCAACAAAATGCACAACTTTGTTCTTATGCAGTAAAGGAAGTATATTTTTCAAATAAAAACTTGGCTTGGCTTCTTTCATAATATCAACATCCGTAACCTGCAAAGGGGTCGCAATTGTCACTTCCATGACTATTGAAGACCAAAAGGCAAGTTTATTGACACAGAAATCAAAGTTGATTGACAAAATGGACTCACAATACTACCAATTGCCTCTAGATCAAGAGACTGCAGCTCCTCAGGAAGTTCCTTCACTATCCGAATATCAGGACTCAGGTACTCTATGAAATGCTCTTCCTGATAGATATCCCCGAATTGACTGGAAAACATTGAAGTTCTTGTCATTGTCAAATCTGATAACTAATACCTTCATTCACAAGAAACAACTTAACGCAAGGACATTGCTCGAGAATCAGAAGGACCACAGAACCAATGTGCTGAGCCAGTCAGTATATGCAACTGAAAACAAATGCTGAAAGGACTAGTTGAACCCTCCTATTATCATAGAACTATTCTCATAAATGCACCACGCAACTTCCTCAAGCATAGTGCAGAAACCAACTTCAACAAAGCATCAAATGAGTAACCAGTAGCTATGCTCTTATTGCAGGGGAAAAAAGATGATTCACCTTACGTCCTTCCAGACACTGCTGTACATGAAGCTAGGAATTACAAGAGTGGAATTCAGCAACCGGGCAACAACAACAGCATTGCAGACCTGTTTCCATAGAAGATTGATGCACTGTTAGACAGGTGGCGCAGGAGCTATTATAACAAATGCTAATAAAAAAAAGATAGCACTCACAGCTACTCGCTGCTGATTTATCCCACCATTTGCAGTGATCATAATGTAACCATTGTTTCCCTCTAGTGAACCACAAGAGAAACAAATGTGTCAGAGCCAACCGCTTAACTCGCTGGACTTTGCTATTTTCACAATGCATCCACGGACGCTGTGATACGATAACGAAAAAGGGAAAGCAGAAAGAGAGCAACTCACCACTGCGTGTCCAGTTACGCTGATCAGCACAGGGTGTCCAAGCAGAGGCAGGGATGAATGGCTCTTCCCACAAATCTTTTGGCTCATGCTTATTCTGCATGAAAATGACCTAACATATCAGCCACAAAGCAATTGCGGCGATCAACAATTAAAAGTGCGGAAGAAAGTCAAAGACTTGGATACCTCTGCAAGCGCATGGGCAGCCAAAGCTAACATCCTTGCGTAGATACCATGTTTCCATTTTTTTCCTTTGCCCATTTTTCTCAACTCTTCCTACAATCACCAGAGGCAAAAAGATGAACAATAGGCACACAGAGGAGCACTAAATGGTAGGTCTGACATTATGCCAATTTCCAAGATTAGCAAGAATTTTTCGAGCCAACAAAGAGATTTGAGCAGATATCGGAGAAGAATTGGGAACACAAATGGAACCCTGAAAATGTAGCTCCGCATTGCATCGGGCAAGAATTTATAGTGGGCATGCCCATTTGGGTAAAAAGAGAAAGGAATTACCTTGAATGAGGAGGGAAGATGACGAGAAGGATTGATGGAGGAGAGGAGATGAAGAGGTCCACCGCCACCATCATCATCACCAGGATCCTGGAGACGAAAAAGCATAAACCAATTGAGGAGGAAGAACGAGGCTAGCAACCCAAGTAGAGCGAGCATAAGATGGACTCGTCGTCTCCGCTGGGACTTCTTGCGGTGGGACTTGCTAGGAGCGCCATGGCCGCGAATTGGGAACGCCCACGAAATTGCAGAAGCGATGAAGGAGGAAGTGGGCCTGGAGAGGGAAGCGGAAGAGGAAGAAGAGGAGCGGGATGGAGAATGGTGCAGCAGATCAGGGACTGAAATCTCAGGGGCTCTCCATTGCTCTGCATGGCCGCGAGGAGGTGAGGATGAAGAAGGCATGGCAAAGACCTACCAAGGTGATGATGGTGATGGTGAAGAAGGTAATAATGGAAGTTTGACTTCCAATTGGATCCTGTTTTGATATGGCGGGAGTAGATCTGGTGGGGGTTGTTTGTTCTTCGCTAATTTCAGGCACAGGGGAGAATTGAGGGAGACCGAGAAAGAAGCGGTAGCTTGTTCTTTCATCTCCCTTTCGGTGTGGAGTGTGGGGGTAATTGATCAACATTCGACATGGTCACTTAATTTTTGACTGGGAGCAAAATGGTGATATAACTTTAAGAAGTGAACGAAACGATCACTTAAGTTCTGTATTATTACAAAATTGTGCGTTTTCAACTTTTCATATTCAATCTATTTATTTCCGTCAAATCTGTAGATAATTTATAGTTCGCTCATCATGTAAAGTCACTAATTTTAACACGACTCCTTAGTCATACTCGAAAAAACCTTCTCAGTGTGTTTACACACATCTCATTTCTCAAGTTAAGTAGTTTTACAAGATTTGAAGCATTGAAAAATCGTTCTGCCACCATATATCTGGTAAGCATAAGAAAAATTCTGCATCCCTTTTGCCTCGTTAGTCATCAGATTCCAATAGCAGGGATTCATTTTGCATCATAGAGGGCCTGTGTTTACACCATAAATTTTGTCTTGTACCACATTGGTGAGTTACAAGATAATCAAGGAGTTTATAAGGCCACACCCATTATAACAATTAATGTTTAAATTGGGCCTTATGGATATTGATTTTAAACCCAAGTCACTAGCTCATTAATGAGCATGGACATGATTCAATAAGGGACATGGGCCTCTCGTAAGAGGTCATGTCATGCCACGAGATGGCATGAAAATTTCTAAGTATGAGAAGTCCATGGCCATGAATGAAGAGGCCATGCTGTCCCATGACCAAGGCCTAATGACTGAAAAATAAACTAAGTCTGGAAGAGGTACATGCCACTTCAAGGAGAAGCACGTGCCGCCTCACGAGAAGGGGCATGGACGCGAGACAAGAGGCCTAGGCATGATTGAAAAATGCTAAGTATGATAAAACCATGCCACCTCAAGAAAAAAGCCATGTGCATGATTGGGAGATCCATGGCCGTGTCACGAGAGGGGCCATGGACGCAAGGCCGCGAATCACACTTCAAAGAAGACAAAGATATTCTAATTGTGGAGAAGGACTTGTAGCTTTAACGAGGAGGGTCATGTCCCTCTAGAGATCGAGAAGGTCATGTCGTGTCACAAGAGGGTCCATGTGCACGATTGAGAGGTCCATGCCGCCTCATGAGAGGGGCCATGGACACAAATAAAAAGGGTGTGGTGATGGAGCATTATATTACTAGTGAATATGTCTCAAGAGGTCCATGACCGTTAGACAAGAAGGCCATGGACATGAGTAAGAAGTTCATGGCCGTAAGACAAGAAGGCCATGGACATGGGTAAGAAGTCCATGGCCGCGAAGCAAGAAGACCACGACCCCTTTGCAAGACACTACATGCTCGTCAAAAGACTAGCATGGCACGAGATTCATGACAAGACCAGACGAGGCAAGCTACACTCCAAAACCCACGACGTTCCAAGAGAGGCACCTAGGCGGTTGAAGGAATAACCACCACTCAGAGGAAGCAAGGAGCGGTTCTTTTTGGGAGTTGTCCAAGAGGCGGTTTTCTACCGAAGAAGGAGGAGCGGTTCTTTGTAGCAGTTATCCAAAAAGCGGTTTTCTATGGCGGTTACCTCCTCGGGGCTATAAATAAGAGGAGGGGTCGACAGAGACAGAAGGTTCCAAAACCAACACTCTGACACACATGTCAAGTTTATCTTTTACCTTTTCTCTATCATGTAGCCATAGATGTAGTTCGTAGTTTGGAGCTCTCACCGAACCTCCATAGGAGTAGAAGTAATTTAATTTAGATCTCGTTCCCAAAAAACCATCAATCAAACACCCTCGTTCGAACTTTGTTTGAAGAGGTGTGAGCCATGTCTTAGTAATCGTTGCCCAAAGAAGTCAAAGGTGCATTAATCTCATTTCAACGCAAGTTTTCTCGCCGGAAAACAGCCTGAAAATGAAACGGAGCAAGCAGAAAAAGAGCACTAGTATTCTGAGACCATCCCACATCATTATGCAACAAGCGAATAGGCTAGTTCTTTTCGGTTTTACAGAAGGCTAATGCTACTGCTGAGCTGAACATGAAACACAAGTCAGTGAGCTTAATAAAATGGAACTCAGGAGACTTGAGTTGGTTACTCTCTGGTCTGGTCTAAGCTGAGCACAATGATCTCTCCCTCTCCCAAAACTGCCTTCATCTTCCCTCCGTTTTGGACCTCCGCAGCAGCGCAGAAATAATGGTCACCTAGCCTCGCATGTTTAGTCCGAAACCATCTCTCTTACAATTCTCTATCTATAGCCTTCTATACATACTCTCTCATTGGTCCCTAATCCAATCCGTACCTCGGTTTCAGCTTTCACGTCATGAGTCAGTTACTACCAGTTAACAGCCATCTCTCTTTCCTGTGCACATTCTCCCAGCAGCTGCAGCACTGACATGGTCCGATGCATGAAATGCTGCACTAGTAAGCAAGGGGATCCAGCGGAAAAGAAAGAAAAGCTCGTCTTGCCCTCGATTTCATATCCTTTAAGGATGTGTCATGGTCGACAACAGAAGTGCAGAGGCATCGAAGGGACCCACCACACCCTCGCTCAAAATCCGCATTGCTGCTCCCCTGGAAAACTTTCTCCCGAACAGAAAGCAGGGGACCAGTGTGGCATTGGTGTGGCACCACTCGTTCCGATACTCCGTCTCGTAATAAACATGATTTATCTCCTGCAGATTGAAAGAGCTTCTCATAATGAAATGCTGAGACCAGATATATAGAAATGGTTATTGGAATTCTTCATCTACTTACCTTGATCGCTTTGATCTTTTTCGGGCCAGCACTAGCATAAGTGAAAGTAGTAGGATGCCAACCAGTGTTCTCCATCTTGTTTGCTGGCTGATTCCACTCTGTGTACGTCACTGTTCTTCTTTCAAGTTCTTGTTCCAGGTCCTTCATCTGATGACAAAATAAACAACATTCAACCAACAACATACAGCCTTCCTCACACCCTACCCCCAAGGCAATCACCACCACCACTACTTTATATGATGGTATGGCTTACCGCAAGAAGTGTCTGAACATAATGCTCATCTGGAATGCAATTATGCTGCTGCTGAAGTTTCTGCAAATGAGAAGGAAACGATTAATCAACACAAATGTTCAAAGATAAATTAAACACTTCATCTGGCAAAAGAAGCATCAGCAATGTGGAACTTGGTCATCTTGACATTCCCAAAGTGATAAGCCAACGCTTGCGTAAGTAATACTTAATTACTTACGGAAGTCTACCAATTCCTAACATCAACTTACCCAATTAAGCTTTCCCTTACTGACATCTACTGGTGGGCGTCGCTGCACAGATTAAACAAGCTTGTCACTAAAGCATGCTAAGCAGGGTTTAGATAGTCAGAGGCTTGAACCACAATTCAAGCTACTAGCTCATAACAAGCTTACTCAAGGTAACAAGAAAGATGCACATATAGGATATAGCCCACACGCAAAGTTTCAGAAGGTAAAACTGCTAGACATCTGTTGTGGAATAATGTGGTTTAGAGCTGGAACAGCAATATCCTGCACTGTCATCAGAAATTCATTTTATCTATGACTACTACCGTGTCATTGAATGATTGCCTTCTTCAGAGGATCCATGTAAAAGACAGGAGGAAATACAAACAAAACGAGCGAAGGGGCAAAGCACGGGAAACTGAGCAGAGCAACAGAAGAAAGCCAGAGCACCAACCAATTGGCCATCAAACAGGGACACGAACCCTACTAAAAAAAGAAAGAGAAACACATGGCAAGCTGTGCAGACTGAAAAACATCTTCGATGTAGTCAATCAAGTACTGAATTCATAATCATGAAGTTAATCAAGCAGGAAGTCATAATCAGCAATAAATCAATCAGGAGGCAGTACCTTGCAGTACTTCTTAAAAGCTGCCAGTACAAAATCATCATCTACGACCACTTCGGCATGACTCCGGATCAAGGTTATCCACTGCAATCAAAAGAGACATCATTGTTTGCAAACGGTCCAAACTGCCATATTGTTGATAACTAGGATGATAGCATTCTGTAAGCAGTAAACTACCAATAAATGCAAGGTTGCCTATGTTTTGCAACAAGAAACTGCTATAACACATAAGGCGTTCATGCACCAGTACTCAAAACTTCAAGTGTATAAACTGAGAAGTGATAACTACACAAAGAATAAACTATTTGGGCAGAAAAAACAGTTTCTGCTCCTAGTCCTACAACCAAGTCAAGGTCCGAGGTAATTGCTCGTAAATCCACGATTGTTAGTAGAGGGGTGTGAAAGATACCTGGGATCCTTTTCGCCATTTCTCCATGGGTATAACAGGTGACATCTTCTGGTTGTAGCGGCCTTCCTTTGTGTCAAGGAAACTAGAACACAAAGAAAACAACATGTTGGGGCACATGATAGTAATAAAATGTAAGTGAAACAAATGGATTGATTAAAAATCAACAGTGCGTGGGCACCTCAAGAATCAAAGGCCTTCCATCTACCTGTCCACGAAACTCCTGGGGGAAGCCATCAAGTAGTTGTATATGTAACTGAAGTTATACAAAGGCACACAACTGCAGCACAAGGGAGGAGATTAGAAAGTTAATAGCTAAAAGAGGCCCTGATTATTAGCAATGGATGCAGAAAGTAGACAACTTTAGATCCCAGGAGGGAAGTAGAAGAAAGATGGGTTGTGGGTCCACGAGGCTTGAAGCTCAAATGATGAGGAACAGAAAGATGAGACGAACCTGTCGGAGAGGAGAACAAAACGTTGATTAGCAGGATCATCCAATGCAGCTGAAAGTAGCAACTTCTCTGCCTCAAGCATACTCGATTCTCCCCATGCCACCTGAGAAAACATCAAACGATTGAGTCCCAGCAATTTTCTACGTAGTAACTTCCTACCATCATTTATCCAATTCACTCTACTCTGCCTGCTGATGGTGGAAAAAAATCGGCCCCTTTCAGCCTTTTGAGAGCGAATTCGAATGACCCACCTGAATAGAAGCGTTGAGCTGCCGACCGTATAAGTGACGGGATTTGGAGGTGGATTCGTCGAATTGGAACCCAGGGGTGGAACTGTGCACGAAGACGGAGAATTTAGCCACGTCAGCACCCTGCAAACACACCCAAAAAACAAATTCAGCCAAAAACACAAGACCCATACCAATCAATTGGATTTGAGCTGGGATGGGGAAGTGGGTACGTCGAAGAAAGCTCCCCAGAGGAAATCGAGGGGGACATCACGGCGGACGAGGAAGAGGAAAGCAATCTTCGGCGGTCCTCGGAAGCTGAGAGGGAAGGGAGACATCCTCCTCCTGGCGGCGGAGATTCTGACGGTGTCGGCGGCGGAGGAAGAGTAGTACAAGTGGAGGTTGAAGATGGTGAGAAGAGAGAGGCAGAGGGAGAGGAGGACGGGGAGCTTCCAGCACATGGAAAAGCGGCGGTGGGGAGGGACCGCTTGAGCTTGGAAGATTTTCCTGGTCATGATTCTTAGTCTTCCGCCGCCGCCGAGAGGAGGGAGCGACATCAATCAACGAGCGGCGGATTGACTGATTCTTTCTCTCCCACCGCAATAATTTGCGGGTGGGGACAAACAGTGAGAAAAGACAAAATCTGTGAATCTGAGGAATGAAAACAACGGGGAAATTGAGAAGGAACACAAGGGAAGAAGAAGACGAACAGATAGCAAAAACAAAAATGGCGAACCAGCAGATAGAGAGAGAAAGAGAGTGACGTCTGGTTCAAGGTGTCCAGCTAGCAGAGCAGCACACAGCTCACATGCCCACGCTATCAGGCAGACAACCCGCAGTAAAATCTTCTTCATCACTTTCCCGCCGTCTACGAAAAAGGAAAATCGTTACGCATCATTTTCTTTTTCATAAAGAATTGAAATAGATAGATGAATGAACAATCAACAGAATTAAACATGGTCGGTAGGCGCGTGCACGTGTACGCTCCTCGCCAGTCGGGTCAAGCCAACCCGCCGACTTCGTTGATGGATCCGGCCAGCCCAGCCCAGATCCGACAGCCCGCCGACCAGGCCCATTAATACTAGCTGAACCAGAAAAAAAGATAACTACATAAAAAAAATGGAAGGACAAGAAGGTTCGTTTTATAACGAATTTGGTAAAATTAGGACGATAAATAACAACCCCAATGTTAAACAGATCGACTAACATAATACATAAATAGTACACAAAGAGGCATCAAGTTCAAGGTTTCGTCATCGGACAGTAGTCCGTGAAGCATCAGGATTGGGCTTAGGATTGGACTTGGGCTTGGGCCCCTTCCCGCCCAAGATCACGTTCAGTATCTTTCCTGGAACGTATATCGTCTTGATGATCGGTTTCCCCTCAAGGAACCTCGAAAGCTTGCTGTCCTGGGATGCAAGCATGAAAGCTTCCTCCTCCGAGCAACCTTCGTCTACCTCCACGGTTCCTCTCGTCTTTCCGTTCACCTGAACTGGAAGGACTTTCTTTGCATCCTTCAGGTACTCCGTCCTCGCCTGTGTCGAGCATTGCATGTTAAACCATGCATATAAGGATATAAGTGAATTTCTTTTTCTCTGTTTTTGTTTACCTCTGGGAATGGTTCGTAAGCTAGTGTGCTGGAATGCCCCAGACGAAACCAAAGCTCCTCGGCTATGTGGGGCGCATATGGTGCCAAGACGAGCACGAATGCTTCGGCTATGCTTCTTGGGAGGTTGTCCCACTGCCAAACATAAGTACTTGTGTTACTGAATCTTCACTGCCAAAACCACGAGAAGAAGAAGACGATGATAACAGAGAGGATGCTGAGTTTTACTAAACCTTGTTGGCCGCATTTACGAACTCCATCATTGCAGAAATCCCAGTATTGAATCGCGTGGCTTCAATTTCCTCGGTTACCTGTTACCCAAAAAGAAAAGTTACTTCAATTCAGCAACCAAAAGATAAATATTCACACAGAACAATCTCCTTCCCTATGTCTCTCTCCAAATTTCTCACCTTGGCTATGCATCTATGCAGAGAACGGAGCTGCTCAAAGCTAGGTTCGACATCAACCGTCAAGCTCCCATCTTGGAAACTGCCATCGGCTAGAGGCGAGCCAACAATCAACCTCCAAGTTCTCCCCAAGAAACGATACACGCCTTCGATGCCACTGGTATTCCATGTTTTTGTGTCCCTACCATCAACACCACACTCCATCTGTTTCAGCAATTGTTTATTCGAATCATCCACTTTCTTATTCTAAACCTTATACAGGGAGGGAGTTGAAAGGTACCTGAAAGGCCCCATGAACATTTCATATAATCTCAAAGCATCAGCACCGTACTCCCCAACAACATCGTCAGGGTTCACAACGTTGCCCCTGCTTTTGCTCATCTTGTGTGCTCGTGCCAACACCTGGACTCCAGGATTATCATCCAGGACAAACCCATCTCCAGATTTCTTCACCTGCACGTCCAATAGAAGGAAAAGCTAACCCCTTACTAGTAATTCCACCAGAGTCTATCCAAAAATAGAAAAGGGAATGCAATGCAGCACCTTTTCCTCAGGGATTACTTCCTGATAAAGTTCATCAGATGCATCAACTGAGTCCGCGGACACATAGTTGCCATCTTGGTCTTTGAAAGCTGTATATTGAACCTGCAAGTTCCAGCGTTTTTAATTATTCTATTTTAGGACTACTACTTGCTCACAGAACCAGTTGCCAGAACTTACTTCCCCAAGGATGATTCCCTGGTTTATCACGCACTTGAAGGGCTCTTTGGTTGATACAATACCAATGTCGTAAAGGACCTGAAATATAACAGAAAAGGGTTTCATTCATAGAGCTTAAACTGCCTAGATGTTTGGGTTAATGTACATATGTTTACGTTTTATTTTACTATATTTCAGAATGGGAGTATAGAGTACTTATAAATATATGTATTCATGAGACATAATCATCCTAAATTAACTAACTCTTCTTAGCCTCATGCATGTGTGAGTTTAGATGCAGACCTTGTGCCAGAATCTTGAATAAAGTAAGTGGAGAACAGCATGTTCAGCACCACCAACATAGACATCAACAGGGCTCCAATAACTACAGGGGGAAAAACATCCATATCCATTTATATTAGCTAAGTGGTACCAAGACGGCCTAAATAAAATAATTAACTTTAAAAATGATTGATCATATAATAAAAAAATACTGACTTACATTTCTTTCCTCTTGTCAACTAATTCTTTGGAGTTTCTTGGGTCCATGTATCTCAAATAGTACCTGTACATGGTCTCTGAACAATCAAGGAAAGCATGCAGAATTTTATGGCTTAAAGACAGAAACCTGAAATTATATAACTTTATAGGACAAGGAATTGGCACTTTACATGATAAAATACAAAGAACTCGAACTTGGCCGAGTTTTAAACTTTACCAGCAAGAACCTGCCCACTGCGGCATGGTACTTGTTTCTCTTCTGGCAGCTTTTCCGGATAAAGGATCAACAGTGTTAACCTGGACAGAATTCCCCAATCTACAGTCATTAAAGGGGGAAATGGATTCCAAGTAAATATGACAAAGACAAATGACAAGCAGCAAGTCATCCTATAAAATTACTGGTACTGCCAAATTATTTACTGCCTATACATCTCTATACGAGACTAGGGAGTAACATAAGCCATGCAGCTATTCCAGAAATTTTCAAGAATTGAACAAACACCTTCCTTTTTATTGTCGTTTCCCTCTATTTACCAATGCATATCATGATTCTAATTTTCCAGACAAACTTGAAAGAACCAAGGAAGATAAAATGCACATTTCGAACAAGACTAACATACCCAAGAAACAGCTTTTGTTAGGGGTGGCTCTCCAGTCCCGGTGGGAGTAAAATCATCCAATTCTGGTAGCGTAAGAGGAAGGTCACTTTCTGGAAGGGGGATGCTTTCACCAGTATCTTCCAAGAAAACAACTGGAATAGGTTCCCCCCAATAACGCTGCCTTGCAAAAAGCCAATCCCTCAACTTGTAGTTCACCTGAAGAAAAAATGACTCAGCGAGTCAGCTGCACTGTACACATAATATACTATCTCTATCTAGCAAGAATACTGATGTTCTGCTAATTAACAGTAACAAAACCTTTCTCGTCCCACTTCCATATTTCTCAGCCCATTCAATGACTTTGGCAGCTGCTGCTTTGCTAGGTAAGCCATTGATGTCAAGACCAGACGTCGAATTTGCTGAGTTCACAGCAGTGCCTTCGCCTGCAAAAGCCTTACTTGAATCTACACAATGTTCACCATCTGGCTTTACAACCATGCACACTGATATGCTGTATTTGGCAGCAAATTCATGGTCACGAGTGTCATGTGCAGGCACAGCCATGATTGCTCCTGTTCCATAACTGTAAAAAACACAAGTTACTACACTGTACCATTGCCAACACTCTAGCTAGCTAATGATAACACATGCCAATAAAGTCCGGAGATAAACAGAAAATGCCAACAACAGGATACTTATACTTCATAACACATAAATACGACCAAGCATACCTCCCCAAAACATAATCGGCAACCCAGATTGGGATTGCTTCCCCATTAGCTGGATTTCTAGCATAACAACCACTGAAAACCCCAGTTTTTTCCTTCTGGAGCTCAGTCCTCTCCAGGTCACTTTTCCTAGAAGCAAGGTCTGTATATTCCTCCACCTGTGATTGGTGACCAGTCTGTCAGAGGTGATAAACAAGTGAGAATGAGTACTACAAGGAAGTGATTACATACCATTTTGCTTTGGCCAACAGAAACTATTGTAGAAAGCAGGGAATGTTCTGGTGCCACAACCAAATATCTGCATAAAAGTAAGCAAAGAGAGACATAAAAAAGAATCCAGCAATTGGGACTGTCCACAAAGTTTACATCAGAAACAGAAACAAATGAGTAAGAAAAGTACGTCACTCCGAAAATGGTATCAGGCCTCGTGGTATAGACAGTGATTTTTACATCTCTTTCATTGGCATCTTCATCAAGAACACAAAATTCCAGTTCAGCCCCTTCAGATCTCCCAATCCAGTTTCTTTGCATCTCTTTTATGCTTTCAGGCCAGTCAAGTTCGTCTAGGTCTCGGAGAAGGCGATCAGCATAGGCAGTAATCTTGAGCATCCATTGCCTCATTGGCTGCTTGGTAATAAACAATGACACTGTAGAATTATAAAACAATTCAACAAAATGGAAGAAGAGAACTGAATAGAATCATATAAGTGACGTAACAAGTGTTTGTTTCACAAAACCTTTCTTATAACCGGATGACCCCCACGTTCACTAACTCCATCCACCACCTCCTCATTTGCCAAAACTGTTCCAAGAGCAGGGCACCAATTGACAGGCACTTCTGCCTGGTATGCCAGTCCTCTTTTCAGGAGCTGAAGAAAAATCCATTGTGTCCATTTATAATAATCAGGTTCCGTGGTAGAAATTTCCCGGTCCCAGTCATAGGAAAATCCCAAGGATTTGAGCTGCAACACGACATCAAAAGCAACAAACTCCAACTCTCAGTTATAGAAAAGGCTGTAGCCATAAGCTGTGAAGCTAAAGATCGATTACAAGGAAGAAATTAGGAACAATCGGAAGAAATAAGCAACTAGAAATAAGAAAACAAAGACATGGACCTGCGAACGAAATCGGTCGATGTTCTTTAACGTTGTGAGTTTGGGATGTGTCCCTGTCTGCAAGGAATATGACGAGAAGCACCTAATCAAACAAAACGGTAGACTTTTTCGCTTCTCTTAGAATGTGGTATAGCCAGAATGATCAGGTACCAAGAAAACAACTGGGGTGATTCAATGGCTTACATCAATGGCATACTGCTCAGCAGGCAAACCAAATGCATCCCAACCCATTGGGTGCAAAACGTTATAACCCTGCATTCTCTTGTACCTAGCAAGAATGTCTGTAGCAGTATAACCGAGTGGATGGCCAACATGTAAACCTGCTCCACTGCAACAATAAACCAACCCACATCAATATATTGGTTGGTTAACATCAGAACATCATCCATCAAGCAGACAGACTTAAGCGTAGTACAAATTCAAACACATTCTCGCACAGTTTAGGGCAACAATCAACCAAATCAAATGCTGAATCATAAGAAAATTATCAAATTGGTGAAAATGAACGAAATTAGCAGAGAGAGGGTAGAGACCTGGGATAAGGGAACATGTCGAGCACATAAAACTTGGGCATGGAGGTATCCACTTCATCGGGGGTCCGGAACGTGGAATTCTCTTCCCAGTAGAGCTGCCATTTGGGCTCAATTTCATGGAAAGGGTAAGCTCGATTGGGCGCTTGCTTCTGCCGCTGATGTTGCTTTTCTTCACTCAATTGTTGACTCATTCCGGCGCTGCAATCGCAACTCAGAACTTCCGTCCGCGAAGTTTGAAACGTCCATCGACGAGACCGAGACCGAGACCTCCGGCGAGACGAAGAAGGGAACGGAAGGGAAGGGAGGAAGAAGGATGGAACTTGGAGCTGGAAGGAAGTGAACCTAGAACCTATCATTACTTCTCTTCTAGTGTGCGCCCCCCGCGAGAAGAATTCAGATTGCCGGGAAAGCACTCCAGTCACTGCCGCCGATTCGCCGCAGTTTCTGTTCTGCTCCGGTTTTGCGTTGTTGATAACGTCTCTCCTTTCTCTTTCTCCCTCTCCCCGCCTTCACTCTTTTCCCCTTTGGTTGGCGCTTTGCTAACTGAATTTTTTTTCCTAATCAAGCGTCCCAGTATGGGCCTACATGGTCCTTAAATCTATGGCCTATCATTGGACCCGTCCTCAATAAATGAATCTGGGCTTATCTCCTGAACGGCTCGGACCGCAAAAGGTTACGAGATATGAATGGGCCCTGGGTCTGGCATTGGAAGGAAGGTTAGGGCTTAGGGGTATGCAATAGTTCATACAAAACCAAATTCATGGAAATTTTGATCCAATAGTAAAAGAGAGGTTATAGTAACAACCGATCAAGTGTCTGAATTATTATTGCATTCAGTTGGATTTGATCCAGGTCCAAATATCAATTTAATTCATTTTTATTGAATATATTTATATAATTTATAGGACCAATAATCCGAATGCATATACTCGATTAGACATATTTGGTCCGGTACTATCCGGTATGGACCAATCCGTTTGCACACCACTAATTGACAGAGACCGCGTTTAGCACTCTTATAGTAGCGCGTTTAAATCACCCACTCTAATACTAAGAATCGTCCTCGTGCTACGATGTTTTCCGTATTAAACACGAATATCATGTCAAACAAACACGAATACGATGATGTTCTAAATAGTACTGCATCCAAACAAACACACTGATCGTAGTAAATCAAAGAGCACTAGTGATACGACGTCGCAGAGCTGCAATGGGCTTGGTGGTCTTGACGCCCACCCAAGTGACCAGATCCCCGACGCCGTACTGAGAAAGCCGCGCTCCAGGATCGCCGCACTTGACGCCGCCGCAAAACAGCTCCATATCCTCGGCTCCAATGTCGTCCACCCCGGTCCCACGCAGCTGCTCGACGACGAGCCTCCTCAAATCGGCCACGGAGTCGAACTCGTAGCAAGGGATGGGATACCCCAGATTGTCGTAGTCGGTGAACCGCGCCATGACGTTGATCTTCGCGATGTCCACCGTCAGCCACGTCATCTCTCCCCCGGCCGGGATCCGGTAAGAAGCCAGCGTCCGGTGGCCGTGCCGCATCGTCGTCTGGTAGGGCATCAGCTTGAGGGTGATCCGCTCCGGCGCGATCCCGAAGTCCTGCGAGTAGAGGTGGCAAATGTGTACGTGAATCCAAGTCTTAGGATCAGTATGTAAAATTTAAAAAGTTTAGGTACTAAAATTTCATAATAAAAAAAATTATGTACTCAAACGTAATTTTTCAATGATATTTTTTTTTGTGTAGAGAAAATTTGGATAATAAATTGTAAATTAACCTGCAAGATCCTCTGCTTCAGCTGCGCCACCGTGGTCGACGGAGGGAGGGAGTAGCGGTGCTTCCATCTTGCCTCGAAGTCCAGCTCCATGAGGCAGTTGTTGTTGTTGTTGCTGCTGCCAGCTGCCGCCGCCGCCGCCATCGTTGTTGTTGATGATCGATTAGAGAGAAGGAAAGCTGTATATTAATTGGCGTTGTAGGGTTTTGGTGTTTTAATTTGGGTATATATTGCAGAGGATCATGGAAAATGAGAGTGTGGTGATGATGATGTGATCGATCTACGTACGTACACCCAAAACGTATGTGTGATCTAGTCTTCTTCTCCAGCCATGCAGGCATGCATGTAGCTTGCGCTTGTGTTCGATGGCGATGGAAGGGTTGCATGATGATTTGCATGATGGCGAAAATCGCCATCATCGATTCATCATTCATTCATTCATCGTATTCTTGTTTTTCAACCGTGTTCGTGTTTAATTAATACAAAAACATCAAATAAACGGGAGATACGAGGTGGCTAATAGACGGTTTGGTACTAAATGAATCGAGAATTCATTTCATTGTAAAATGAATTACAGTGTAGAATTCAATGTCAGATGAAATCTTATGTTTGGTATGTTATATTAAAATCTTTAGAAATAAAGTGAAGTGTCATGTAGAATTCATTGTCAAAATGAATTCATGTGTTTGGTATGTCATATGTATAAGTAATTTAGTTAATAAAAGAGGATAATCATGTCATTCTATTATAATTAGTAAATACTTGTGGAATTCATTTGGAAATTCTATCTCAATTCCTCGGAATTGCTATAACTAATTCCAATTCTGTAGAATTCAAAATTTAGAATTGAAAATGAATTCTTTTTAATACCAAACACAAAAATAATTCATTTCAAAATGAATTCCTCAAAATTTATGGAATTCATTTATATCAAACGGTATGTAAATGTTTAATTCAACGTATTCGTGTCTAATTCATCATTCATACAAATAAACGAAATGTCCATAAGGTGGCTAAACCATCTATGACAATTAGGGATGTGCAAACAGTTTGGTCCATACCGGATTGCACGGGTATTATATTATGACACCGCTCCTGTATTGTTGGGGTCAGTTAGCTTGCTGACCCCATAAGGTTGGAAAAATGACACTCCCTTAATATTAAATGCAACTTATATAATTTAACACTCATATTAAATACATATAGAAATTTACACTAAATACAATTCTCTCACCCTATCTCTTATTCTTCATTTTCCACCAGCCTCCGACCGCCACACTTCTCCGGTGAAATCCCGCCGACAAACTCTCTCCGGTCACCTACAAAAATGTATCAGTGCAGTGATATGTTGAACCACTATACTGATATTTGTACCACTGCATTTAAACTCAAATCTGATATTTGTACTAATCAATTGATATCGCTACCAGTGCACTGGTGCAAAATATCATATCTGAATTTTAGTGTAGTGGTACAAAAATCATAACTGGAAATCGAAAATTTGGATCTGGAAATTTATACTTGCACGGAGAGGAGATGGGGAGAGGAAACGAAGGCAACAGGATGGGAGGGAGGAGAGAAGAGGGATTACTAGCTTTTTTAGAGATAATTGTATTTAGTGTAGGTTTAAATTTGAAAAAAGCAAGTAATTAATATGAGGTATTTAATTCCCAATGTGTATATAATGTGAGTGTTACATTCTAAAACTTTCATGAATACTCGCCAAATGATTGAGGAAAAATGGACCCAATGAGGAAGGGGGTGTCAAAAATCAATCTTTGAAGTAGTCACTGTATCCTACCCCAGTATTGTTGTTATATTATGGTGCCTACCCCATGAATTTGGTGCCATACAAATGTCAATATTCTATAAATCGCTATGTTATATATGAGTTGGGCTACTATGCTAACACTTTTTTTGTTAGTATGGTACTAACACTAGCTCCAACCAATAGAAACATCTCGTTTGAATGACTTTTGCGTTTAAATGATTTGACCACAATTAATGAAGTGGAAGGGACGGAGGGGCACGCTGGTCATTAAGAAAATATGGGGGAAGGGAAAGAGGGAGTCACGTGTGCAATTAAATGGGGAAGGGAAAATCCACCCAAAAAACCCTATAATCCTACTACGGGTTGGGTGGATTTTAGTTTCAAATAGATCCACCAGCTTACTAGCGAGTTGGTACAATTGTGATCCGCTATCCACCGACATTATTCTGCGGGTTGGATTGGGTGCGTGACGGATGGGTGCGGCTGGATTGTGGGTTAACCAGAAAAATAATTCTCCAATTAGCCATTTAGAAAGTTTACTAACATTTATAATAAGTTTCTTGTAAATTAGTAAGATTGTATCAATTCATACACCTCCCACTTTATCTCATGTGAATCCATGTAGTATTGGTATCAAAATTTTCAATACTATATCAACCAATGGTATAGAGAAATTGACAAAATTAATGAATTTTGTGACTTTGATAAAATAAATCATTTGTAATTTACCTCCAATATCGAATGAATACAATAACCAATGATAGTAGTCCAAAAATATTCTTTATTCTCTATTTTTGGAAGTAGATGGTCAGTGTGTAGTGCAGTTAGGAAATATGATGAATATTCGATAGCAAAAGAAACAATATTTTGTCATGTGAAAAATATTGTGTGGGTCATTCGGTTGACCCCCAATCCACCCATCACCCACTAGGTGCGGTTCGGGTTATGTGCGGGTGGATCGATATCAACCCGCGGATGAACCACCCATGTGCCCACCCCTAAATCCTATCTAGAAATCAGAGAATCCTCTCCACAAATAATCATCTCCACAAACCACATAATCCTCCCCACAAACCAATTCACCCCACAAAATCCACCCCACAAACCGCAAAATCTTCCCCACAAACCACAAAATCCACCTCACAAACCACGAAATCCAGTCCACAAATTTCTTAAAGTGGCCCAGAAGTTCTTTAACAACGGACCTGTTTGTAAAATTTTATAAGTTTAGGTACCAAAATGTAATTTTTCATCAATATTTTTTTTATGCGAAATCAAAAAACTTGCATTAAGCTGAGGCAACCATAAAAAAAAACCTGATGTGCACAACCAAACGTTCCAGCCAAGGGAAAAACACTATAATAGAGAAAGCTATTTTTCGCTATAACCTATCTATATGCTCCAATTCAGTATGAAGAACAGGATCCCCAGACAGTCTATACAAAACATCACTATGAATTACTTTCAATAACTCTCCTGGCAGCTTAATTGTCTTCGTTCCATATAGCCTGGTACATCGCTCTCGCCAAACGTGACTTAGGGTCGAGCACCAAACCTGTACAAACTATAATTTTTCATCAATATTTTTAGGACTTAAATGTAAAAAAATTAATTCTAAGCACGAAACATTAAGATGTATTAAATTTGGGGTAAATGCCACATTTTGCCACTGAGATTACTAAATCGTGTTATGTTTAGCCACTAGAAAAATTTAATATCAATTTTGGTCACTCGAATTACTAAAACAGGTCACATTTGGTCACTCTCCTGTAGCCTCCGTCCAACTACGGTCACTCGAATTATTGAAACATGTCACATTTAGTCACTCAAATTACTGAAACATGTCACATTTAGTCACTCTCCCGTTAGTTCCCGTCCAACTCCATTAAATTTTTCTGGTGACTAAATATGACACGATTTAGTAATCTTAGTGACCAAATGTAGCATTTACCCATCAAATTTGAATATCAAAAATTGTAATTTGTATGTATAAACATATGACGTGAGAAAGAAGAAGGGGTAATTACTATGGTACCCTTAATGAAAGTGTTAGGTATGAAGGTTGTTAGCACCCCACGGCCCACCCTATCTCCTCCAATATATATTATTATTTTCTGTCGTTATTAGTTATGGGGAGTAGCTATAATTATGATTAGTAGGTCGGCGATAGAATTTGCCGGGAATTAGTTTTTTAGGGAGATAGAGTTCGAGTAGGATTGGTAAGGGTTAGGCGGTGTCATTAGCATTAGGGTTTTGGATTGTTCTATATATGTGTGTTCTTCTATCTTTAGGTTTATAATCGACGGGTAAAGTAAAACCCTATTTTGTTCTTACTTTTCTTAGTTTCTTCGTAGAAATAGTTTAGAAGAGCTTTTGAGTTTTGTGAGTATATACAACAATTGGTATTGTAGCCGGTTGATTTTCACTCTGATTATCATAGTGATCACTATGAGAGATTGATAGTATTGAGATTTGATGCTAGATCTACACGAAGTAGGTTGCTGAAATAGACGTTCGATTTTCAGAGGTTCCGGGCATCGAAAGAAATCTTGCCCAACATATCGTCACAGCTTACACACCACCACCAGCTCTGCCCATTGTTTTCGAGCAACCGACACTGGTTGTTGAATTCCCTCCTCTGCCGATATGCATGCTTCTTTGCTAGTTGTCGGCGTTTCACCTTCCATCATCTAGGACCATTCCAACTGTTGTTCTTGTTATCGCTTTCAACGACTCTGCCAAGATTTCTCAGGAAGCCTGGATGTTTTTCTCTATGTCAAAGAAACTTCGATTCCAAGTTTCCAACGATGAGGGTTTGAGGTGATTGCACTCCGATTTCTTACGTCTTCAATTTTAGCTTTTTTTCAAAATATTGCATCTCAAACCCTTCTTTTGCCACATTCAGTTCATCGCAGGAGCTAACGTGAGCAGGGATATAAACAATGATCAATTAGCAATCCGGAAGTTTTGTACGAAGTTGTGCCACCATAAGATCTTTCATCACGCGTTACCAGTTCTAACCCTCAAGGACAAGGTTGGTGTTCGAGGGGAAAGGACTTTCTTACCATTGAAGACCGCCACATCACCACCAACCAATCGATCCCTTTCCTTATTTCAGTAGGATCTCTTTCTTTGTTTAAACCCTAATTTCCTCTGTTTCCTTCTTTGTTTCGCTATTATTATTCGTTGATAAGAATAAAATTAAACATATCAACCATATTAATTCTTCAGATAAATCCATTTACTTGTTTTAGTGTGATTTCTTTCCTTGTTAGCAGCCTTGGACTATGGTAAGTCTTTATGGGTATTTAAGACTTTGATTGCGGTGTCACCACCAACCGATTGTTCTTTTTCCTTGTTTCAGTGTGATCTCTTTCATTGTTTAAACTATAATTTTATATGTTTCCTTCTTTGTTTCATTATTATTATTCTTTGATAGGAATAAAATTAAACATATCAATCATATTAGTTCTTCAAATAATTCATTTACTTGTTTTAGTGCGATTTCTTTATTTGTTTAGCAGCCTTGGGCTATGGTAAATCTTTGTGGTTATTTAAGACTTTGATCCTTCCTTATTTAGGCTAAGATTCCATCCAAACCTTGTAAATACAAGGCTTAAAGTGGAGAAAATTACCCTTTGATAAATGAAGCTTTGTTTTTGGTACTCAGTTTTGAAAATTTGTCCTATCATCCCCCTTTGATGCGTTACTACATGCACTTAATATTCAGTTCTTTATATCTATTTGTGTGGATGGAATTCCACCCTTAGCTCGTGCATTCAGTTTACTAACATTTGTCTTTTAGGGATTTTTCCCTTTTCGCACTCTGACTAACAAAATTTCATCGTGGTTTTCTTTGTGTTTTAGATATTCCGGAAAGGAACAACCAAGAACGAGATTTCATAAGATGGTTGTTGGTCAAATCACAAAAGAAAAAGAGAAGTATCTCGGTCAATAAGATGCTGAGCTAACAATAAAAAAGACATATTTTACCACGATATGAACATCCCTTTCTATCTATGAGAATTGAAGAGCATAAAGAAGTGATGCTCTTTATGGCAAAGTAGAGAAGATCTAAACGTCACCTAACAGAGTACTACCCAAATTCATCGTTCGAAGAACGACATTGAAAGACAAACAACCCACCCATTACTCTAGATATTTCCTCGTCGAAAAATTGATCAAGGAGGTGGGATATCGTAGCAAAGGAAAGAAAGCTCCAGGTATGTTTACTTCTCTTTTGATGATAGTGTCTAATACAGAGCATGTATGTTTCATTTTTCAATTTTTAAGTTAGAAGAAGCGTTGAAACAAACACAAATTTCCTTTTATAAAAAAAAATAATTTGCCTCAAAACTCGCAAATTATCAAAATCTAAATTTTATCTCTCTGTAATTAAGAAATTAATTAACAAATTTAATGAACAAGAGTTTGGACTAGTAATATCACTAATTTTGTACTTGAAGATCCCTGGTTCAAATCATTTCAATAGCACCTAACTATAAAAATCAACTCATGTCACTCTTATAAAAAAAATATTAATAAATTTATACTTATTATAGTATTTCTCATAGTCTACACTAGTTTATTGTTAAACAAACTATACACCCATGCCCTCAACTATCTTTTCTAACAATAAGAAATAGCGTACATCTCATTAGTTTGGATGCAAAGTTACCGTTTGTCCTCAATTGGAAGAAAATAAAACTTGAGGGTCATTCCAACCATTTTTCTTTCCCATCCTAATTACAAAGTGTGTGGGCAAGAATGTGTGTCGATTCAATTACTCGTCTTTCCCAAAATCTCCACTCTACCACATTCATTTCCTTCGCATTCTCTAATTTCTTCACAAACACCTCCAATTTCTAAAATTGAATCATCTTCTCAATTCAATTTTGCTAACATCGTGAGGCAGTCGGTTTCAATTATCACTGGTCAGAGATCATGTTGCTCGGCAAAGCTTAAGGCCTAGAGGAACGTTTGAGCTTCCACGATCTCTGGGCTCCATCACCGGCGATCTCGTCTAACTGTCGCCACTGAGAAGTTCTCAGAGTAGTCTCATACCACAAAACCCATCCCCGTTTCTGCACCTCGAATGACCGTTGCATCAATATTCATCTTCAACGTCACCTGCCGTGGTGGCTCCCAGACATACAGACGATGTTCCAGATCTAGTGTCACTGGCGTGGTCTGGTGCTCGATGAATTTCTCCAAGTAATTTCTAGATCTACCATAAATCTCCCATTCTTCCAATTTTGCATTATTGAACAAGTGATTGTTGCGTTCTCTCCATATAAACCCTAAAAGTATAAGAAATTGTTGGATCTGATTATCATCATAGGTTTCTAGTACTTCACATAGCCAGTCCTCACATGTTGCTTCTGCCCCAATCTCAAACATTTAGGTCAGCGATTTCGACCTTTATATTCTGCTTGTCCACACACAGTCTCAAAAAATATGTTCCTGTTTTTTGAAAGCCCACAAAACGGACACTCATTGGAGAAGTCCTTAAGCATTATACCCAAAGTTGCTCCAGTAGGTAGGACGTTTAGGCCCTATTTCTATACAATGATCTTGGTCTTCATTGGGCTTTAGTTTCCACAATTGTTTCCATTGAATCGGAACATATAGTTCTCCCTCTTCTTCTTGCTCCAATTTCTGCCAAAGCTCATAGCTTGTTGTTATACTAAATTTGCCTGTCTTTTCCATTCCAAACAATGGGTATCAACTGTCAATGGCGTATGATAGGAATTTGTATGTTTCTATGCATATCCTCTACGTTGAAGGGTTCCTGCAATAGATCCATTTTTCATGTTCTTGTCTCATGATCAATTAATGAATCCATCGTTGCTTTTAGACTTAGACCTGTAATTTGGGTTTGTACCTTATTTTCTTCAACTTCAGGAATCCATTTATCCCACCATATTGGAATAGTGTTCCTATTTCCTACTCTCCATCTTGTTCCTGCAAGCATCTAACTTTTGTTGCCATTAATGCTCTCCAAACAGAACTTGGATTCTAACCTACTGTCGCTTGTAGAATGTTGCTAATTGGATGATACTTGGTTTTAACGATTTGAGCCAGTAGAAAGTTAGGTTTATTGAGCAGATTCTAGACTTGGCATCCCGGTAATGCCAAGATTAAAACCATGTAAATTCTAGAATCTCATACCACCTTCTTCTTTAGGCTTACAGAGTTTCACTCATTTTATCCAATGAATACGCTTCTTCATTCTTCTGTCCCCACCAGAGTCCTATAATGAGTCCCCTTATTCATCCAAAACTCCTTCTAGTATTAGAAACACATACATGGCATAGAGGGCCTGAATTTGTGTTACAACCTTGATTAAAACCTCATTAGTAGCATTCGACAATAGCTTGTTTTTCTAAAAATTTACCTTCTTTCGTACTCTGTCAATAAGATAGCTGAAGACTTGGTTTTTTGTTCTTTCCTACTATTGTCGGCAACCCTAGATACTTTTCATGGGACTCCACATGTCTCTTCGCATGATTCTTGCAATCTCTTCTCGTGGATCTATTTTCACATTTGTACTAAAAGATAGTTTTGATTTCTGCACATTTACAATTTGACTAGATTCTTGTTCATATGCTAGAAGAATGTCTTTTAGAACTTTGCTTTCTTCCCCAATAGCTCTTAGCGAAAAGATATTGTCATCTGCAAAGAGTATGTGGGAGACCATAGGTGCATGCCTCAAATCTCTATGCCATATATTTTCCTTCCATGACTGCTTTAGTAGTCAATGCTGATAAGCCTTCTGCGCATAAAAGGAAAAGAAAAAGATAAAGTGGAATTGGATCACTTTGCCTTAGGCCTCTAGTAGGATAAAAAAAAACCTTTGTTTGATGACCATTCACCATTCTTGCATAAGATATATTGGGAACACAATGCATTTTCACAGTAACCCACCTTTCTCATAATGACCTTTAAAAAAGTCCACTCTACCATGTCATACGCTTTTCCTATATCGAGCTTAGTTGCTATGAAGTATTTTTTTTCTTGTTTTCCATAGCTACAAAAGATTTGAAAGCCTCCACACATTGTCTATTATGTATCAGCCTCACACAAAGTCACACTCTGGTTTTCCACAAGAACTTAACCCAAAATGGTTTTAAGCCGATTTGCTAAAATCTTTGAATAAGCTTATGGGTCTGTATTCCTTCATATTTCGTGGTTCTTTAACCTTAGGAATGACCTTTGTTTTATACATATACTTTTTCGTACAAATTCTTTTACAGTACAAACTGAACTATACTCCTAACATTCAATTTGTACCTATAGTTTTTCGTACAAATTAGTTTATGATACACACTAAACTTGTATGTTAAACATTATGATACAAATTCAGTTTGTACCTATATTTTTTCGTACAAATTTCTTTATGGTATAAATTGAACTTGTACGGGACACAAAACTTTGTAGCATAGTTGAGCTATTTCAAAAAATATATAAAAAATGAATATTATTAATGTGGATCACCATTGAATATTTTAAGATCAGAGTCATAATGGAAACTTAAGTTTTTTTGTATCATTAATCTTAGGAATAGTCATGACACATTAGCTTTTTCTAAACCCTTATATATCTTTCTTTGTTTTCCTCATAAACTTTAGGATCCTCAAACTTGGGAGTAGGAGACACCTTTTTGGAATTCCTGCAGCCATGCCATTGATTTGAAGGCAGGCATCGTTTTATTCTGACAAGAAAGGAAGGGAAGAGTGCAGTTATGGAACTGCTTCAGCTTCCCTCAGGGCTTCTCAGTTGTCACCCTAGCCATGGCTCTGTAGTTCAATGTACAAAAGCAAAGAAGGCAGAGAAACACAGCCCAGCCTTGCAACGTTACACTCTTACTCTGTGCTCTGCCAAACAGATAAAGAAGGAGAGAAGAAGCCTAAGCTAAATCTAAGAACCCCTTGGGGGGGTAATAAAAATAAAAATAAAAAAACTTAAATCAAATTTCATGAAGCTTTGTTTAAGCCTTCATCATCGTCAGCTCTTCCAAGTCGCGGACTGCTTCTTCCATCGCGTAAACCATCATTTTCTTGATCTGTTGATCAGTAAGTAATCATATGGAAGGACTGTTAACCAAGATTGCAATGCACACGTGATTAATCCCAACATGTAACATCTAGGAATGCTTATGCTTTACCTCAAGTTTGTCTTCCCTAGCCCTGTGGTTCTTGGGAAGTTGTCGGAACTCCTCTGTCAGCCGGAGGCACTCGCTCACATTCTCAGGGGAAACAAAATCCACGGCGACTTTCGTGCACGACTTTACCCCGCCCGCCCAACAAACAACAACAACGATGATATTTGTCATTCACTATTATCAGCTACTGCATCTATGTAGCTTGATAGTGGACACATGATCATAAATGAACTGTACCAAAAGAAAGAAGTTACTACCTTTAGATTCCTGACTTGATGTGGGCACCCAGCAGGAATGAACACAGCTTCTCCAACTTTCTGTTCGAATGTCCAAGCCTCCACTCCTACAGTTATAATGCATAAAGTCGGCTTAGGAAAGCAGCAGTAACAGTTGGAGGGGGGGGGGGGGGGGGGGGGGGAGCAGAGAAGATTAATCGGGTTCTTTCCTCCTCTCTAGGACTCACCAAATTCCTCCTTCAATCTCTTCTTATGCTCCAACGTTAAATAAAAGCATTGGTCATGAATTGGATGGATAACCTGTGTCTCAAATATAGACATTAGCACATTTAATCATCATCTCCTATAGTTGCAGCTAACAAGAAGCATTCATATCGTTTACCTGCTTCACAGGACAACAGTATGTATGCCTGAATTCTGTAGAGTGCTTCCAAAGATATTCCTCTAACTTGGGGACGTCTTCTCTCCTGAAGATATCCCAAAGAGCACCAATTGTGTCCTCTGGTTGTTCTGAATGCAAACCCATGCATCCAGACTCTTCCAGAATCTCAACTCTCCTTTCGGTCTCAGCAGAATGCTTCTCTGCTTCACAAGTAATTCCCCCACTGTTATGATTGCTCCTATTATTTTGTGCTACTTGCTCTTTTCTATCCTGCTCATTGTGCAACTCTTTCAAACGCTCAATGGCAAATGATTGTTCTTCGTTTACCTCTACCTCAGCCACATGAGTCAGAATATTCACCTACGATAAATGAAAGATCGACTTCACATTGATTGAAAATGAAAAAGAAGAAGAAATAAGTACATGTGATGTAGGCGACTTGAGAAAAAGCAAGGCACAAACAAGTGAAGTAGGAATCGTATTAGCATACCGCATCTGACATATCACAGTGAAGCTTGGTCACAGAGTCGCCTCTGCCAAGCTCTTCCTTCATTCCGTATGCAATATAAGTTTTGGGACCCAAGTCGGGTTTCAGGAGACCATGGGGAAACTTGACAGCAAGGTTTAGAAGTCCAGCTTTTGGATCACTGTATTCTTGAAATGGAAGTGCACTGATGAACTCGTCACAGTGACGAGGCAAGAGATCTTCGAATTTATCAGAAGGGGGCCAATCCTTTAGCTTTAGCATCTCAGGCCAAAGATTGAAATATCTTCTCCCCTCAGTATATCCTTTGAAAAACATGCGGGTGTTGATTTCCACCTGCATGTTTTTGACAAAGTCAGCACAATAGCCATAGCCAATCACACTTTGACCAAGTTTACAAAAACATTTATCTGAAAAGTTATTGGCAGAAAATGCTTTTGATTAACCTCGCAAGCAGCCAGGCAATCAATGGCCTTTACTTCAGACATCTTCGAACTAATATCGGAATTAGCATTATCGCATAATGCACGCATCATCACCATTGGCTCCCAGCTTAAATGAGTGGTTGTATCAAGTACATCACGAACAATAACGGGCTCCCCTTTTGCCCAGTGCTTCTGGAAGTGCAGAAGATCTTCCTCCTCTATAATGTCCTCTGAGACTGGGCAGTACAAGTAATCATCCTCATTTGCTTCTCTAGAAGCTGCTCTCCTGACCGGTTCTCTCCCGGTTTCACCACATTTGCAAGGCAGGCTCTGCTGTCTAGTGTTACAGCAACCAAGGAACTTCCTTGCCTTCTCAGTCAAATCAGAAATCCATCCCGTTGGGAAGATACGTTTGAGTTGCAATACCGAGTCTCCACAACCCCCAATCTCTTTGGGAGGACAAGGGATACTGCCATCATTGTTGGCATTCCACAACAATTCAGTCAAATGCTCAGTCATATCTTCAGGAAATTGAGAAGGAAAAGGTTTCAATGGATCTCCGCCATGCATGTAGTCAAGGCCACGATCTACATACTGGAACTTCATCTCAGCACGATTCAAGAAGCTGCCATTGCGGATGTCTTGACAACAACCGAGGCACAGTTCGAAGTTGCATTTGGGGCAGCATCGATGAAAGTCAACAATAGATGTCGCACAGTAGTTGCTGCAAACCAAAAGGCAGCAGCAATAAGCGTACAAGTTCTCTAACCCCACATCTACACTACTCCAATAAGGGAATGAGAGAAGGGAATGTTACCAATAAACTCGCTCATCATTGTTACAGAAGTTCTCAGGTATGTCAGAAGGGGAAGCTGGGTTGACATACAAACCTTCAGTTGGGTTTACCAGTAAACAGTATGAACATTCTTAAGCCAGATTCACAGCAAAACAGCAGCAAAAGGGTTTACCAGAAAAGGCAGCATCTGTTAGTATTTCCTCTGCTTGTTGACGACATATTTGTTGAAGGAAGGGGAAGAGTGAGTTGACAAGATAACCCAAATGCCGGATCTTTTCACCCGGAGAGAGCTCCCTCTTGGAGGTCTAATAGTTTTGTGAACAATGCTGCTGTTAATTGGAATGTCCCAATGGTAATTGGGTAAAAGAGAAGAGACTTGAGAGTTACCTTGATCATGGTAGTGGAGTGAAGACAAGCATTGCAGTTGCAATTTTTCCGACAGAATGGGCACTGCTGTGCTATATCCACATCTGTCATCTCAGGGTACCTGCATCAATTGAATAAAACCTCCCCCATCACTTGCTGTCTACCACTGCCCTTTCAATTCAATTCATTTCATCAGTGTTCAAGTGTTTACCACATCTTGATGCATCTCAAGCAATAGAGCTTGGCACAGCTGAAGCAGCGAACATAGAGTTGCCTCTCAGCTTTCAAGCACTGATGGCATCTATTGCTCGCCGGCGCCACGGCAGCTCCTCCTCCTCCTCCTCTAGGCCGCTTCACGAAATCAGACATGAAGAAGCACAGATTCACACGTTTGCATACATTTCATCGCAATCCCAAAAGCGAAGAGCAATTAACTTACGTGGAACAACAAAAAAGCACCTGAAGAAGCCTCACGGAGGAGGCGGCGGCGGCGATTAGCGGAGGCGTTTCTGGAGCTGCAGCAGCAGACGAAGACGACGATTTCGATGACGACGACGACGACGACGAATCGGAAGAAGAGGAAAGCGACCTGGTTGTCCTGCCTCTGACGCGGTCTCTGATGTTGGCGATGGAGAGTTGCTGGAGGAGCAGATCTTCGTCGGAGGAGTCGGAATTATTCGAAACGGAATCGTCGTCGGAATCATGGATCAAAGCGATCCTGCGCCGCTTAGGAATTTCCGTCGGAGATTGGGAGCGAGACGCCGCCTTCCCATTTTTCTTCTTGTTTTTATTGTTATTGTCCTTCTTCGCCCTCTTCCCCCGCGATGCAGCCGGTTTAGCTCCGGCGGCAATCGGCACCCAATCGTCGTCGCCGTCGTCATCGTCGTCGAGAACAATGCGATTCCTGATGTTCGGGGAGGAGAACCCGATGCTTCTGCGGCGGTGGTGAGGCGGAGGATCAGTCCGATTCAGGCGATGATGCGGCTTGGCAACCTTCGCTGCCGACATTTATCTATCTTCTTCTCCCTCCTCGCTGCAAATCCGAAGAAATTCAGATTAGAAAATGGGGAATGTAACAGTAGGTGGAATACTAAATACATGAATCCCCCCCCTGAATTGGATTGGTGGAGGAGAAAGAATCGAGGTTGACTGGGAGAGAGAAAAAGTCAGCTCAATTCATTGCGGGGGAAAGAGACCTGTGATTCAGTGATTGTGAAGCAGCTGCCGGAGAACGAAAGGGGGAAAACGGATTGATCGCCGGTGGTGCGGCCGTCGGGTGGTGGGGGAAACGGTGGGCGGCGGCGGCCGCTGGTTTTTAGGTTCCTACTTCCTTCTGTTTGGATTAGTACCGGAGCCGGAGGAGGGCCCTTGAAGAAGATTTGTGACGTTTTTTTTCTCTCGTTTTAATCAGTGGGAGGAAGCGAATATAAAAATAATAAAATAGACAAAAACCTACGCACCTTCTTTCTGACTGGCTGACTCGCACTCACTCCCTCGCACACGGCTCCGTTATTTATCGTACCTGATCTGATTTCCTCCTCGGTTTGTTCTTCTTTCTCCGTCACGTCAGAGTTCCTTCCGTTAACACCTGGATACTGTTTGGTCACCCGTCTTCAAAATCATTTCAAAAAAGTACGTAATTCCCTAATTCCATACAAAACATTTTGACTGATTACACGAATTTCCTTGGATTTATTTTATGTTGGGATCTTCTTCAAGAACTTACGTCGCATTTGGAGACAGATAGATAGGCAGGTGAGAAACGTGTGGAAAGCATGCAGGTCACGCTCGAATTACCATAATTCCTACTGACCTCTTCACAGGTAACACACGCATAATTAACTAACTACAGCTCACTGAGAAAGATGCCAATCAGGTAGCTAGTAGGTACAGTACTGTTAATTCCCCTTCTGTGCACACGTGGGAAGCCAAAGCCTCCATTATTAGTTAGGACTCACTCACTCGTGCGGCAAGAAGCAAGTTGCCAGGTGGCAGGCATACAGGGTGCCAAGTGTAACTGACCATGTCAGCAACTGCCAACAACGTAAAAATCTAACACTTGCACTCTCTGGATCAGGCAGAAGAAGACTGACGAATCAAAATGCACCCGTCATCCATTTCTACGTTATCCACAGTGGAGAGGATATATGCCAATGCAATCAAACAGTTGTCGCGAGTTCAACAAGTACACTAAAACGCGGTTCCTCAAGGAAAACGCAGTCGTTTTTACAGTGCTACTTACAAGTGGTTCTACTTACACATTCAGGGGCCTGCTTAATTATGGCTCAGGAGGGCCATGCTTGGCAGGATGACCTCTCTCCTCCGACATGGAGGGGGAGGACCCTGCGCTAACTCTGCTGGGAGCTGGGGTGCTCCTCCTCGACTGCCGCTTCGTCGGAACCAGCACGGTGTCGCTGTGGTCGATCTTCCCGCTCAAGTAAGACATACGGCCGTCATCATCATCGTCTATGTCGTCGTCGTCGCGCTCGTCCGCGCTCTTGAAAACCGGGTGGACATAGGCTTGCTGAAGGTATCCCTTCAGGTTGAGGTTGGGTTCCCTGGCCCGCTCGAGAGTGTCCTTCATCATGGCTTCCTGCAGCGGGTACCTGACGAACGCCGGTTCATATCGGCCCTGGCAGAATCTGTAGAACCAGAATGTCAGCACGGGCAAGGCGAGTAGAAATGGAGTTGCCAGAGCTGCTCCCTTGGTGCTCAGCAGCCCCATCATCAGCAGCTGAGAGATGACCAGCGCGATGAGTACGCGACCGTGCACTGCTGGCCAGAATGCTGCTGCGCTCTCGTACTCTTGGTTGTACACATTTATGATCTGAAGCAATAAGAGTTTGTACATTGTTAATGAAATAAACCAGACAAGACACAACCAACCGTCTGAACTACAACTGCCCTGGAAGATTAACTATTATGATTAGTTATTTACCTGGTGGCGGAAGACAACGTAAGCAAATGCAAAGAAGATGATGATGAAGGGAAGGAGGAAAGGAGTCACGGTTGAGTAGACAAGCCCCAAGAGGAAATAGAACTGTATCCGGGGCTCTCCTGTGTTGAACCCGAGACTCCCCGGGTCCATGGCTTCTTCTCTATCCTTTTCAGTCTTCACCAGGAAGAAGTTCTTCAAGTGGTAAAATATCAACGGCTTCAACATCAGGATTTCTCCAGCAATTCCAGCCCAGCCATCGACCATTATGTAGGTTATGAAGAAAGTTGCTTTCATGGGGATCGCCACACCTATTATCTTCGGGATTCTGCAACAACATGCAAACAAGAGGGGCGTTTAAGATTACATGCAACAAACCAAAGTAATGAAAGAAAGAACAGCTTCCTGAAGTTCCCCGAATCACGTACTCGCCAGTGGACTTGTTCAGAAATGTATTCAGCTGCTCGAATGCAGTTCCGGCAATTATGCTCCCAAGGAAGACATTCACAATGTTGAATATATAAAACCGGGTAGCTGATCTCCTCTCCAGAGAGGACACGGAGTTAAAGCCTTCAAATTTGGACATCATCATCAGTATTGATGGTAGGAAGATCAGGAATAGCTTGAGAGCGATACCAGGTAGGAAGCCCTGGATAAACGACTTAATAAAGTCCCTGCAGAAGAAGGGGGAAACAAAGTTAAAAATGGAGAGCAATGAATGAAAACAATAAATCTAAGATCCGACTGGAGGAAATGGAACTAACGCTTCGATTATAGGCTCCAGAAAAGGTGCTGCCTTCTCGATTCCTTCGATACTGGCCAGGGATTGCACCATTGCTATGGGGATCATGAAGAAGAAGGTAAGGAAGAAGAATGCAACTCCAATTATAAGCCGCCTGATCGTGAGGGAAACGTAAGGGATGGCCAGATTCTGCCAATATACATCCCGTGGTTCTGGAGCCCATTCAGTCAACCATAGAGTTGGGTTTCTTGATTGTTGAGTTTGTGCACAAACAGCTGCACCCCATCTAGTTTTGAACGAGACGAACGCTACTGGCATGATTGACTTTGGATCCTTCGCCACCCTTGCCCTCTCCTCAGCTATCTGTATAGATAAAAAACAGTTAACTCCTCACTAAGGACAAGTCTCGTTGATACTTCCAAAGCAAGTTTTCCTTTTCAAGGTTTGAAACAGCGTAAGATATCAATCTAACAATGTAAGATGGAAATAGATTGCTAAAACATCAATGTATCATAATCCCACTCGAAAATCCGGGAAACACACAGATCAAGGTCAAAAGCCACATTTGGCCCTTTGTGCAAGCGAAAGAGTAGAAGGACGTGCAGCACATGTAAACTGACTAATTCAATAATAGATGACGTTACAAACTTACTTCCATAGATATCTTCTCAATCTTGGCGGTGTAAAGATCAATAGCATCAACTTTTTCTCCCCGGCATCCCAGAAATCCGGTCTGCACAATGAAAACAATCCTTTCCAGTCATATTAATGCAAAAATTAAGTTGAAGACTAGAAGGAAGTACGGAAACGCATTACAGCTACCTTGATCATGGGGCGCTGAGCTTGGTTCCTGGAATACTTAAGTTGGTAAAAGTCCAACCAATTCCTCAAGCTTTTCTTCTTCTTCACCAAGCTGGCTAGCTTGTTTGCGTTGTAAACCACCTGAAATAGGATATCAAATACGTCAAACCCAGATGACAAAAAGAACAGAGTGTTAGCTAAGCAAGCACTAAAATGAAACATGGGTTTGTCTCAATAATTCTACAGGGAGTAGAGGATACTCTACATCAGTGCGGCCATAGATGGTTCATAGTATTAGTCATGAACAGATATAAGTCTACTTCGATACATACAAACCCCATCCATCAAAGATTTGAAGGTATGTCATTCAATCCAGTGCAGAACTCTACCTGATGCGTGAGATAGTTATCTGGGTGATTGACCAGGAAAAAGTGCTCCACAAGCTCGCTCACGGATTCGTCAGCATCAGGCGGCACATTCTGAACAAGGACCTGTGAGAGAAAGTAACCAACAGCATTCGTCAAAACGAGAACCACTAGGTGCACAAATTTCCACTATGCTGGACTAATCAAAGCTTACCGAGTATTGATCTGGGCGGCGTTTCTCAGAGGCAAGGAACGCCAATCGCATCGAAGCAACCTTCTCATACTCCTTCATCAACACATAGAAGGTCCAAAACGTGAATGCATAAGCCATCACAATATGCGCCCAGAACCTGCAATCCGCCAACCCCCACAATTCAGTGCTAAATTTAGCAACCTAAACTCAAATTAAACACAAGAGAGAGAGATAGGAGCAAGAGAAGCTAGCTGCAATAAGTACCGTTGAGATTCCCGCGGGATATTGGAGATGGAGAGCTTGTCGATGTCGCTGGCGGTGACATTGGCAACCTTGTCAAGGGTGTGATTCGTCACGTTCACCGGGACGAGCACCGCAAACGCCAAGCAAGCGATAGGGACGAAAATCTTGAGCCTGCAATCGAATCTCATCAGTACCAATTAGGACTACCGAGCCCGGCCAAGGAATCAAATCGATTGTAGCTTGTATTTTACCCTAGGAGATAAATGCGGAGGTAGACGGCGGAGTCGAGCCCGGCGTGGTCGATGAGCTCCGGCTCCGGCATCTTGAGCGCCTCCGGCATCCAATTGAGGAAGCGGAGGTACGACCGGAAGTCCAGATTGACGACGCGCGTGACCAACGCGCCGCCGGCGTTGGTGGGGCTGGTGCGGAGGCCCTTGAGGTACCATTTGGGGAAGTAGACCCGGTCGTTGAAGGGCTGGAGCCTCAAGATCGCGAATGCTATCAGGAAGATGAAGGCGCTGAGCAGATTGATCGCTGCTGAAACCGAGATATCCCCAAGCGTCGCCATCGATCGATGCTATAACAACTTTTTTTTAGCTTATAGCTGCTACGACGAGAGAACCGGCCGGAGCTGAAGCAGTGGGAAAGAGGAAGAGAAAAGAAAAAGGAGGAAAAACCTAGCTCGTCGCCTTCTACTTCTAGTTTCTTCTGCTTGGCGTAGAGGGGAATCAAAGGAGGAAGAAGAAATGTGGAGGTGAGGAAATCTGGAGATGGAGGGCAGCAGCAGCTAGCTGAAGCTCAAAGCTAGCTACCACGCTTCGGTTGGCGGTTGGGGGGGAGAGAGGAATAGTTTCGGGAACACGCCAATGGTCCACACCGCTCACATGGCGGACGCGGAGGAGAGAGAGAGAGATAGAGACGGCAAAAAGGAGTTAAACCAGGAGCTGGAGCTGGAGCTGCTTCTTCTTCCTTGTTCTGGTTCAGCGGCAGATGGAAGGGAGAAGGAGGGAGAGAACCAAACAAACTGGTCACTGTTTGAGGGAATAGCTTCTGTTCCCCGCTTGGATTTACCCGAAGCACTCTTTTATCAGAGGAGAGAGAATCTGGTGGTTCTGGAATCTGGACCCTTCCATTCCACCTCCCTTGTTGATTAAATGAACCTTTTAGCTTCGCTAGTAATAACGTTACAGAAATCCTAAAGATCTGATCTAAGGTTATTTATTTAATTCGTAGAAATGAAAAATCTACGTGAGTGACCTGCTCCATGAAGGGAACTTTTGCGGTTACACGTAAACACGATTATATGAAATGTAAGCGACAAAGATGAGAAGCAGCTAAAGAGTCAAATTTCCCACTTGGGGAGGGGAAAATATATAAATGATGAAACGTGGTGGTAGTATTATTATACATCATTGTCTAAATTGGTATTATTGAGATTTTTTTTATTATTATTAATTAAGAAAGGGGATTATGATGAGAGAACTAGTAATGAATGTCGGCAGACAGGGTTTGATTATAGCAAGTGAGGCATCCAACAACGGCTACTTTTTCTTCTTATAATGTTGCCATCTGACCATCTCCCCTTCCCTTTCCTCTTTTCCGCCCAATTTTTTAATTGCAGGAATTCAAAAAGGCATAATCTCGCTCATATTTTAATTAGTGGTTTTCTTAATTGATTCGTATTTATACTAATTTTCATTAAGAAACCTTTATTAGAAGATTTTTCTTAGAGAGGAAGAATGTGGAAAGCAGAGCGCGCGTGAAAGAAGCGTTGCCCCCGCGGCCAGGCCAGTGAGGCCTCCATTCATCTAATCTGATCTCATCCCCAAATGGCCGTTTCACAATCCCCACATTTACATTACTACGACATGGAAATGAAAGCAACGGTAGCTGGGGCCGGCGGGGGTTTTGCATTTATTTTTACAATTCCCATGCCTTTTGATGAACACACCGTCCCTACTCGACATTCAACAATAAATTATTTTAGGTAGAAAACAGCTCAACAAAATATTTTTTAGTGTTGAAAAGAAAGCATACATTATTATGATTTATTAAAAGTCACAATTGTCAAAAAAAAAAAAAAAATCACAATTGTGGGTTTCGCAAACCAAGCTCTCACCTGCGTCTCATGATTCTTCCCATGGACCAAGGGCCATTTGGGGGGTTTAAATCTCTTTGTGGTCAAACGTGGGAGAGATAAAAAACTAATTCTAAGGGGTAAAAATAATTCAATAATTCACTGTCAAAATACCATTAAGGTCCGTTATATCAGGTCATCGAATTCGGTTGGGGCGACCTAACCAGCCGACTAAACATCTGACCGAAAGACAAATTGACTCTAAGAAAAGGGAAGCAAGTGTCAACGCTATTGTGGGCCGGCGACATAGTTCAAAGCCCAAAAAATACAATGTTAAAAAGCCCAAAAATACCATACTAAAACAAGAGACTTTCATCTCAAGAAAGAAAGGTGAAACCTACAGTAAAAATACAATGCATAATCTGGAAATCCATCGTGATCACAATTTCCCCCGAAAAATATCTCCAAATGCACTCGAATCTATTATGATAATGCCGAAACTTCGCTGTAGATTTGCTAAATGCTGACTACTAGTGACCACCACAAAAGCGACTGGCTTGAACACCAAGCTATTACCCGATTGGACTTTGAATGAAAACAAAACTACGCATTCAGCAGCATAAAAATCTTTCCATAATACAACAAACAAGTGGGGACTTTGCCGAATCAAAACCAGAAACCGAGAGCAACAGCCCACCGTATATGTACCTGTACAGATGGCAAGAGCCCATTCGTACATACGCCGGCAGGCAGTTGGCACACTCCATTTTCCATATTCGGCCCCCATTAACGAAACTATATACATACATAAGAAGAAGAAGAAGATGTAGCTGCTTGTTACCTTCCGGACATGAGATTAACGAGAGCTTGGTTTTCATAGAAGGACCCGAAGTCCCAATCCTCGCAAGAGGATGAAGAAAGCGTCATGAGCGCCACAACGATCGACCTCATGCTCGGTCTCAGTTGCGGGTTCTCCTGCGTGCAGGCTCTCCCCAGCTGCGCCATCTGCAATACAAATATGCCACACAATTACGCAAATGCTAACCAGTTACTGAAACTATAAACCTGCCAAACACCACAAGAACTCCCACCTTGAGGACTGAATCCAGAGGATAGTCATCACCGAGCCTCGGATCAACCAGTTTCCGGAGATATTCCCGCGAAACACCACCACCATCATCTTGCTGTTGCTTTAAAACGTCCTCAAACTGCATGCAAAACCAGAATTTCAGCAGACGTTTTACGG